GGGGGGGGCATGGGCGGGGGGCATCGTGGGCACCGGTGAACGGACTGGGACACTGCCATGATGGGGGCCAAACATTGTGTGTGCACATGCGCTTCTCCCAAACAGGCAAGGCAACATCGAAAGCGATTTCGCAAAATCGAGCCTCATCGTCGAGTTGGTGGGTTTGGCTTATTTGGCGGTCAAGAATTCGAAATGCACGAGAAAGGACAATTTGCAATTTCTGGCGGGTTTGCGCTTGTTACAGTCGGTTCAAGCGAGTCGGAGCCGATGCCTACCTAGGTAGACTAGACAGTCGAGACCAGATTGAGAAATGGTTCTTCTCCACCGCGCGAGTGGACAAGAAGAGGAGTTTGCGAATTTGCCATTTTAACAAAAGTGGTGAACGTGAAGAAGAGGGGACGGCGTCTAAGGTATTCAACACCTCGTGGCATGTTTGGTCAACATGCTCTTTTCTTGTTGAAGATCGAAATGTTCAGTTCTTGCTCTGGAAAGTTTAAACATTGGCAGCAACCGATGAACATGGAAGCAGGCAAGAAACGAACGCCTTCAAGTTCTGCAAGCACAATTTGCACGCCCGTCTGCACCTTCCTCGTACCTACGCGGCGTTCATTACCTAACGTGCGACTGAAGTATCTACCTATACGTAGAGGTAGGCATGCACAAAGGGTACAATCTAGCGCGCTGTCCCTTGGTTTCGAACGGCAGTTCGTTCGATATCTATGGACATTCCCCTACACTGCAAGTAGGTACAGTAGTCGCTGCGTTCGTTTGCTCTGAAACTTTCACACGCACCGTGACCTTATCCCCAGATCCTCAACACCAAACGAAACAAAAGGCAACAAAACCCAATGTCACCGCGGAGCCTCGCTCGCTACACTAGCCTCGTTTTCGCTTTCCTCAAGGCGTCGTCATTATCGCCATCCGCGGGAAAACTCTGGAAATGAAAATGCAAATTCGCAGCGAACCAGTTTGAACAATTGGCTCGTTCTACTGCCGCAATAGTACCTAGGTACCTAACCCGTCGCGGAGTAGTCCATGATATTCTTTTACGTATGCGCCTGGCTGTAAGCGTAATCTTTGCATCATTGGCATGGACTGCACTGCACCGAACTTGCCCACGTCGTTACGGGGAAAAGGCAGTTTGCAGAAAGCAAATGACAGGCTCCGCGGTGGTGCAACCGGCAATTCGGCTGCTGGAAGAAAAAGACAACCTCACACCAAGGGATGTGTTCATTATACTAGTGTACCAAGGTTTTTGACGATCAATTGCTCGACAGGCCGAGTCAAAACAAGATATGTACCAGACCCGTGATCGGCGGATTTTCCGTGCCTGAGCCCCGAACCTCCTGGGCGGAGAGGGCGGAAACGACGACGAACCGTTCCCCCGGCGACCCCAAGGTGCTGGAACTCGTGCGGTGGGACGGACAGTGCCCGGTGCGGGCGGGGCAGTGGGACATGCAGACAAGCCTGCCCCGCCAGAGACAGGGGCACTGCAACAGGGCTTCACTTTCGTAGCTAGCAAACCTCGGCCCCAAATCTCGAAACTGAGGCCGATGGACATGGAGAAGCTCCGCCCCCTCCGGAGAAGGCCGGGCCCCATCGCATCCATACTCCCACTTTGACTCCCACGCAAGTGGAACACAACACAGAGGGACAAAACTCTCGTTCTGAGGCCGGGCTCCAGTCATCTCGCCGTCCTGTCCCGCCCGGACTGCAGGTCTCCGAGTCGATCGCCCGCTCCGAATCCGAACTCGAAGAGTGATAAGGTGCCGTGGTGGGTTAAAGACCCAGGTAGGGGCACAAGCACTTGAAGAGCACGGCCGTCTCGAATTGATACTGGATGGATGCATGCTGGTATCAGACGGTATGTACAGTCATCCATTCATATCGTGCTGCGATTTGTCCGATAACATTAGGTGACAACCACGGTGGCTGTCATCAGGCTCCGTCTTTTACCATCACGGTCCCCGTGTCCGAACTCCGTCCCTCGCTGTTCACGAGACAAACATTGCAGACACAGGCACGCACGCAGTGGGTAAAGAAAAGAAAAAAAACCACCACGCTACAAACCCTGGGTTTTTTGGTACAGATCACAACGTGTAACGTCAGTGGAACCGGGTCAAGATCTGCGTTGCGTTCAGCCGACATCAGGACCAATCCCATCGCTGCGTTCCCAGATAGGTCTAGTCGTGGCTCATGGCTGCATGACGCCAAATCGTAAGCTGTCATTGGCTCTTTTACGTTGTGATCCAAGGGGCCCAAGATGATGCAAAATGTCACTCTGTGTGGGGAAGCCAAAAAGGTAAAATCCAAAAAAAGCAACGATTCGCCCAGGCGCTGCAACCTCCCTTGGTCTTGGGTCTGTCAGACAACAATCCCTACGCTGCTCCCGCACCGGGACCACACCCGCAATCACACCTATATTACAGCAGGGCTGTCGGTATTATAGCACATCCCGTGGCCTATGGGGATGGTCGGAATGGCCTGGATCAGCAGTATTACGCGATTATAGCATAGGGATCTCTCTTGTATAGCCATGGAGGCCCTGTTCAGTTCCATGTTGTCGACACCGCACTTCAAGTCACCGGATGTTTACTGGCCTTCCACGCGGTTTCAAGGAAAAGGATTATATCATAATACCAGGGGGGAGAAGTCGACAACCTTACACCGTATGTGTGCCCCTCACACACACAGGAAACAAGGCTGATATAGCTCTCCTAACCCAGGATGAAATTCACCAGACATCATCCTCGTTTCACCAATCCCCGGCTTCGCTCCCACTCGTTGTTGCTGTTGAGATTGGAAAGGTCATCTGGCTGCCTAACTAACCCCTAGACCTATATCATGTCCCTTCCACGATCAGTCTCACATACACTTATACCGGGTCTCTCAACTTCAGGGGTGTCCTATAATAGGAGTTGCAGTTCCACTCAAACATCATTTGCAACATCATCTTCATTCCGATGACCGGATCGCGATGCAAGCAGCCGGGATCACTGGAAGGTACATCCATCCATCCACACCACTGGGATATTGTTGCGGAGCCTCGCGAACTCGATACAGAAAAACAGAGAGGAAAAAGGGGGGTCATTAAAGTCCCGATATTAAGTTCCTGTTCCTTGGTCATGGATAGCTTGTCTAGCCTATCTCAGTTCATGCATTCCTCCCCCCTATCCGGCGCAGGTACCCAGTCATCCAGCGGTCTTGGCTTGTTTAGAGGCAAGTTCGACATGTCGTACAGACTCAGAAACTGAGAAGGCCAAGAACTCTGTATCTCTCCTATCGTGGGACTTTCACTTCGGTTTCTTTTCTGACTCTCGTATCTGGTTCACACGAGTCAGCCGGACCGGAGTCTCTCCAAAGGCAAACTACCTACTATATATACGATCCTCTCACAGCCAAGAGTTTCTCCGATATCATGATGACGACGACGACAATCTCATAATCACAATGTCTGAAACGATTTTCTTGGCAACTTTCCTTCCCCATGAAGCATGATCGAGACCAAAAGAAGCAATCGAGATTTCACCTCAGGGGTCTTGGCGTATCTTTATGTCACATAGGTAGGTATTTACAACATTTCAACCAACACAATAAAGAGTATCGCAGCACTTTTTGATGCGAATTCGGAAGCCTCAGGATTATTGTCCAACGCGAGCATAACTTGAATCAGATCGACTCAAAGATCGAATTAAATCAGATGGTTACCTACCGCAGGAAGTCAAATCAAGCTTTATTTTTTAGGTTCATGTCGTTGGTGGCAATTGGATGTCGTGAATTGAGGCAGTGCTCAGCCCTATAAGGTACCACGGGCAGTCCAGCCCCAACCTCAGTCTAGTGCACAGTACGTACCGTAGGAAAGTTGGTGACGAAAAAAAAAGAGCCCCTTTTCATTCACTACAGTGGCATTTCTTTGAATTTTCAAAGTTACCTACTCATCGCCTTCGTTTTTCCCGAAGTTGAGATCACTTCCAACATAAGCCAGAGAAACTCCTAACCAAGACATACAACGAACGGACGAAATTGCCATTCCGAAGTCGGGTTCACGTTTGCAAAAGGGGGTTGGCAGTCCCTTTGCTTTGCGACGAATAAAGTGGTCCTCCCTCGCCCCTCGTCCCGCGTGCCTGAGACCGCGGCTCCGACCCGTCTTACCCGCCAGGCCCGCCCACGCCGCCCAGCCAGGTGATGCGATGGAAAGGTGAGCAGCTCTTCCCCGCGAGCCCCTCCGCGCGCCGCCCCATACGGTCGGGCCAAACGGTCGGGACAAGCGCTTTGAGCTTGAGCCCAGTGTGTCCCAACAGTAGGTAGGTACGTTCGCGGGCCGTTAGTTTTCGGGGTCTGTTTCGGTTTGTGCGGATGCGGAGTTTCTTGGGTTCAATTTTTCCTTACTTGATATGTCTAGTACATATCCTTTTCACCTTTTGCTGACCTCACGTAAACCTGACCTGCTGTCAATGATTGGTGGGCTACGTTTTATCGTGGAAGATAAGGGGGTCAACGAGAATTGTGTCAAGTCCACACTTTCTTCTTCCTCCCTTCGAAGATCCGAACTCGGCTCGTCCAGACTGATGGAAGTGAGCAAGGGGCCAAGGGTCATTTCCCAATCCTGCGGCGTAGAAATGAACATTTTTTTTTTTTTTCATTCCATCCAGTGCCTCCTTCTATGCTTGCGGCGGTCCTTCCAGGGTTTTACGCCGTACGCCGTAAGCATGCACAAAAGAAGACACGAATACGGGTTAAAGCATGTGGGATTGGAAACCCTGTAAGTATTGGCCGTGTACCTGCGCTTAAACTCCAGCACCCGGCTCCAGTGGCGGCTTTCTCTCATCTGCCGGTCCGGCGCAGTGATCATGCCTGTTGTTGTTGCCTGGCTTTGGCCAAAAGCTATCGTTTTGTGGTTGGTTTACAATGCCGGTTGGGGCGCTTCACACAGTTTTGAATAGGACACGTGAGAAGCGCGCGAGAGAAGATAAGGATGAGGGGATGCGGGGCACGGGCAGTTAGTTGTCGTCGCCGGAGCTAGGGAGTTTGGCGAGGATTATGATGAAGCGAGTTGTGACGGTACCTTGGAATAGGAAAAGATGAGGTGCGCAATTCAGCTCGTCAGTGTCTTTCGCTTGCATTGCATCCTCATCATCCCTCACCAGCTGGTCGCATGTTAGTAAGTTGGTCTGATCTCGGGTTTAGTCCGCCGCGGCACGCCGGATACTAGAAACCACTCCCCGATGTCTCTCCGAGTAGATGTCGCGACTGCTTTGAACAGCGAGACGGGACGGGAGAGAAGGGAAGTCGCAATTTCCCTTTCCATCACCGCACTTGAACCACTCACCATCAGGCCGGGCAAGCTGGAGCAGGCTCCACGTGAGATGCTGCAAGTAAGATTCAAATTCGTGGAAAATTTGTAAAAATCACCTTACCATTCCCCGGTTCCTCCCTCAGTGCAAGTGTAACATCGCTCGCCTCACAGTCCAAAAACCCACGACGCAGTGGGCACACGGACAATCTTTTGGATGGGTAACTTTGAAGAAGTGGATGTGTTTTGTTGCGATGCGACTCCAAATCCGATTCGGGTAACGATTGCGGTGCTCTGGGGTCGCTGAACCCTTGTGCTACTGTTTTGTGCTTCGAGTTTTCTTGTCCAATTAGACTTCGCCATCATCCACAAACAGTCCTTTTCTTATTTTTGATACCTCGGTCAGAAATCCACCCGAGCAGGCTCGATGGATGTTCAGTTGGTTGAGTCGGGTCGAGGCATGGAGATCTTCGGTGCCGCTTCGCACACTCAAATGTGAGAGCAGGCTCTCAATCCTCCCCGGCACCATGCTACAGTGTAGCGTGTTTGGCGACAAGCGACAACAGACTGTCTAGTATTTTACACCCCTGTGAAAAGTCACGACACTACTATGTGCACTACTTTTGTGATGAAAATTACATCACCAGAAAACCCGCCTTGAGGATCGACGGCACACAACGCCGTACCTGGTTCACCCAAGGTTCAAGGCACGAAGATCTGGCCATCAAGGTTCTGAAAATCATCATCGGATTGGCGTGCCAGAGACAAGTAACTGGCCCAAAACATGCACTCTGACGACAGTGACCATCAGAGGCGTTACGCTGCGAAGATTATTTGCTTGGATGAGCGACCGGAGTTATTGCATACAATGGATCATAGCAAGGGGCCGCCTGATTGATCTCAGGGAAGGGGAACCACGAAAAGCTCTGGAGCGATTTGAACGACTGTTGTAAGGCCATTCTCATCACATCATCAAGGTGGTATCAGAGGAAATGAGATGGTTGTTGACGTGGAAATGTAATAACCAATAATCCCCCGGTTTTGTTTAAGAGCACACTGGGCGAGATATTGCCTCTTTGCTGGTGTCTATCTTCCCGCCCGGCCATCAACGATGAACTTCAAGCAGTCAGTTCGTCTTGTGAGCTCGATGTGCAACTGCAAGGAGCCAACCTTGTTTGACGCCTTCACGACGCCTCACGCCTCTCGCCGTGTCCTGTGCCGCCGCGGCCGCCGCCATGGTCCGTTGGCTCCGTGGCTCGACCTTCCAGGAGGTGGTATCGCAACAACAATACCCAGGATCTCAACTTCTCCTTTTTACCAAAAGGAAAGTCTAACATAACTTAAAAGGACGACGTACGAGGTTGGGAAGATACTTCTCACAAACATTGTGTATGGCTCCCACTCTGCACAAGCTCCAGGGTCCACGCAATGCCCAAACCCAGGGATATCATCCCAAAGGGGAAAACATAAACGAGAGAACGACCCAGGCCCACAGTCCTCACTCCCACTTGTGCCCTGGACGCTTCACAAGCCAATGGTGTGCTTCGAAAGTTGCACCGTGACGCTTCTCGGGCCCGACAATACGGAAAGCTGCCAAGCAGAAGCCAAGGCACCAGGGCACCATCCTTTTTCAGACAAGGGTCAAGGGCCCTGGACGAGGGGGGGAAAGCAGAGGGCGAGGGGGAAGATGATCTTCCCGCGATTCGTCAATTGCCAAGACGGACCCCAAGCCGCGGGCCTTGGTACGCATGGTAGCATGGAGGCTTTGGCGGCTTGGCTTGGAATTGGTGACTTGACGAGACAGAGTCGCAGTGGTAGTCGAGTGAGCGAGGAATCTAGAACCAAGGATTTCTATGGTCGGTGACCGTGGAAGCGTTCAAAAGGAGGCTGGATAGAATAGGTATCCAGGACCATGGTAGTCTCTTTCCCTGCCTCGATGCCATGTTGGCGATATGCCATTGTTCAAGGACAGAAAGAGGGCACCAAGGTTATGTTATCTGTGATGCAGGCTGCGTGTATGTAGTGAACAAGCCACCCACAAGTTGGGTATCGACCTTGAGATGAAGCCAAGACTGGTGTACCGTCATCAGCATAGGGAACCTCAAGTCCTGTTCGTAGTGTAAGTGGTGGTTTCTAAGTTTAATCTCGGCCACAGCAGAGTGCAGTCCTGGGGGCCAGAGCAACTCTAATCTCCAACTAAGAGGGAACACAGCATTAACCCCAACAGGACACGGGGTCGTCATACTAGAAGCCCGTCGCATTGGAGATATTCCCAACCACAGAATAACGGGAGGCTGCATATCGCACCAGGAAACCAAAATACCATGATAAGCAGAGCCATTCGATCCCGTCCGCAAAAGGTTATCTCCCTTGTTTTGGAACCCGCCGAGGACCTCTCAAGGAATAGCATCTCGTTTCATGAGCTCGCTTGGAAGAGGAGAGTGAGATGGGAGCGGTGGCTGCCCAGCCTGACCTTGGTCCCGTGAGCAAACCATCAAGCAATTGCCTATCGCGGGGTAGGCAGCCATCAGCGGCACGGAAAAGGGCTAGAGAACCCGCGGAATTGTAGTTACATACCGTGCCATGTCGAAGAGTGGGCGAGTGGCCTGTCAAGAAGGGATCTTGATGCAAAAGCACCCAAGAGGGGTGATGGGAGATGAGAAGGGATGGACAGCAAACCTTAACAACGCAGATCCCCCCCCTTTCTGACACCTCTAGACCTGACGCTGGTCGATGTGTGATATTTTCTTCTGTCAACGACGGCCAGTCAATTCTTGATTACCCCATTGTACATTCGCAAGTGTCATCGCCGGAGGAGAAAGGGCGAGTTGTCCGCGAGTTGGCCATGTCCGTGGGCGGGTCTCTCTTCCCCCGGCAACGGCACCGGCACAACACTTGTGTAGCGCGATTCCACTTTCCCCCGGCTGCCGGACCCCCACTCTCTCGGGGCCCATGCTGTGTCGGTGAGGTTCGAAAATTTCCGAATGACGATCCGGGGCTCTCGCCGACCGTGAAAACCAGACAAGATTGGTGCTTATCAGGACGCAGACTAGGCTTGCTTGCATTCCACTTGATGCAATGGCAGGTGGGGTCTTCTGGGTTGCAAGGCTGTGACGAACAAGTGCGGAATGAGAAAGTGGAAAATCTGAAGAAATGTGACGCTCCGAGGAGGGGAAGGGGGGTGGGTAACCTAGAGGTACGTACTGTACGTACGCAGTATGTAGAGGTAGGTAGAGGTACCTTTAAGTTGCTGCCTAGCCTGAAGTTCATCGCGATAAGACCTGTAGCGCTGTGGCCCCTTTGTTGCAGTGGTGCTTTGAGTGGAGTCTATTTGTGTTAGTGTACATAGCGCCGGCACCAGCCACAATCGCAGCATTGCAGCAACGACTTCCATTTCGAATTTGACATGCAAATAATACATACCATCCCGCCGTCCAACGCCTTTGTGAAAGTCGCCAGATATCCTCGATTCATCGCATAATTGCCATCAAAGAGTCCAGTCTCGTTCAGCTTGAAGCAAAGAAAATTGCTGGCTGCAAAGGCGACATACCAGTCACGTGTGCAAGTGTACCCTCCCTGTGACAATATAGTACAACCTTGGATCTCTTGAAGTCGACATCGGACAAGTTCTATTTGTTGCAAGTCCATGTCGCACAAACTGCAAGCGGCCTTTTTCAACTTGACAGTAGTAACCCAGTACACCACCATGAGCAGTAAGGGGGTCGGAAGGTAACCAGAGACTTCCCAACCCTATTGCCTTGATTTCTAAAGCCTACCACTAAGTCTACCACAAAAGAATTGGAAGTCTTCATACGTACATTATGTGCATCGGTTCCTATATTTGGACGATCAGATCGCTGCAAGGGTTCCGTAACCAATACCACGGTTCCTGGTGCTCAGGCCCCGAATAAATTAATTTATTTGAACAAAAGTCTGGTGCAGGATGGACGGGATGTACGGTGATCATCCTGGAGACACTCGTCAACACCGACGGGATGGCATGTTATACGGAAGTGGAAGTGTGCTCCGACCCGTCAAACTCTCCCTCGGGGAACTCAGCAACACAAGAGGACAAGTGATATCTTGCGAGCCAAACGATACTGACACTGGCTCTCAATCTCAAGTGCGTTGTGCAACACATACGGCCGTGGGAATTTTCCTCGCCATCCACGGTGAGCGATGCCAGTACTCCATTGGGCCAAAGTGGGCGGAAGACTCTGAGAAGATATCACACTTTAGGTGTTACTTTTGGTCGTCACTTCTGGTGCGCTTCTCTCGTCACTCCATTCGGCCTCGCCGGTTGCGACGTTGACTGTTGGGTACCATCGTCCCGTCCCTCCACGCCTCCGCCCCCGGCGCCGCCCGTCCCTACCACGGGCCACTCCCGGAGACATGACTGATTTGAGCTTTAACCTTTCGGTGTTCTACCCGTTTGTGGAAGGCCGGCCTCAGAAAGGGTAATGGAAAATGACAGCAAAGGATACATGGAAAAGCTTGTTGGCTTCCATGTTACCATGAGTGCCTAGACTACTGGACGGCCCCGCCTTGCCCGGTCTTCTCATCACTATCAACACGGGACTATCCATCATGATGTCGGCTACCGTTCACGGTGAACCGATGGCGCCCCTCCTTCACATAAGTCAATACTTCCTCCCCACTCTGGATGAAGGTCACTGTGTTCAACGTTCAAACCACTCGAGATACTCGAAATCGAGAATCGTGCCACTCTTCGGTATAGAATTAAGGCAAAGGGATGTCTGCCGTCTCCGGATGCCCCAAGAGTGAAATCGATCTTCCAGATCATCCGGGATGTCTCGCAAAAATGACACATTTTGAATTCCGTATTGCTTCCTTAACTGAAGCGTACCCCTTTCCTTTTTCTTTTTCATTTTTCCCTTTTCTTTTTTTTCCTCTTTTTCTCTTTTTTTCTCTTTTTCTCTTTTTTTCTCTTTTTCTCTTTTTTTCTCTTTTTTATACGTTCTCGACATCAGAAAATCCTATGCACCATCGAGAGGCTCGGATACCCTTTGTCAGACACTTGTCTGGCTCTTGTGTCATCCTTCCCCAAATAGTTGAGGTTTCCAGCAGAGCACCAATGAATGGAAAGAAATAGAGGTAGCTAGGTACATTACACAAGCCAGGGACACACCGAAGACACTCGTACATAGCGGAATAGGTAGCAATACTTTTCGGCAAGCACCCGTGATGCTTACTGTACTCTTCAACACAAGATATCCGGAATGTCAGCATGACGTCCCGACTTTGTACGCCCTCGATCGAGCCACAGAATGAGGCCTCATTACATAGTCACACCAGGGGGCCACCGATCAAACTTTCTTCTTCGACATACCATAGGCCCTCTTCTAAACGGCTTAGCAAGCAATACCTGGGCACAAAAGGATATTTCTAGTAGCACTCCTTTCACTGACATACCGGATGCTGAGCATCCCGGTCGTACAAACGATGGGACCCAATTTCCCGGGACGAGATACATGACTCTATACACATCGGTTCGATCTGAACAACTGTTTTCAACGAGTGACGTCTTCATCTTGCCCTCGTTCGTATCACGATATCTTGTTGTACGCTTGTAAACCTAAACGAGGGACAAGGGATCTCCATCAGGCCATCACAACTCTGATGATCCCAGAGATGTACCTTCTTCCTCAATCGATCTATGCGCCACTATTCAGGGTCCCATCCAGATATCTAGACCTATAGGGGTCCCAGGAACTAAAGACAGGGACAAGGACAAGGACAGATGAGGCGAAGCCCACGTAGGCCTGTCCGACCTTGCAGTATCGATGTTAAATTCTGAGCGCAGTCTGGGCGCTCGCATTCACACGAGTTTTCGGTTCCCAGCTGGATGGTTCGGCATTCCCCTCCCCCCGCGCCACCACCATTTCTGGAAAGGGGAGGCAGTGGGACACTCCAGTTCAGTCTGGCCAGACGCTCATGGTATGTATAGGTGTACTTTGGCCCGGGGCAGACCATTAACAGCCGATGGCCTCTTTTCTTTTGCCAGCCGTCGTCCACTCTGCCATTTTACACTAGTGCAGTGTATAGTCTCAACGTCTTTGTCTTGTTCGGGCTCATTCCCGAATGGTTCCTTAACGAGGTTTCGAAGCTAGTGTCATGCCTACTATGCGCAAGCCACAATTGCGGAGTTGAGACCGCTTCGGTTCAGTTAAGTACTTTGGAGGAATGAGATTGGGCGGCCAGTTCCAAGGTTGAAGGGTCCAACTGATCCAATACATGTCACCACAACACCTAACAGAGGGTTTACGTTCCGAGCGGTAAATAAAAAAAAAAAAAAAAAAAAAAAAAAAAAAAAAAAAAAAAAACCCCGGCACTTGAACTGGTCTGATTGTAATAGGCTCGGAGCAATTTCGAGGAGGCGCATGGTAAAGGAATATCTTCGGAGGCGGCTCTTGATTAGCTCAGTCGGTCAGATGTCCACGAGGTGCGGATTTCCGAATCCTGGCTAAGATCCTAGTGGTGTTAGTCGTCTATAGATCAGTTTGGACCAAGACCATGCCCCTGTCGAACGAGGATTTTGACCATAACCAGGGTTTGAGGTTATATGTATTGGTCCGATAAGCCTATCCCGCAGGCAATCATACCAATGTCCAAAGGTATGTACAAGTCAAAGTCATGCAAGATTGAAAATAGTGTCAAAGATCTGGACTTCTTTGGACCCTTGCCACCCCGCATCCTCGAGTCTAAACCCAGTGGACCGGATAGGTAAGATACGTATTATGTAGGTATGTACAGTATCATCTGGCTCCTTCCCCGGATCACCAAAGTCTTGGGTACTTCAAGTTCTTGCACACCACTCGATCAGATCATACCTTTGGATCCCGAATCAGCACGCTCTTTCCGCTTATTTTTGCCGCATTCGTTTGCTTTGCAGCTGCCGTGCCGCGGTGAACAAAATGTGTGCGATTTGTATAATTCATTCCTAGGTAACCAAGACCGACACCAGCCATCCTGGCCTTGTGAGGGCAGAACCTAATCAGCTATTATCGTGAGGTGGAGTCGCGCGTCTCTCATGCCCGGGCCCAGTGGCGATGTTTCTTTCTCCCGTGTAAACTGAACTTCAGCCTTTTGCTTTCTTGGAGGAACAACGACCTACGATTGCCGAACAGATGATGATTGATGAGCAAGGAACAGTCAATCATTGGCAATTACGGAGCATGCCTAGGTACCACCTTCCATTAGAAATCAGGTGGGACAGGTTAAGCAAGACGTAAAAAGTGTAGTAATCAGAAGTGAAGAACTCAACTTTTACGAACGCCATTTGCGAATGATCTGCAGAAGAGGATGAAATGGCCATCATCCGACAACGAGCAAAAGTAAACTCCGTCATATGGCCTTTTACATTTTTCTCGTACAAGTAATGCTTTACGCCAAGTGTGTAGAACGTGTGGTAGATGCCGACGGAGTCAAGGGGGCCAATAGGGGATATGTACATCACCAGGTTTGATCACTTCCCTGTATGAGATATCCATATGGGCTTACTATTCCGATATTTGCTCGAGTTCCAAGTAATGCCTACTGTAAATGCTATGATTCGTCCAACCCGTCCTTGCCGCCATTCAACGATTCACCTCATCGCTGCCGCAAATCCAGGGCCGACTACGTCTGAGATGAGAATACTTCAGGCAGGCCAAGGCTAAGTCCATCTCCGTTGGACGGGACGCAAGGGAATGTCTTGACAATACGTAGCTGGTAGTTGGCCATTCATCCATTTTTCCCACTTGGCTAAGATCGAGGAAGGTACGCACGGAAAGAAAAGCGTACATCGGTCTGACATTCGTCCATTTGCAGACCTCGTTCACCACTCATGATGCAAGTCGTTCTTCGTGTCTGGACCGACAACGACAGAAAGAACCGAAGGATTAACACCCAAGGTGGTCGATCATATAACGCCAATCATCGTCATGATCACCAACGGGAGTGTGAGAGAAGCAAAAGCCACTGACGAGATATGTGCCAAGAGTAAGACGTGTTTGGTTTGTCGCCGACGAAAAAGCCTCCTCCTGCTTAACCGCTTGGAAAGGCGCCAATCCTGATGGTCGATTGATTCTTGGGAATTTACCCCTTTTAGGTGCAGCTAAGAGATCCAAGAAAAGGTGGTCGCCTACCAGGCGCGCGCCTCATGTAGTTATTGTCCTTGGTTAAGTCGTGAGTTTTGTTGCGCGAACTAAATCGCGGACAGACGGATTCGAGGATTGGGTCGTCTTCGAACGACTTGGAGACAATGAGTGGGAAACCCATTCAGTGAAGTGCCACTGCTCGTGGCGACAGGTGAAAGAAGGCTCAAGTAAGAATTTCACAGGTGGACTCTCAATCGTCTTTCATGAGAGCCCGAATCTTGCAAAGAGATACCATTGGGAAATGTAACAAGAACAACATGAACTGTTCATGAGAGTAAGCCGATCTGCATCATGCTGGGTGTGCTAGAGTTCCTCGTTACCCCATCACGACAAAGAACATAGGTACCAGACAAGGGGAGGGATAACTTCACGTGATTGATTCAGCACTCACCCCCGTAGACTCCTTGCTGCTCCCGGCCAGCCTTAGCTTCGATACTCGTCGACCAAAATATGTCCAGGACCATAGCGACTATATTATCCTCCAGCCTGGCTTGGGCCATCATTTGTGGAGGTACTTAACTCAGTACCCGGTAACGGATCACACTTACACTGTCCGTACTCTCCATTAACGCTGCGCGTCTCGTTCCGGGATATGTTGTCGCCTGGGTTATCTTGTCAGCTCTGATCAACGCCGCAAGGAAACGAACCAAGGAGATAAGACTTCAAGCGGTGCAAGAGCGCTCGGCACGGGGAAGGTGTACAGGCAATGGGTGAGATATCGAGGAGCGAGACAGCATGCAAATCATAGATCAGAGCATAGCCAGCATCGAATAAAGCAGCAAACAAGTAGCTCAAGAGGTAACAAGGCCGATGATAAGGAGTAAGGATGACCCGAAACTCTGATATGTAAATCTATAGGACTAAGCAAGCTCAACTGTGCTCATCAACCAGCGAAACCAACGGCCGAGCATCCTCTTCATCCTCGATCGACTCTAGGCATTTTCACAATCCTCAAAGCCATGTAATAACTGGCTTGCAGTACCCTTGCGTCCCCAGGCCCAAATAGTCTCCTCTGGAACTCGAATAGCCAGAACGGTCTCAGTTTTCGACGTGATACCCTGATGAAAGGGGAGGGACTCTCTGTTCGCAAATCGTTCTAAGCGCCATAAAGACGAACCAAGCCGTCGACCATTTTCAGCGCCGATAAAAGCAACCTCTGCTTGACTATCCAGCGCCCTTCTCATTCTGGGGGGTAATTGACTGGTGATCGTGCTTGGAGTGTAGTAGACTGGCCATTTTCGCTGGTGAGCGGGAAGGTTCGTTGCGCGGTGACTTAAGAGTCGTGACGAGATCGTGAAAGGCGACGTAAGTTGAAAGCAACCGGGGTCACTCCGGATATCAGTCTAAGAACCCTGGTGCTTTATTCCCACAATGCTAATACAAGGCAGATACCCAAACGCCATTCGCCGTTCCAGATTTACAAAACCATCCTGCCAGTAGAACACCGAATTATGTGAAGGTTCCAGAACAGAGCAACGAAGATAGAACAGTACTAATTCGAAACTCAGTTATCGACGAACTCCTTCTGCTGGTAGACGCAAGAAACCATAGCGTGGTCACGCTCGTAAGGCTCTGTGGGTGATTGTTAGTTATTGTTGGCTCTATCAACCAAAAGGGATGCGGATGAACGTACCAAGAGTCAACTGCTCCTTGGGGAAGAACTTGTCCTCACGGAGCTTCTGGACCTCAGAAGCGAAGACCTGCTCGGGAGGAGCAGTGGAGTCAATGCAAGAAGCCTTGATAGAGATGAGAAGACCACCACCCTGCTTCAAGAAGAGCTTGGCGTTGATACCGACAATTCTGAAATGTGTTAGTGTCAGGCACGTACGGTGTCAAGGATCTGTATAAGTCGGCTTACCTGGCCTGATCGGGCTGGGCAACATCGGCGAAGATGACATCGACCATGGGGAGCAGCATGCGGTAAGCCATGGGCTTACGGGCATCCTCAACGATGGGGATGACGTTGGTGCGGCGAGTAGCCATGTTGATGAGATCACGGCCGGAACGGTGGGAGAACTCGACGGCGTAGACGGAACCAGTAGGACCGACAATATCGGCAACGTGAGAGACCGAGGTACCGGAGGCGGCACCGAGGTAGAGGACCTTGGAACCAGGCTTCATATAGATGGTTTCAAGACCACCGAGGATACCGGCAGCAAGCTTCGAACGGAAAGGGTTCCAAATCTGCAAAGTCCAATGTCAGTCTTTGTCGGAGGCCACAAGCTGGAAACCCTGGAAAACGTACGCGGTACTCAGTCTTGGTGGAAGCACCACCCTCCTCCTTAGAGGCGTTCTCGACAGAGATTCTCTTCTCGCCATAGACGGATTCGCCAGGGACAAGGTTGACAGTAGCGAGGAGATCCTCCTTACCACCACGAGCGACGAAGACGCCCTTGTGACGGTGAGGCTCGACGATGACCTTCTTGCCAGCGGCACCACCCTTGGCGCCACCGCGGGCACCACCACGGCCAGCACTATACTCAGAATGTCAGTCAATGTCTTTGAAGTAATCAGCGGATTTGCTAATAAGACGTACCCGCCACGGCCACCACCGCGAGGACCGCCACGACCACGGGGAGCACCACCACCACGGCCACCTATCGAATCATTGTCAGTAAAGTGTTGGCGTTGATGTGGTTGCTGTTGCCATCGCATGTAGAGTCGAATGCGATATGAAGTTCGACTGAAATCGTCATCCTACTACGAGGGGTCAAGAGGCATGCATGGCGACCACGAGCCGCAGCAGACATTGAGACACCTCGCAAGATGACGAACAGAAGCAACGACATAACCGCAAATACGGTTCAGGCGATGGCATTGAGGCCAAACTCACCACCGAAGCCACCACGGCTACCGCCACGGGCGCCGCCTCTGCCACCACGATCACCACCGAATCCACCACGACCACCGCCACGGGCGCCGCCTCTGCCACCACGCTCGAAGCCCATTGTTATAGAATGTGTCGGTATTGATAAGTCGGAGTCGGTATGAGTTGCGATTCTGGGCCGAAACGCGTTGTAAGATCTGTCGTGCGAGGCACAATGGGTTTAGAGTTGTCGCGCGGCGCTGTCGAGGACTCGGAAAAGAGCTTTTGCTGGAGCTGGGTGCAAAATTTCCTGGACATGGATTGAAGAGAAAAAAAAGCGGGGCACCAAGTCTCATCGCTGGAGCACTTTTTTTTCCGGTCGAGGCCATCTGCCTTTGCAATTGGCTGTCGTCCTGGCGTGGCGGTCGAGGCTCTCCAGTTTGTTGCGGACGCTATCGTGTACGGCTGGCAGTCCAGGAGGCAGGCTGTTATCGACGCTAGCACTTACTGTCCCCGCGTGCACGTGCCTCAGGCAAAGTGACGGTCCGCACGAGCCACCTACGCAGTGCCCACAGAGCCCTAATCGCGAAAATCGGTTTTTGTACGCCAAAATTGGAACCCATCACCACCTCTGAACATCACACTTGGTCGATTCCCCGTCCTCTCATCGACAAGCAGGCAAGATGGTGAGTAAATCCCTGCGAAATCCGTCGAACGAGAGAATCGCCGCCGTTATTTTGCTTCAGGACAGTTTTCGGGCTTCTGCAGCCGAAATGACGACGAAATTCTCAACGGACGACAATGACGGCTTTGCGAGCATTGCGAGCACTTGGAGGAGAGTGAATCGCTGACCGAGTCTTGTTCAAAATCGCAGGTTCGGTACGCTGCGACTGAGATTGCCCCGGCTAAGTCCGCCCGCTCGCGCGGCTCTTACCTCCGTGTCTCCTTCAAGAACACCCGTGAGACCGCCCAGGCCATCAATGGCTGGAAGCTCCAGCGTGCTCAGAAGTTCCTCGAGAACGTTCTTGAGAAGAAGGAGGCTGTCCCCATGAGACGCTACGCTGGTGGCACCGGCCGCGCCGCCCAAGGTACGACTTACTCGAGATTTACATGCACAAAGACACCCGAACCGGTACATCATGCGACGACGACGACAGTGGGGAGGACAAAGTGGTGGGGGAATAGGGGGGCATTGTCAGCATGATGGAACCGCGACCGACCGACACGAAACCGCAATCGAATGGAGGACATGGAAGACACGGTGCTGACCGTTTCTTCGTCATATAGGCAAGCAGTTCGGTGTTTCCCGCGCCCGCTGGCCCGCCAAGTCCGCCGAGTTCCTTCTCGGTCTCCTCAAGAACGCTGAGGCCAACGCCGATGCCAAGGGTCTTGACACTGGCAACCTCGTTGTCAAGCACATCCAGGTCAACCAGGCCCCCAAGCAGCGCCGCCGCACTTACCGCGCTCACGGTCGCGTACGTCAAACCCCGAGATACCCCCCTGATATCTGCTTCTGCGCCGGCAGACAGACGATCAAGCCGGCCATTGGCTAACAGTTATGCTTTAGATCAACCCCTACATGTCCAACCCCTGCCACATCGAGCTTATCCTCACTGAGGCCGATGAGGTCGTCCAGAAGTCCGAGGCCGTTGTCCGCGAGGAGGCTCACCTTTCCTCCCGCCAGCGTGGCGCTCGCGTCCGCCGTGCCATCACTGCCGCTTAAATGCGCTTTGATAGCTAGGTGATTGGACGAGGGGATGTTTTGATTGAGGGCTTCACTTTTTTTCCGGAACGGTGTACGCGAGCATGGCATTTTTCGGGTCAAGGTCACGATTCCAGGGAAAAAGGGGTCGATCATGAATACTCAATAAAAGAATTTGAGAAAGCATGACACGGCGAAACAAGTAATCATTCAAGTCCTGGCGTAATTGCCAACGGGACGCCAAACCGAACTGCGGGTTACCTGAGCTCTGAGAGTGGCTGTGACGTACCTGTCTGCCCCTGATGCAGAGCCGCATGATGTTCAGGTAGCTAGCCTTCCCGAAACGATACCCAATCCAGCATCCCCGAGTTCAGTTGGATGTGCCCCCTTTGCTGCGTGAGAAGTGATGCTTGAGCAAATACAGCTGCTATTGAGGTTTCGCCACTGGGGGTATCTTGGGTATTTGACAGTCATGGCTCTTATGATATCATAACCCTTTTGTATGAAATCCACCGATGCTTCTTATCTCTTCACCACATGTACAACAAGCCTTTGGTGATCGCACATTGTCCCCCCTCAGCACCCAGCGTGCTTACAATGGCCGATCAGGGAGCTCATATAATCGTGATCATACACATAACCAAACAAATGCCCCCGCCAGTTTCTTAGATGAGTAAATGGGACTCTTCAGCCCTGCATCTCTACGTCTTCCCCCTCTCCACCTTTCCTTGCCCTCTGCTCAGCTGCCCTCTTCTCCATATTCTTCTTGCCCTGGTTAACCCAGTCGTCATACGCACTTCCTCCTGCCGCAAGCTTCGCCGACACAACACCCTTGAGAATTTCGCCCGCAAACCCCACAAAGTTGTGTCGCCTCAGGGCGTTCTCGAACCGCCAAGCCTCACGCTTGCGCTCCTCGCTCGCCAGCAATTCCTCATCGGCAAACTCGCGTGCCCGAATCCGCAGGTCTCTGATCATAGCCAGCAGATTGAACCGGATCTCGCTGGCGTCATACCTGGCAATGCGCCGCTGCAGAACGTCCATAACCTTCTGCGGGAAGTCCTCCTGGGTACAAGCGCCGTGGCTGATGGGCGCCGGCTGCAGGCCGTCGAGCTCGTAAAGGGTGCCGCCGATGGGCGAGTACGCAATGAAATGGAATGCGTCTCCTTCCTCCTCATCGGGCCGACGCTGCGTCTCGTCGATAAAGGGACTACTGCGCGCAAACGAGTTGTGCGTGTCGCGGATCAGCTCCGAGTTGGAGAGCGCTTCGCCGCGGATTTCGGCCGGCAGGGCGATGGTGAAGTCGCGGAAGTCGCGAAGCTTGTCGCCGATGTCGATGTACCCCGCATCGCCTTCTTGGGAGACGGACGGGTTGGCTTTGTTGAGGAGCACGCTCAGGAGCGCCTGCGTACCACACGCGTTCTGGATGGTCTGATGAGCGAAGAAGAGTCGTTCGCTGGCGTCGTAGTCAAAGGTGCCATCGAGAGGCTTGTCAGTCCCTCGGTAGGGCTCGTTTGTCGGGTACTTGAAGAGAAAGATGACGCCGTAGACGGGGTGCAGCTGCGCGAGGGCATCGGGTTCTAGGGAGAGGAGTTCTTCGAATTGGACACCTTTTACGCCGAGATTGGTGAGAAGATCGGTGAAGACGCCCTTGAAGTGAATTGTCAGTCTTGAAGTCCTGCGCATGTGTGCCGGGAAGTACCTCGACGTGGACAAATGGTCAACATACCGCATCGGACTCGACTGTGGACGAATTGTCAGCTCAGAAAGCACTGTAGCTAGGGTGCCGCAGCCCAACTTACTGGTGTTCCAACCACCACTCATTTTGGCGCAATTTCGGCAGATTCCAAAGGGTGTGGGCTGAAGCCGTGGATGTGTTGGCGTAAGGTGACAGATGTATTAGAACGTTGCGAGTTTGTGGCGGGGCAGGAGCTGTCCAACGGCAGAAGCGAGGGTTGAATCAGAACAGCAGAACGGAAGCTAAGTTCAATATCGCTCGGTAATGTCTGAATTGACACGCTGGCGGTTATAGATGCTACTGATCATAGAAAATAATATCAAGCGAACCAACTCCGTACGCCAACAAGCTACAACTGCAGACGTCACGGCGAATGTTCAATGCGATGATGCAGCTCGCGGACCTTCGCCAACAGCGATAAGATAAGCAGGTTCCCGTTCAACTTCGTCACTGTCGCAGTTCCTGCGTTGGTGAAGCTTGCCCCTGGCTACAGGCAGCTGGCAACACAATCGGCTAACAGCTGTTTGTCAGCTGCGAGGGCATTATTACCCAAGCATCCTTCACAACTGTCAGTCCAAAGCTCAGGAAGTGCTTTTGATCGTCTCTGCTTTCCGTGGGAACAACGACGCATTTCGACATTGAACTTCCTTTACTCCTACTCATCATTATCGCGATCCAAAAGCTACCAAGCAGACGGCTCTAGGAATTGGAGTATCTTGTCAGATACCGTCCCATGTTTCCAAGCCTTCGCGCAACCACCGACAGTGTTCCATATGGAGTTGAACACATCATGATCCACAACATAGCAGCCATAGGTATGGACAATCCGAACGTAACATCAAAAAGGCCAAAAAAAATCAACAAAAGAATATGACAAGAGTGGGATTCGAACCCACGCCCATTGCTGGACCAGGAAGCTCAGATGAGCAAAGTTCAAGTAGACCTGAACCTGGCGCCTTAGACCGCTCGGCCATCTTGCCGTTGTGAATATTATAAAATCGAAACGGGCATAGTACCTATAATCAGTCATCTGCTAACAGAAGGAAAAAAAAGTAACGAAAAGAAAAAACACCGTGTTTGTGATGGCTGGGTTGAATTTGGGCGCTTAGTATGAGGAAGGTTCAAATTGCGAACGTATCAAATGCTCCTGTTCACCTTGTTCAGCGTAGGTAGGTGCGTTGTTCTGTCAAGGTAAGAGCGACGACAAGGACACACGCATGCGGAAGTTTAGGTAGAACTGAACCTGATCGGGCATCGTACCTGTTGATAAAGTTACAACCTGGACTGCTTGTCAGCTCGAAACCTTTGATGATTCCCTCTGGGTATCTTACATCCAGTTCATGCAGTTTACTCAAAGCTTAAAGCTTAAGCTTGAATTCCTGCGAATATGTTAAGTCAGCTAATGGTGATGTGTTTATGACCCAGTGTCATGCATTGATTTCACAGTGTCAGTACGGCATTTAGGACGACATGAGACACATTTCATTGGGACTAGCAAGATCATGTTAAGTGACAAGCCGGTATCAGACTGTGTGTAAGTTCGTCTACCAAAATTTTGAAAGGGAAAAGGGGTCAGAGGGCTGGCTCAAACCATCGCTATTTGGCAGACAACGTCGTAGTCCACTACTCACGGGGTGAGCTGACAAGCAATGTCCAAGCTACCCACCTACCGATGAACCAAAGAGCAAAGCTTAACCTCTTCCTTTACATACCAATCGACAACATATGATTCGCACTTGGCTTAAGTAGAAACAGTTTACCAACCGTTCAGCATGCTTGTTCTCGATACCTTCGAGCCCATCTTTGAACAGAGAAGAAAACTCAATAAACATAGCTGTATTTTTATCCAAGAGAGCTTTCAGATCACTTGGGCATGTAGTAGAGTTACCAGGCAATTCCGGTCATCGGTGCGCAAAGAGATATAAATGATAATAACGACATAAAGTAATGATACCTACAAGAACATGAACAATAGCTGAGGTTGTGTGATGCACGGCGAAAGCGAGGGATCATACAGTATGATCTAGGAGGTAAAACAAAGGGACAAGTAGATGTAGAAGAGATGTTTTGAAAAGACAAAACACCGAAAGCCATCAAAGAGCTCCTGCTGACTACTGCTTACATGTTCCGCCAACACCACATAGCCCAGCTTCACCGATGAGGTCTGGTAGATTTCAACCATAGAAAAAGATTAAAGTATAATAGCTCCGTCGACGAGCGTTAGGGTGCAGAAAATAGATGGCGAAAGGAATAGCGCGACATGAGCTTACCGTCGCTGGCCATCACTTATCAGGAGAGTATAAGCTAAGTCTCCACACTTCTCTTTGAAGTTACTCGAACCTGGCTCTTCCCACTAGTACGATAAGTGGTCGAGTCATCTCTCTAGGCACTCCTCTCCTTTGCTACCACTTCAATGTACCTCTTCCTCATTCTTGATTGATTTGTTCCAATCTTCCATGAGGGGTCTTTCAGAGATCCATCATTTTTCCCATTGGGGAAAGCACAACTTGCTGCTATTTCCGGATGTCACCGTCAGATAACTAGGATAACGTACTGTCTGCCTGCCCTATGGAATTAGGTACGTAAACGTTCAAGTGAAAGTAATTAGACACCTGTAGCGTGATGTTGGTATAAAATAGAGGTAGTGACTGAAGAACTGAGTACGGTATAACGGTCAATGGACGGGACTAAGTGTATGAGGTGGATGAGTGACTGGTGATTTCCCGAGTGGTTGTGACTGTTGGTAGGGGGCGGAAAGAGCGGACGTTCAAGACTCTCCAGTCTCATACCTATAATGCATGTAGCCACGTATCATGCTTGTTTGGAGAGGCTTCAAGGGAACCAGTTTGTGACGAGCCTGAGATTGCGGTGAATTTGGACCTCATTCAAGTAACATGCCGTGCCGTGAATTTCTTCAGGTCACATTAAGGCTAGACTTCGGCAATGTTCATTAGCATAGAAGAGGATGGACGAGTGAATGGCCCCCAGCCGGATTTTTTTTTCGCGACGGAGTCCTGTGACATTGACATTACGTTTGGAACACAGCAAAGCATCCTGGGACATACAATGGAATTATTAGCAAGTCCGGATCAAAACCTCACTGTCGTCCACTGGCCTTACAACTCGTGCTTTCTCTTTTCCATGTCCTTACCTTTTTCGTTTTCTAACTGGAACCCCGACAATTTGATCCTTCTCATTTTTGCAAGGTCCTCGTGCCTTCTCGATTACGCCGAAACCTTCGGCGATATGTTCAAGGAAGGCACGGATTGCGGTACATGCCACGCTGTCAGATACTTTCGCCCGACACCACTGGCCTGACCTCAATCAATTTTGAGGATGGGATACATTCTGGCTCTACTGCATCATGTTACGTTATGCTCATGAGATGCCCCCCTTTCCGTCTTCAGAGTTTTGGGTCCTTTTTCTCTTGGCTGCCTGGCAGATGATCAAGGTATCATGGCCATGCTATTCTTATCGGATCATCCAGTCGCAAACAGCTTCGAAAGCCTAAGATTATCTCAGTTTCCGAAGAAGAACCTGACTTTCTCACCTATAGTCCAGATTCCCAAGCCAAATATGTATTATTGAGCCTCGTGTATGGGCCTTCCCTGGTTCACCCTGCCTTGAGCTGGGGCGAGTCAGATACCTGTGCTTTATTACCCATCGCCGGCGCACCAACGGCACCTTGGAGTTTCGTTCGCTTTGTTGTTGACCGCGGTGAATCAGGTCATTGAGTATTTAGTTTCCCCAAGTAGAAGAGCCAGTTGGGTCCTCACTCGATTCCATATTTCCAATCTTCCTTCTTCGTTCTTGGTTCTCGTTTCCCTACCCCAGCCTCACCACTCTCTTTCTCTTCACTCAGTACCAGATACCTGATTCACCCCAGTTAGAGTTTACAAGCTTATGGGGAAGAGTCTCAAGGGATACTCAAGCGCTCACAACTATCATTACCAACATTCATACTTTATTAGTCGAGTTATTGACGAGTGACCATCTTTACCAGTATGTAAGTCGTGGCACCTGATCTTGATCCATTGGCGGCCGACCTGGCAGGCAGCTTCTTACATTTTTGGACTGAACGTAAAGAAATATCCAAATATTCCGCGATCGTTCATTCCGATTTCTTTTCCTTGTCGCGGCCAAGGCTAACACGTGTAATCCCAAGATGTCGTCTATCCGGACACTGGGGATGGATGCCCTGAAACATATTCGCGCCTTGTCAACGTACGCATTCTCCTTAAACTCACTGTGAAAATCGAGCCGACCTGGTGACAGACTGACACGAAACGATTTAGTCTAAAACAAAATTTGGATTTACGGGTGAACCTTCGACCGGTATCTTGTGTGTACATTATGCACATAATGAAGGGCACTAAGGGGATTGAGCGGATAGACAAGCACAGCTAGAGAAAGGAGGGCACCGCCATATTCCCGCCGTAAAGAAGGCGCGCGGACTAGTTCCAGGTCGGTACAAGTAGGCATGTAGCGAGAGAGCTGGCCTTCAGCCCCTAGTAGGGTACAAACAGACTGTTGGGTCGATGTAGTCTACCTCCCATGATGTTTGCTCCAATCAGTTTCTTTCCGAGCTGTTGACCACCTACCTGGTAATCTAGGGATGACTTCGATCTTTCGATCGCTCTCCTATGGGTATTCGGGCACCTCATGGGCACCCAAGAAGTTGCATACACCATCCTCGGGCTCCTCCTTAAGGGTTGGGGGGTTCGAATCCCAAGGAGCGAGGATGATGGGATTGTTCAGCTTGCTCCTTTCCGAAAGCCGAAAGCAGATGGCATATGATGTGAGTATGATGAGATTCCTACCCCTGGTTGAAAAGAAAAAAGAAAAAGTGACTGGACCGACCAACCAGGACACGATGGAGAAGGAGATACGGGTAGACAGAACCCAGAACACCCAGAAATCGTCGATGACAACCTTGCATTCCGATTGATTGTGGATGTAAATCGGGCACATCGACATCGACTTTCTTTCGAGCTGGAACTAGGTTTGTGACTGGAAGAGAAGAGCCGAGAGAGTCTCATTAAGGGAAAAGCGAGCGAGTGAGGTGGGTGAGTGAGTGGTGATGATCCTGACCGACTTCCAGTTTGGGTCTTTGTCCTCTTTCCGTGTCCATCCATTCGCTCGGAAAATTTCAAAGGACTCCTGGAGCCTTAAAAGAATCTCGGCAGTCATCGGATGTGGTGGTGAGGAATCGGTCCCCTCGGATTTCTTTCACCTCTCTTTACATAGTAGATTCCTAAGCCCCTCAAGGGTGCTGCACATGGGTGTTGCTGATTAAGATGGGTTTCCGGTGGGCTGGTGAAGTGATCGGCGGTCTGCCGAAATTACCCCTTCCGTTGCTGTGGTACTGTGGGGGAAAAGGAGCCCCAGCCTAGGTAGGTAACCTCCGAGTTGGGTGAGCTGACAGTAGGGTACCTGTAATAGAATAGAATAGGTAAGTTTGGAAATTTTCAAGGATGACTTATCCGGGGTACACTTGTTGAGCTGAGTGCTTGGGAAAGATCGAAAGCAGGGCGTTATCGAGATGTGGAAGATGGAAAGGTATGTTGAGGTGTGATTTCTGTGATTCGATAACAAAAGTTTTGGTATGATATGGTATGATCACGCTTTTACCGTCTTTATACTGCCACAGTGAATTGTATGCAGCTGAGTGGCGAGTAGCAGACGATAGACAACATAAAGGCTTGATCAGGCAACTGTCATCTCGATGTGAATTTGAGACATGCTGTTAGTGTCACTCGTGGCCGCATAGTAAGATTCCATATGGGATAACTGTGGTAGCCAATCATCCGCCCCCATATCTGAACAGATGCTTTCAAAGACATAGTGTTCTAATGTGAAACGGCAGAAAGTGGATGGTAGCCAGATAACAGTTCCTGTCGAGAGATGGATGGATGCCAGGAGGCAACTCCGGTCGCTCGCTGCCGGACGCGCGTTGCTGCTAAGCTTCTCATGGCCTAGGTGAGTACTCTCGATGCAAGTCACAATGGCATAATACCTAGTGTGGATGGGTTTCCGCTTCTAGTTGGGTTCACTCCCTTCGATGCTCCAAATCGCGGGGTACCTGGGCTCCTGGGTGATATAATGGTGGTTCAGGGCTACACAACCCGGGGACTTGTTGTTGGCCCATACGAGGCAACATGGATATGTACGGTATATGTATATGTTGCTCGGCCGAGTCTCACTTCTTGATCCTTCGCCGGATCGCTGTGCTTCCGGGCGGGATACAACACCAGATGCGATCGCGATGGAGGTGAGGGTTGAAGATGTGTGAAGTTGACGAAACTGCTGGGCATGGTGGGGCTGCAACAAGATGAGAGCAGATGGCCCGAGCACAACCTAGTCAGGCACTGGCCAATGCACTTTGATGGGGCGAACCACCGAGCCGGTCGGGAACCTTTTGGGCAGTGATTGCAATTGGTTCGCGTGAAGGGCTGGCGCTCGAAACGGAAACCTCGAAAAGACAGCAGCGATAACACCCAGTTCCAGTTCTACACTGCACGGTTGCTCCTCGACTCGATTTCAAGCCCCCTTGTTGTCTTGATACCCAATGCCATCGCCAAGCGAATTTAAGTAGACACGCGAAACATGTCTGGTATTATTGGTGTGATTGCTCATGTACAGGATTTTTATTGTATTTTTTTCCTTTTTTCATTTGGGATTTTGTTTTAAGTGCACGCTATGGGAGTGTGTCGAGTCAGTAGTATTCATCGATCTCCCATCGGAAAACTGTTCGCATATCGACGCCCCGAAAACAGTCGGGGGGAAGAACCGTGTGCTTGGACTACCTTCTACCCTTGGCACCCCTAATTTTCAATACCGATGACCGCGCGATTCTGCCTTTGAAAGAGACATTGTTGGGTTGGTAAGCCATTTGGATGATGAGAAGAATCAAAATCTTTCTCCGGCGTCCGATGTGGTTTGCCTGTCTGTGTAGTTGCTTCCAGGTTGTATTGAAACTCGCGTTATCTGTGATTATCAGCATGAAACTGAAGTCCACCAAAACGCATTGCTACTGACACAGTAAAACCTATCGCCCAGTCCCGACACGCTTACCAGCGTACAAAGGGTTCCAAGCGAGCAAGCCAAACACAAACCATCAGTGTCAACATACTCAGGTTGGATGAGTGTTGTATGGGCGCTTTTAATCTCTCAAAGTCAATGAGGGTACGAGAAATATCGAGGATTGCGAAATTGCCATCCTCCCGAGAACCGGAAAAGCAACCTCGCTAAACAATGGCATCCCACCAGCGCACCGCACACAGCCAGATCAATGCTAACATTTGTTTGTTAGCGCAGAAAACGCCCCCAAAACCCTTGTAAACAGGTAGGGTGATGTGTAGTGTACGCAGTACAATACATATCTGTCTTAGCACACTTGGGTGCACGATCGCACATCTGGCGGAGGATCTGACGAACTGCTCCAGGTGTCGCGCTGAAACTCGGTCCAGACCAATGGCGGGGCTTTCTGGTTGCAACTCATGACAAAACCCCCCCACCCACCTGTCCCTTCGGTTACAATAAAAGCCCCTTGCAGTTGCAACTTAATATAAACAACGATTCTTCTTGCAAGAAGTAGGGTTTGTGCAAGAGAGGAATTCAGGGTACAGACCAGAAGCAGGCGCTCGAGCCATCAGTCCATCAGTAAGACCACCAACGAACTAAAAAAGCAGGTCGCTAAGCCCCGATACAAGGGTATATAAGTGTTCTGTCTCACCAAAACTTGACCATTGTTGCAAAAATCGAGTTGCCACCCGACTATCGCAACTAGCAGTTAGTAGTCCCAATATAGGCCTGTAAACCTGGCACTCAACTGGCTGTGCATCAAGAAGCATCATGATGCTAGCATTAGGGGAAAGGGGGTTGCAACTGCATGGGTTTCTACTGTACACTAGCAGCTGTGAGTCTGTGACCAGCGATGGGCTGGAATCGAAGGGCTGGTAATCACGGCAATGGATGAAATTCCCATGTTGCAGAAGCGTCGACCAGGTACGTTCCGGTCCATGATCGTCTGCAAGCAACGGCAGTTGTCACGCAATTTACTTTATGATCGGAGCCCGCCAAGGCCGTCGGAAAATAATCAGTATGGATTTATCAGGAAGATGAGACAAGAAACAAACGTTTAGCTAAGTCCCTCTAGCGATTTTAATGCGCTCCACTAGCCAGTGAGTTTATGCTGGCCATGACATGTGAAGTTGTGGTGAGAAAGCCCCATTTTTTGTTGCCGTGCCTGCTGCCCCGAGATGTCTGACTCGCAAAGACCCTATTTTGAAGGAAATGAAGGACCGGCCGACATCACTCGACATCACAGAGTCCCAGTAAATGACATGGTTTTAGTATATTTTATGTAATTGTTATGTAGTTATCAAGTTATTCAACAAGGACCAAGACTTTGGCACTTGGTGAGCTTCAGCCAAGAAGAGGGAAAGGGGACAATTGTAAATGACTTCGTTTGTGACTGTGGTGGAGTTAGGATCCCTTCCAGTGATAGCTTCGTTCAACAGGGCAGGCGAATGGCAGGCGGTGCATCCAAGTCTTTTTAGTTCAAGTGGCCGAGCAGGGCTAGACAATGAGATGGAGTGCACACGATGAGTTAAATCCTAGCCTTAAATCATGAACTTACGCAAAGATCATCGCCTCCCGTCTTGCCGTCCGCTAGGCTCTCACGAAAGGGTAGTGGGGAGGGGTTAAAGGCACTCGCCGGCCCTGTTGTATTCGCGTGTGCATGACTCTAGGGGTGATTGAAGCATAGATATGTATTGAGCAGTGAAGACGTGGCTTCGGGGCCTTGACTGTCTCTTAGCATATATCGTCCAAAGCCTCATTCACTCCGCGGAAGATCCTAAGAACGGGGCTACACTTCCCCACGCCGTACACTCAGGGGGCAGCAGCATGGCATTATGCCTTTGCGAAGGACCGGTCATCCACCCATTCATCCATCCCCACAAGGAGACGTGTCTCCTTTCCTACATGTAAGCATCCGACAACGTGGGCTCCAGAATAGTAAGCACGAACCGGAAGCTACCCAAAGACGCATGTGCACTTGCGGGGTACGGAGTATTGGCTGGCTGTGCTCATCTCTCGCTACACTGTAGTGTAGCATCTTGAGACGAGTGTTTATTCATGATGACTTAAAACATGTGGACGGTACGCCTCGGTTGGCCGGTCGTTGTAAGTCTCACCACTCCTTCTTGATCAAGCCTTACGTTTCGTCGACAACGGTTCATTTTACAGCCAGGTGGCGACACATGGCATGAGTCTCGAATCCCCACATCAGAAACCGGTACCCGGACAGACCGCCGATCACGGCCCGGTATGTGCGGCCGATGTGTCACGGGTGTGTGAGTCGTCAGTCTGGACCTTCCCGTCCCGAGGTCCTGGCCGGTCTCGCGGCTAAAAGTGGACGTTGGGCATTTTCGGACTTGTTCCTTTCGTTAGTTTCGTCGTCGACAGATGTGGTGGTGATAGGCAAGGGCCAGACTCAAGCCTTGTCCAGGGAATTTAGGGAGCAATCTCGCTGCCTCACAGTTGTCATACGCTATAGACAAGCCATGGTACTCTGCCACAGGGCCCTGAGGAGAAAGGGGTCAGGCTATCGAGTCTGGAATACAGGCTGGAGCTGGCCAGACACGGTGGACCGTTTGATGCAAGGTGGTCTGGAAATGAATGCGTGCAGCAATTGGCGATCGTGAGTCGTGGCCCTCAAGATCGAAATTTGTGTGTGGGATCGGTCAGCGTTCTGGACTGTCTTGGTGTGGACTTTGCTGTGTGGCCTAGAATGTGCTGGTGCAGACGGGACCTAGGACTGGGTCCAGGCCGAGGACCCACCAACGGCCACTCAGCGCGCTCGACCTGACTGGCTGGGCCCCGCCCATCCGGCATCGACTGGGGCCACTTCCATCCGCATCTTTGAAACCCTTTCTTTCATCGCTGTTCCCGCTGCTCGACATCCGTGCCGTCGATAAACCCGGCGTTGGATGGGATGAACGATTGACGGCAAGGTCCGGGCGTGCTTTGCGCGCTAAACAGTCGCATTGGCTTCGCTGAGCTATCGATTCCATCAGCCATCAGCAGCTGCAAAGACGGCGATGACATCGACGAGCGAGGGCCACGTTTCTTGCTTGGTGGTTACCGAGCCTTTTATGTATGTTACGACTGCCCGAGTTTCTTGCCAGCTATGATGACGAGTGAATGATGATAGCGTTGGGCACTGCTAGGATCGGCGTGTCCTGTTTTCCCCGTTTCGAGCAGAATTTCTCGCGAGATCCCCAATCTCGCTCGCCTTTTTCGCTCTTCCAGTTTGGTGGTTTCCAGTTGCGCTGTCCGCCGAAGCCCTACGTAGTGGGTTGTTGTAGGTACCTACCTAACATAGAACCGACCCTTCCGCATTATTGGAAGCGCAACACCCTGATAGTGCAATTGTACGGGATATCCCCAGCAACAGCGTTGACGCAATTCCTAAACTGTGAACATCCCAGAGGTCTTCAACATCGATTTGCTACACTTGTGTCATGTTATGTAGGCCTCAGATTAAGGAGCACAAGATACATACCACGTCGTGTGCCCATCCCAGAAACAAGTCTAGATTCTAGGCCTTATCGCGGATGTGCAACCGCAGCCTGACACAAGTATAATCTGTGTGTTTGTTAGAAGGCACAGTTGCTGAGCGGTTTTGCGACGGTAGCAGGGTGCTGGATGGATGAGGTGCAATGAGGTGTACGTAACGCGGTGAACACGATGATTCCTCCCTTTTCTTCTCTTCCAGCTTCCAAAACTGGCTGGAGGGAACGTGAAGGTCGTGGACGCCAGCCGCCATTGTCGCATTCCGAATTGGCGAGCGCGGGCGTGAGATACCGATGGGATGACCGCCCGGTGTTTAGTCCATGGTCGAGAACTTGCAAGACCTGTCCACTCGTCAACAAGCCGGAATTCGAGAAGGTGGTACGTAGCAGTACGTAGCAAGACGTCGCACGGGAGCAGATTACGGCATGATGACCTGGCTACCCCATGATTGTGCTCATACCTACCTCTACTAGGTAGTCTCGCAATTATCCTTCACCCCCTCGTTAGTTGCATACTAGGTACGTAGCGTGGTGAGCAAAGTTTCGGGCTCCATATGTTGGGTAGAGTCGGTACTTTGGCGCAGGTATCTCTTTCTCCCTTCCTCCACTCTGTTTGCGTCTGCCCTGCCTGTTTTTTGCACGCCCGGCTGGCCGCGAATTCGATTTTTTTCTAACCCCACCCCCTGGCAGCCTCGAACTCTGGTACCCCTACCCCCCTGGGCACCGGGCAGACTTGGCATTTCGTTGGCGGACGCGGGTACATTACAAAGTCTTGGTCTGGCCCATTCCCGTCGTCTCTGACTGGAAGAAATACCCACTTGTTTTTCGCTCCAACTCGATCTCGATACAAATTCCTCGAACCGACCTTCGCACGTATAAACCTCATACCCGCACCACCAAACCAACCTACAAGCACCAGCAAGCACCAGCATCAAACGCCAACACCAACATCAACACTCGGGAACAAACCAACAACAAACTCGGCAGCATCCTTCAACCCAGCACTGGTACTGATAGCCTGCCCTGCGCACTTCCACACAACACACATCACAATGTCCGCCCGACCACAAGTTTCGTACCTTACCTCCACATCTTCGGCTTCGTCATACTCATCCTCCGACTCCGACCTGTCTTCGACGTCATCAGTCAGGCACAGCATGGACTCGACACAACCCATCGTCTCGGTTGAGGTGCTCCGGTGCCTAAGGTGCGCCCGCGCCGAAGAGATCACCTCGACAGACGACCCCAGCTCCATGGGAATGGTCCAGATTGGCACCAACATCTACTACTGCAACCGCTGTGCCAAGATGACCGGCTACAAGTGAATCAACAAAAGCGGCCTGCCTTCTCGCAATCTACTACCATGGTTGGAATTAAGTGGGAGTTGGCCACTTGGGATCTACGCATCACCTTCGCACATGCGAAACACTCACAGCCTTCAGCATCGCAGCGACAACGCTCGACCTGTTTAGCTGCTTCTTGGATATCAACTCGACATTCCACGTTGCCTCGAGGTCGAATAGAGGCGGATTTTGAGAGTCTGGACCAGAGTGTCCTGATCGATCGACGCAAGTTCCGGCGATCACTGTGGCAATTTCCTCTTCGGCGGATGTTTCCCTCCCGCAACACAGCCCACGACATCTTTGCTACAGGCACTTGAAACACCGCCATCCTCGCGGCGGCAACAAGTCCCAACCATTGATTGGTCTATTCTGCGGACACGAATGTCGACATGCTAATATCCATTCACAACCGCGACGCATCCAGCCGGGCCGCCACAAAAAAAGGCGCCCAGCGCAAACATATGTCTGCAGCGGTCTTGCTTTCGACGACTATGTTTTCAAGCTACTTTTACACCTTGTGTACCTCGGCTCGCCAACTATTGTCCTCACACCGAGTGAAGTGCGAGCCAAGAGTAAAGATTGAGGTCTTTGGAATTCTCTCCGAGTTCCCGAGTCACCGAGTTGACTATCTCGAAATGATGAGCCTTGCTGTGACGTTTGAATGCGACGGTCGCGGCTCATCGCAGTCCAGGGATCGAATTTGCTATCTTTCCCATTTTCAGATTCTCGTCATTGCGCGTCAAAGGCACATGCTACGAGATCTTGGGAACGTCACTGGGCTACCAACAACAACCGACTTTGGACTTGGTGCTGCCTATCACAGACGGCGGCCGACCAATGGCGGTCGAGGTCGCTAGACTACCCCTCATTTTTCTGATTTTGTGCTGCCCCCTCCGCACATCCCCTGCCCATTGCCAAGCCACTGACGTAGACTTGCTTGGGTCCTGCTCTCGTCTTGAAGTGGGGATGCCATTAATCGGCAAAGGAGATCCAGGGGCACCGGGGGATTGCCAGCAGCGAGGAATGGCTGTTTTTTTTTTGTTTTTTTTCTCGTGCAATTTGATTTTTCTTGTACATTTTGTATCTTTATATCATCATTTTGTCATCTGAGCGAGGCGCTGGGATTTGCTTTTCATGCATTACACACTTTACACTGGACGGAGTGGAAAGGAAAGGACGGTAACAAAATGGCGGAAGGGGGATAACTGGTTGGATTGGATTGGATACCCGGTGGCTTTTTAGTGTACACACGGGATTTTGGACACGGGAAACATCAATACAACTTTGAGCCTGATGGCTTTCTGATTCTTCAGCAAACACATTTTTGATACTTCCCTTTGCAAACTTGTGATTTTTTTTTTCAATGAGCAGATATCATTATCCTCTTGACCATCTCTCCCCCTCTGCTTCTTCCATTAATATGAGTGCAGCATCTCGCAGCGAGTGAACCCCAACGTGAGCTTTACTCCAGTCGTAGCTAGATAGCATGCAGGCCAGGCAGGTTTTCTGCTCGTCTCCTGGTTCGCTGCAGACAATAGTGCCATTTGACACATCGACAGCTGCTAAATTTGTACCACAACGGTTCCCCGCGTCAGCAGAAGCCTCCATTCGCAAATTCGGGGTTATTCCCTCTGGGCTGTTCTCATCAATCTACATATCAATCAACTCGTGTTCTTTTCTGCGGGCGATATCTTCTTTTCCATCCTCGCGATCACCCATCTCGCTTTGTGAACCTGCATTTCCTGCAGAGCCATCGAAGCCATTCCCGTCGTGCCATCCAATGATGTGGAGAAGCTACAGCTCCAATTGTTCGTTGTTCTCCAATCGCACACCTCCAAGCTCCATTCAAGCTCCTTATAGCTCCTCTCCGGCCCCCCTTCCCGTTGCAGTTGCTTCAACGTACATCAACGCCAACGCAATCAATTGACTCGACAAGTCAGTCAGTCACTTAGTTGCTACCTACCTACATACATCATCGCTTGACATATGCGCTTCGCTTGGTGCGTGTTGCGTGGTGGCGGCCGTGAAAGACCTCGACAGACTTCTTGGAAGAATCGGAACCAAATCCGCCACGCGGCATTGCCCTCGGCTAGCTGCAAGACTCCGTAGGAGGAAAGAAGGAAGATGACCGCAGCAAACGCACATATTCTGCATTCATCATCCATCTTTGTCAAGATGCATTTTCTCACCCAAGTGACCACTATCGCTATTTTTGGGCTCTTTGGCAGTTTCCTTACCGGATTACTCCCGCAATGAGTCTCTGGTCCGACAAACACAAAGGCGGGTTTCGCAGCGCCAGGTGTCGCTCGCTGGCTTTCAGAGCTTCTCAACTTGGATTTCTGCCCCTGTTCGCCGATGCAGCTGGCTGCGGCCTGTCAATAGTCGGATGATGGTGTCATGTGGGTCAAAAGATGGCCGGCCCTATGTACAAGAAAGATGGGTCCATGAGCCGGTAAAATCTGTCACTAGAATTTCCTTCCTTCTGTCGGTTACGCTTTTTGACACTTGGTGGTTTTACGGATTGTGTCATAGTGTACTTCGCGCTTCCCAATGACAGCCCGAGGGCCGGCAAAGGCGGTGGACGCTTCAGCCCCCCCGCATTGCACTATACCAGAAATTGTTCATGATTGACTTTTTTCTTTTTTTTTTTTAGCGCAACCAGCCTCACTTTTGTCTTACAATATGGGTGTACCCGTGTATCACAATCCCACACCGGATTTGGTCGGTGGAAAACATGGATTTAACAACTCTCAGTCTAGGTAGGTATGGGACACACAAACACCAGCTTTTGAAAATCTACCAGCAGTAGCTACTATATGTAGCACCTTACTGTGAACCCTATATAGCTAGCTGGTAAGCACTATCACTACGGACCACGTTAGTTCTGAAACATACATATAGCTGGATCAGTTATTCAATAGTTCATCAGATAGTCTTGCAGATCTAAGGGTCTCTGGGGTTCTCGTCAGTACTACACCAAGACATCATCAACTTTGGTTTTATGGTGTAGGCTGATTAATGTTGGACAAGCATATGATATGCTGTAGTACCAAAGCCGATAGCTCCAGTTATCTCCGCTATCTTTATATCACATAAGATTGTTGATGAACGCTGATCAGTATGTGGATAGGGCACGATGGGTGTATGTAAAGTTAAGATGGAAGAGTCAAGTGATTACAAATATACGGTCATAGGGTGATAAGTACCTGAAACTGCTGAAAGAGATGATGTATTGTAAATCCTGAAGACAACCTAAGAGACCCTTTATGCTTGAACGTACAGATCTAGGGCATGCCTCTATTTTTTGACAGACGGCTTGATTTGAAGCATCGAAAAGCCTTACTGCATCAACATCAGAAACATCAGAGACAAAGCCCTGTTGATGCTTCACTACCATCATCTGGATTGGATGTCATGGCTCGCTTGTCAGCCTAGATAGCAGGGCTAACCAAGATCACAGAGCGCCATGATGAACCATGGGAAAGGCTGTCAACAAACATAACCTGCCCTCACACGACACGTGTTGGGATCCATGCTTTGGGAAGTGATAATCTTGGGTACAAAATACGATCGGCTGTCAAACTGATGTGTGTCAGGGTTAGGGGTGCGATATCGTATCGTCTTTTCCCTCTTTATCGGCAATGGTCGTTGCACTTCATCATGATTGGATGCTACGGAACCTGTTACTGTTCATCTTTATTCATATCGGGTAACCAGAGCAACTTCAAACTTGGGGGCAAGGCTGTTGAGATTGACATATATCGAGAGGTTGTTGTTTGAAGACCGAACAACGACAACGATGACATGGAAAACTCGCTGCAAGTTCTCTACAAACAAAAATAGGACAGGAGACTGAAATGGAGGGACTTCACGGCCCGCTCCACGGTCCACCTTCATACATAGAATTGTCCTTGGCACTTCAAGTTTGCACTCGGCGACGATGACCGCTGCCCCCACGACAATTTCGGGCTCGGGGATATGGAGGTGAAACTCGGCGAGTTGACACAAGGCCTTGCGCACACACACTTACTTTCCCGCTTGGGTCTCCACCGTATCTCCGTGATCTTCGTAGTTACGGTCACCTTTGGTATTGAGGACAATGATGACGCCAAGTAGGTATTGAACGACGGGTACATAGCACACCTCTCTACTACAGTGACAGCGGATAGCCGAGAATCCCTTTAAAACCCTAGCCCAGCCAGCCGTGCAGCCGTACCTGACATGAGGCACTTTGGGCTCTGCTTCTCTGGCAGTATCACTCACGTAGTGTAGTATCTAGGGCTTCCGGGGTAGGAGTTGGCGTAAAAACAGGGCTTGATTCGCTTTTACCAGGCATCCACTGACACCGGCGGCGGCGGCAAGGTTGACGAGTCGCGCGTCGAGAAGATTTTGACATAGGATTTCGTCAGGGACACGGGTCTAACGGCGGGCAAAACAGGACCCCTTTCTTCCCTGTCTCTCTCTCGTGCGTCCTGTAGGGTCCTCCTGTACAGGACTCGCTATACGGTCATTGGTTATAATCGGGCGAACAGACTCCATTTGCTGTCCAAGGTTTGGAGTGTGGAAGCTATTCGGAGCTAGATAAAGAAGAAATGTGGTTGTACTTAGCGAGTTTTTCGGTTGCGGTGCGAGGGCCTTCCGAAAAAGGAATCATTCGTCTCCGCTTGGTGACGACATTGTGCATTTCCCGCACCCGAATAGCCGCTAAATATATCTAATTGTCTCCTGGTATTTGATTAGGCTATGAGATTAAAGGTTGTGAGGCCGAAAAGGGGGTTTGTGAGAGGGTCGTTGAACGACGTCGAGAGGGTCGGACGGGGTTGGCCCCATCACGACCCTCCGACTCCCCGGGTCCCGGACCCCCGCTTGCTCGTCTTTTTCTTTCCCCGAGTGGCCGCTGAATTCGCTAAATGACCGAGTCGCTTGGGTTGAGGTTGTTCAAATCCTTCGAAAACATATCCACTGCAATGCTGGTTTCATCTTTCTTTGATGTCCAGTTGCACACACGAGAAGGGTCTCGCATCTGCGCTAAGCTTCTTCCTGTGCGCGATCGCGAGGAACGATCTACTCAAGCATCAAATGCATCGCAACCCTGATTTTCGACAAAGTAATTCGCAACATGCCACACCCTAACCCGCGCCAACGAGTCAACATCGGCAAAACGCCATCGGAGATTCTACCGGCGTTACACCTGTTGGCTGGTCATGCCTACCTCTACCTACATCTCAGTTACATACCATCCTTCATGTTGTTCTACACCCTGGTCCATGAACCCCAGTACAGCGGTATTTCCTTTGCTTGCAGACTTCTGCAACTAGAGATACCTCTTGCATATATCAGTGTATCACGTTCACCTCTACAGGAGCATTTGTCAGCTTGGCGTTTTCTGGCCTCGTATCGACCTTAGTTCTTACACAACTACACCCTCACACATATCACAACAACTGTCACAATAGCTGCAACGAACATATAAATGACAACAGATATCCTATCATGTGATGATGTCCAGCCGACATATATGTCCGTTGGGGGGGGGGGGGGTTTCTTACACACTATCCTCCGATATATGCCGCCTACTGATGCTGGGTCTTGAGCTCTCATGGAGTTAGCACCAACCAACCAAAGTAACGAGAAGAAGGTAAGCGGCATCGTAGGGTACAATATTACATCACTTTCTCGATCTCGATCACACCCTTATATTATGCCCCAACGTAGGTATCGCGTCACGGCTTCGGCCCCTTGGCTCTTGGAAGCGAGCAAAGGATAAATTTTGGCGACCAGGCGGGGGTATCAAGGACGTTCTCTCGGAGTGGTTCGGCAAGGAGGGGGTTTTTCGTGACAGTGCAAAGTGGAAGGGCCGGAGTGCGGTGCGGGCCTGGACATGATCGGGAATCGATGTCATGTTCCCGAACGTGTCGATAATTGCGCAATCTTGGACTACACACAATTGGTTCAGTTTCCATCATCGAATTATGTGTCGGCTTCTGTGCGACACAGTACCGAAACTCGACGAGAAAACGCCGAAATTGCCTCACCAGGGAGACCAGGGTAACTTGGGGCCAGAAGCTTCTTGCCGCCGGCCATTCACCTTCCTCTCCAGGGACATGGTGATCGAGGGCACTAGACTGGTTGGCCTAGGGCGGCATCCCGAACGGGGCTGGAGCTAAGCAGGCCCTGGGAAAGCTATGATGCATGGTCTAGATTCGAGTCCGTCCGGGGACAGGGTTGGCTTGCTCCAAAACCTTAAGTCGAGATCGCGCAAGTGGCCAAACGACGTTGGGAATAACTTCATATTTCCTGCAATGTCACGCATTGTGGCAAATCATAACGGGTGGAGAGGCGGAGAATAAGCTCCGGTATTCGCAGGGCTGCCTGGTTCGCCTGTTCGGGCCGGGGGATATACATACTCGAGGACGATGCAGCGAAGAGATGGTCGAGAGGGACAAATGAGGGGATTCGCACCTCCAGAAGTTGGCCTCGCAAGACAAGCCGTTGACGATGGGGCTTTCCGCATGCGGCCCGACATGCCAAGCTTGCTAGGGCTTAACCATCCTGTCGATGTGCTAAACAAATAGTCCAACAGAGACTGGCTTTCGGGTAAAGCCGAGAAGAGCGAGACTATTTGGAGGAGGTCACCGAAACGAGAAGAGAGCAGTTGTTGACCTTGGAGCCCACGATAAACTTGGATACCACGCGGTTCAGCTTGTCAGGACCCGGATGAGCTAAGTAACTACCCGTGTCAGTTCCTGGCAGAAACCGGGCTGGGCTGCATCATCAAACAGGGTCCAGGGCCTCTACGACTCAAGCTCAAATCGCTCCAATAGGGTGGACGAGTTGGAAAAGAGGGCCGTAACAACACCTTCGCCAGTACCTGTGGTTTGTGAATAACCTCATTTTCTGGCCCGTGCTTGATCCCGATATCTGCATCTCTGGCTCGCCCGCCTAAGTCGGTACCTCAGGCTCATGTACCCTCACCCTGACCGATGACCTGACCGCCGACATCATCACCCCCTTACCCGCCGTTCCAGGTCGTTGAATGGACGTAATTGGAGGTATCTGGACTCAGTGGATGACACAATGGGCAGCCAAGGTCGATTGTCGGAGGGACCATGGAATTTTTCGAAGGGAAAGAAAACTTGTCAGGGTCGGTTTCCGAACCCTTTTGCGTGCCCAATATCGATTCACATGTGCCGGGCCCCGTGCGTAGTCTTCTCAAATGTCATCACTTGGCTGTCCCGATATCGTCAGTCGCATCCCAAGCAACACCGAGGTGACCATTGACGTCCCAGTCAAAGCCCTGTCAACCGTCCATGTCACCTCCCCCGTTCACCTCTCAGCCTTGCCGTCATCCACATCCTTCCGTATCCTCCTCAGCACGGAAACAGCCAACCACCTTTTCCGACCCGTAATATCCAGATCCTCTGCCCCACGATCCCACGCCCACTCCCGGTCATTCCCGTCGCAGTCCCTTTCCCACAGCCTCTCCACCTCGAGCCCGACCTCCCTCAGCTTCTCCGCGTCAAAGAACCCCCGCATCTTCTCCCGGCCGGTGTGATAGCCGCCCACAACCCACGCCCGCGCGCCCGGGTCATCTTCGCTCAGGAACCACGCGATCGACCGCCGCAGGTTCTCGTGCTGCCACGGCATCCACAGGCAGTCGGCGCACAAGACGCGGTCGAACGCGCCCTTGTTCTCCAGCGCCAGCGGCGTTTCCAAGTCGCCCCACCCGTGTCCCTCGACCGCGACCTCGACGCCCCTTGCACCTTTCTGATCCTTCAGGTTCAGCTCAACATTCTTCCTCAAATTCTCAATCACCACCGGCGCCGGGTAGTCCGTCACCAGCACCCTCTTCGCTCCCAGCAGCGCAGCCATGAGGCTCGGCAACCCTGTTCCAGCTCCCATCTCGATCGTCGATCGGCCGCGAATGTCAAAGTCCGCCAGCGGCGGCACCGCCACCCTTTTCCCTACATCAACCGTCCCCGCGCCTGCGCCGGTCGTGTCCTCTCCCGCCTTCAAACCCAGCGTGCCGGCCTCGATCAGCTCCGCGAGCAGCAGAGAGGCGTTCCAGAGGAAGTGGCTAAACAGCGAGCGGTCTTCGGCGATTTTGGGGTCAGACAACTCGATCCGCAGCGGCTTGGACAGGTGCGGGGACGTGTAATGGAGGGCGGTGGAGGCGTCGCCGTGCTGATTGGTCACGTCGTCGGTGAAGATGACGCCGAGGGAGCCGGCGAAGAGGTCTTCCGGGTCATCTGAGAACTCGTCTTGGGTGGTGTTTATAAAGGAGAGGCGGGCTGTTAGAGCCATTTCCTCTTCTTTTTCGTTTGGGTAGGGCTAGTGTAAGTTGGGTTGGATGTTTAGTTTTTATTTTTGATCGGTAAGTGATGATCCGTTGAGTAGGTAAGTACTTAAGCAGGTGAATTTTGTTGATGGTGAAGGTAAGTTTGGTGCGGTGTGATTTGAATGTGTTGATGAGAAGAGGTTGAAGGTCGGGGGTGAACTGAGTGATTGTGGTTCCGATGCGATGTGACGATCAGACGTCTGTCCCTTTGCAGAAGAATTGTTCTGAGGCTCTGATAGCAGCAGGGGGGGAGTGAAGATCCTCTGATCCTCAAAGGTACCGAACGGTAGGTTGGCTCGTTGGCAGGCTGCGTGAAGATCTAACCGGAGGAAGCCGTTGGTGTGATCGGAAAATTTTTGATTCGTTTGTACGATACTGCAGCTCGTCATTTGTCGCTGTTAAGCCTCTAAGAAATGACGAGATTCTGAACTCCCGCTGATATATCACCTCGAACCGACAAGTGAAGCGATCACAGTGGGGTGTGTTTCTTGCGACTTTTGGCGGGGCAGCCCTCGAAACAAACTTTGGTGGGCCTAGACTGAGGTACGGCCATGAGTTTAGGGTACCGTTTGCTTGACTATCCTTTGATGCCGGGGTTTTTGATGTTCCCCACAATTCAGTTGTTGACAACATCCTCTTGAGTAAACACTGAAGGATGACCTTCCTAGGATAAAAGAAACCTTTAAGAAATCGGGCTGAGGTAGACATTGACTAGCACAATGTCTATAAAATACCTACCTTCATCGAGTCTGGATATTACTGGCCACATTTCTCACGGCCCATTTCTTCCTGGTTCCGTCCAGGAAAGATATAAGAGTTTGAAGGATCTAGGGTAGGTCGTGGGTAACAAACAAACACCCGATTAAAGTTGTTCATAGTGATTGAGATTGGAAGACGAGTAAGAGTAAACTCAAAACTAAACTCAAAACTCTATTCAACTAAGCAGTATTGAAGCAGGTATCAGGGCGTCATCCAACAAGCAAACTAGACTACATCAACCCCATCTGAACCCAACCCTTCTTTCAACTCTCCTCCTTCATCTTCTCTTTTCTTCTTTTTTGCTTTATTAACTTTCGTCCTCCAAAACCGCCGGCTAGTCGTAAAAGGACCTCACAAATTCAGACCTAGAATCATTCAAACATTCCCACCAGCACCACCAGCAAAAGCACCCTTTAACCCACCCCCAACCCACCCAGCAGCCTTCACCACCATCGTTACCGGCATGAACGTCCACCCAAGCATACTCCTCATGCTTCCTACGCCCCAGACGGCACCAATGACACCCAGCACAAAGACAAACTTCCACATGAATCTCACAGGCCCGATAGCCAACAGCGACAGTTCTTCGCTCTTCTCCTTCAACTTTTCTTTGCCACGCTTCAGCTTCTCCTCAGCGTGGTCCATTTTGACTTTTAGCTTGTCTTGACCCTGGGCTAGCTTGTTCTTCATGTTGGCTTTTAGACTTAGTGCTGACGAAGAAGTAGTAGAAGTAGAGGCAGCTTCGGTAACGGTCTCGGTGACTACCACTTCGTTGCTGGCACCACCACCACCACCAGCACCAGTGCCTTCAATTTTCTTCTCAACTTTGGTAATATGAGAAGAGAACCACGACTTGATATTGTGTCGTGAGGACGAAGATGAGGAAGATCTTTTCAAGGACGGCCTGTTATCATCACCACCAGCATCTTCCGCTGTCGATATGCCAGTTCCAGATTTGGCTCTGTAGGACTCTTCACCACTAGCAGCAGCAGCGAGCTGTCGATCATCACTGCTGCTGTTGCTTTCTACCCTTTCCATCATCGCAGTGTCCGTAATTGTGACAAATATGGTTCCATGTTGTCCAGAGTTACGGTCCGCCACTGCTACCTCCGTCCTTTGCTGCTGCTTTTGCAATTGCTTCATCTGCTTGTCAGAATCAGAAGAGTCATCAGCATCAGATCCGTCGACGCCAGCGATATGGATGGGTACAGTGGGAAGAGAAGGTTCATCCCCACCAGTAGCTGAGTTGTTGTCCGACGTTGGCGACACCTTTTCGGCGGATGATTGTGGTCGACGTTCTGCCTCCTCTTCCAGTTCGCGGTAACTCTCAGAGTCCTTAGTTGGCTCGGCAGTTCTTTTGATGCTGCCAACTGCGGATGGTTTCTTGAACCTGACGGTTTTGCCTCGGATGAGGAGGGAAGCTGTGTCCGACGACGATGATGGCTGAGCACCGGCTAGTGTTCCTTGCGCATCCATGCTGCTGTTGAGCGGTTCGCCCAGGCTTCCGGGCCCCGAGGGGGATGACAGCTCCGATGTGTAACGGGGGGTGATCGCCTTGATCTCGGGGTTCTCTGGCAAGGTGTGGCTTTCTGAGTTCTCATCGATTGAGATGGATTCAGAATGGTTATGGGACCTAAGGTGGGTAGTCCGGAGACCGCGTTCTCTCGAGACAGCAATGCTGTCACGTAGTCGACCGCCTTGTTCCATGGGCCTGAGCAAAGAAGCTACCAGGTATGGAGATGGCACGTCTGATCTATCGCCGCGTTCGTCAAGTGGCTCATCGATAGAGACAGACCGCGAACGACGATGGTTTCTCATGCCGGGAACCGTTCGGACTCCCCGTTCCTTTGAGAGGACAATACTGTCGCGTACCCGACCGCCGAATTCCGCTGGTTTGAGAAGCGAAGGTCCCGGTGAGGGTGAGGGTGAGGGTGAAGGTGTATCAGCATCAGCATTGGCTCTCGTCACGTTAATATCCAAGACGCTGTCATCTTTGGTGCCCTCCAAGAAGACATGATCCAGCTGGGAGACAAGCCCAAGCATATGTTCGAAAACATAAACAGATTCGTGAACAATCCTTGCCCGCTCCGAAGTCGTGAGAAGATCCTCCGCCTCCACCAGGCGTCTCTTAAACTCGCGCTTCAGATCTTCTCCATCCTGACTGGTATTGAAGTGGAAGAACCGGAGGCGCTGACTCATTGGCGCCGTCGCATGGGACTTGTCCGGATATGTGCATGCTTTACCAAAAGGCATGATGGGGTCACACCTGGTCTTCCAGAACTCCGGGCCCGCCTTTTCCAACGAGCTTCTGAGGATTCGGCCTCCGGAAAAGAGCGCCATGTAAAGGACCCATGCATAGGCGAGTAAGACAGGTGGACTCTCGCCCACAGATTGTTTTATATGGGTGACGAACTTTTTCAGGTTTCCATTTCGAGCCGCAACCTCAATTTGCTCGTTCACCATTTCCTTGGACCAGCCTGTCAGGCAGCCTATATCGGCCCATAGGCAGTCGGCTCGCATGAGACCTGGAATACGAAGGCTCTCGAGGATGGAAAATATGCGCTCAGAGGTGCCGGGGCGTTGCGATAGGCCCGCATCGTCGCCATCGTGGAATGGGACGCGGTGTGAGGTCTTTGGGTCGAGGAGAAACCGGTCTTTCTCCTGCGGTGGTTGAGGAGAAGATGGTCTGTTTCGGTATGGGGACGAATTCCTGAATTCTTTCGTCTGCTCCTTGTGGGAAAGAAGGATCATGTACCATAGCGTCTCGAAGGTGATGTATACCGGAGCTACGTGGAGCAGACCAGATATGTAGGTCGAGGGTGTATTTGCAGCCGGAGGTAAAGCCAGAGGGAGACGGCGGATGATCTGACTGTTAAGCTGGGTATGCACCAATCTCGTAGCCGCGTTGATCTGGTCTCCGAGGTGGGAATAATGGGTTTCCATGATCGTATTTGTGGTTGGACACTCGCGTGTTTGATATCTCGGGTGACAATCTGATAAAGAGGTTCGGTTCCGTTGTGGATAACAAACAGGGCGCAATGTTGGAGTAGCGGTCGTGAGGGAATTACTGAGGGGGTGCGGGCATGCTATTAGAAGAACAGGGGAAACGATACACAACAGACTGAGACCGTCGACTGGGAGTGGGACAGAGAGGTCCTCCGATCGAATGAGTAAGGATACTACTGTAAGGACGCGTAGATGTTGCAGTTCCGTGAGTTAGATAGGTACCAAGAGAAGGTGAGGAATGACTTTTGATTACTACTGATCATGTCGTAGTGTTTTTCTCTAGATGTATAACAGGTGACACTGAGGCGATAGAACTGCAATACGTCCTCCTGAGGGAAGGGGTCAGGTATTCGGCAGGAAAGCGCAATGACGACCACATCTTGACCCGGTCCAGCTTCTGGCTGTAATGACCTAGGGTAATGACTCCTGTGAGCTGCCAGTTCAAACTATGAAAATGTCAATAGCTCTCGGGCTATAATGGCAAAAGAGAAAGGGAAGGAAGGATGGGTTCATGCTAGTATCCATGAACTACGCTTCAAGACTAGCAAGAATCTGAGATCTTGATCTGACACAGATGAAGATGATCTTGGCTGAATGAAAGCATAAGCAAACAAAAGGCTCAAGAGAATCAGAAGCCGTTGAGTTATGGTACTTCCCATGTATGTTCTTACCTTTATGCTGTTCCTTCGTTCCTGGCAAAGGAACGATGCGCTTCGTTGTACGCCACCTCAACATCCGCAGCCCTAGTGGTTCGTCGTCATCGACTTTCTCGTAGTGCTGTGAGGTTGCTTAAAGAGTGGCCCCTCATTTGGTATACCTTTTTGGAGGCTTTTCGGTTTAACAGATGGGCGATATATACTCGCCTGGAGATCCACGGTCAACTTGTGCAAAGTGTTCTCGCCTCAGGTGACCACCCAATGCGATACGCCTCGCCGATGGGACAAGAACCAGGCATGTGCCATCTCTATCATTATGTCGAGGCTTGTGGGTACAGGCAATTGAACATGTATACGACACTGTCAGGTTGTGTCCCGCTCTCTTCAGAGCCTTGTAAAATGGAAGGAGAAATAGGCAAGATGCCATGCCCAAAAAAAAAACAAATAAGAACGCCCGCATCATTATATGCAATATCCAAAAGATGCCACGCTCTGCACAAGAAGTCATCCGCGAAATCTCCCGACATATTAGACAGCGATAGCTGCGTCGGAAGTGCTCGACCCTCCCACAACGTTCCTCACCTCAGCTGTTGTCTGTTGCTCCTTATCGTTCGCTTTGCATTCTCCATTACCATTGCCTTCCTCGTGGCTCTCGTTGTTCACAAACACAAAGGAGAAGACCACGATACCAGCTCCGACCCAATAAATCCAGCTGGAGTATTGGTGGTATTGGATCATCTCGCCAATAAGCGATAGTGGTATTGTAAGAGACAGGCCGACGGTAACGACAAGTGGTGTGGTAAGAAGCATGGCGTATGCCCAAATGATATCGCTGAAGAACGAAGAGATTGTGTTAATCTGTTTTAATTTTGGTTAGTGAACTCTCCACATAAACAGTCATCGAACTGTACTCCAGCTTACCCAGATAATGGCCCAAGTCGTGCCGTTTGGCGGTAGTTCGAACTAGGACAAGCACATATTAGAAAGGTATGTCCACACTACGCACAGCTCGAGAGCCCTCCCAAAACATCCAAGACCACACGCTAAGGAAAACTTACAGTTTCGATTCCTGTGACATGCAGGATGATGAATAGTGGCCAAAGAAATACCAGATTAAGTACCCCTACGATCCCAAAGAACAGCGTCATGTTCATACGATCCTCATCAACGGCCCTCTTCTTCATCACCGTCACATAAACGCCATACACAATGGCACTGAAAAAGGCCATGGCGTCGCCAATCGCAATTTCCGTCCTCGACTTCTCCGGGAAGTCTCCTCGCATCTCGTCACTCGCGCCGCTCATGTCCAACGACGAGATGAGCACCACGCCGGCCAGCGACGCCAGCACTCCCAAAAGTTTCCGCACCGTGAAACCCTCCACGCCGGCCAGCGCGCAGAAGATCAAAGTCCAGATACTGCTCGTTGATGACAAGATCGTCACGCTGCCGACACTGGTGTACTCGAGACATGCTGATGCAAAGTAGTTGGCCGCAAACCAGAGCATGCTGAACTCGAGGCTGAGCCAGAAGGTCTCGGCCAAACTGAGCTGCTCACATTTGTTGGATTTGAGGCTGCCGGTGTCGTCGATCAAAAGGCTCTCGCCTGCCCTCGCGTCTTCGTCGTCGACCATGGCGACCTTTTGGTATGACCTGCCCTGTCGTATTTCGTACCAAGCCTCTACCAGCTGTCGTTTTGATGCCGGCCACCCATACTGCATAACATGTCGAATCCCCATAGGTATAAGGGCGAGGGCGAACATGGAGATGTTGACGTAGAGGAGGAAGAAAGGCTTGTTGTAGGAGCCATCGGCGAACATGACCTGCGAATCATAGACCAGCAATCGACGATCAGCGTGTGCTCGCACAAGAACAAAAGGGTAGAGGTACGGATAGGGGCTTGCGCAACTCACGCTGGCGAGGAAGTTGGATACCGTCCATAGGAATACCACAACCAGGAGCAGTACGATTCCCAGCGTCCGTCGTCCCATGTTTGTCACCCATGAGGGCATCTTGGAACGAAAGCTCCCCTTACTCGCGGTTGTCGATGTGGATAGAGAGCGGGATGATCGCCCTCGCGCAACGAGTTCGACACTTGCTGTTGACGGACTGTGTGAGCTACGGTCTACAGCATTGTATGAATCGGCATCGTCGTCGTCTTCGGGTTCGTAGCTGCGGCGGTGGTGGTAGTTTCCGTTTGAGGGCGGCACTAATTCGGCAGCCGCCGGCGACACTGACCGGGCAGCAGAGACCATTTTCTGGGAGTCGCGAAACGGCCGAAAGACGCTGGAAACACAGCAGGAGTCTCCTGGACAGCCCTCGAGAGTTTAGACAAGCTCAAAGCAGAAAACAGAACGCTGCGCGAGAGGCTAAAAGAGGATTGACAGGGTCCCAAAGCAAAGAGTGAGAAGAGTCGGGAGTTGCGAAGCGGACGCAGGGGACCTTATCGGTATCATTGAGTCAAGGTTGGCTGGCTACTGCCGTCAGTGGGAAATAGGGAGCTGAGGAATTACAGCCAAGACCAAATGTTACTGGGGCTGCTAAAGACAGCCTACCAGTCTTAATGAGAATCGCTAACAGAGAGGCTAGATCAGCTGCTTCAGAGATCAGAGCGCAGAAACGACGAGACGCGCGTCATCCCGAGATACTGAGAAACAGGATGAAAAGGAGCAAGAGGGGCATGTTTACATTTCGTTCCCCTTTGGAGCCCTTCTCCCCTGGTGGCCACGACGCTCCAACCCGACACCGCTTATGAATATGCTGATCCACGAGCGGTAGGGGGCGCGGGAGGTGGGTTTGTCGTTGTTTGTCACTCCGGGGAAGTGGAATCGCAAAATCTCAAAGTCGAGTAGAGTTGCAGAGGCGCCATGGGAGTCCCTGTGATACCATCCAGCCCCTGACGCGAATACTTGATGGGTCCAATCTGTTTGCTATTCTCAGTCAACAAAAAAGTCCGTAGGTCGTTGTGGTAGGTACGGTGTCCGTCGCTTTGTTTTACCACTCATGTTCAACCACTGAAACATCGCGCCAATGCGCTACTGTCGCCAGTGGTTTTGTCATCGGCTCAATGATGAAAATCTCCATCCTGGAGATGTGAAGAGGTGAAGTTGAAAAGGCAAGCGTTAGTTGTAGTTGAAAATGTGAAGAAAAGGTTATGCATCTGCAGGTGATTATGTAGGCATGTACGTACCTAGGTAGGTACCTCTCGTCCAAACATTAGCTGCGGAGACGCATTTCGTACATAGTTCGCTTATCTGTAAGGAGCTGCCGGGTATCTGCTATCGCTGGTAGTAGGCAGGCAGCAATCATCTTTTCGGTGTTGTTCCAGGTTGTCATGCCATAATACAACAGCTCTGGGTTGTCGTTGACTTGCAACCACTTCTTACACAATGTGATGACATGGTGAAGAGCACAATGGATACAGTCAGAAAGACCACTGCAAATTACCAGATACTCAGCTATGGAAACTCGAGAAGGAAAGACAGTCGAGATAAAAACCTCCCGTACCAAGACTATGTTTATTCCATACTCCCATCTACACCAGTGCATATCTATCATTGCTCGTCACCGTTCACGTCCACTCTTGCGCACCCCATTGACTCCCCCCGTTCCAAACTCACTGGTCATTAAGCACCGTCTCTTCAGGCCAAGATCAAAACCGCATTCCTGTCATACCCAGCGTGATATCATACAAATGAAGACATGAAAAACCAAACTCCCTCATAAACCCAAAAGGAGGACTTGAAGCTTGATGGAGCTCCTTCGCCCTTAGCACGCGCACCCATCCCGGTCGTTCTCGATGTGAATGTTGATGGGATCCTGGAAATCTCCGCTGAACTCCTCCGACTCTTCCTGCATGAGCGCGTTTCTGGCGATAACCTCAAAGGCCTGCTCGACGTTGATGGCCTCCTTTGCACTGGTCTCGAAATACGGAATGTTGCCCTTGGATTGACAAAAGGTCATGGCCCTCTTGGTCGAAATCTGCGCCACAAGGTCAGTAAATGATGAGCTCCAACATACGACAAGGCCCATCGAACAGAAAACATACCACCCTCTTGCTCTCTTCCATATCGATCTTGTTACCCAGCACGACGAACGGGAAGTTATCCGGGTCTCGCGGAGATGCTTGGATAAGGAACTCGTCTCTCCAGCTGTCGAGCGCATCGAAGCTCTTGGAGTTGTTGACATCGTATACTAAAACACAGCAGTCGGCACCGCGGTAGAAGGCAACGCCCAGCGACTGGAACCTCTCTTGTCCGGCCGTGTCCCACAGCTGTCCGTCGAGCACCATACGTATTAGCACGTCGTCCAACCAGCTCAAAGTAGGGTATTTGGCGCACGCACCTGCATGGTTACTTGGCGGTCGTCCACCAGAACCTCCCGGGTCAAGAAATCGGCTCCGATAGTGGCCTTGTAGCTAGCACTGAACTTCTTGTTGACCTGTTTTGCGCCAAAAGAGCGGGGGTCAGATGACGTCCTCTTTGTATCATAATGCATGGTGACAACGGGCTCGACGCTGGCGTACATATTGGTTCATCAAACTGGTCTTTCCGACACCGCTGTCGCCCAAGATGATAACCTGCCATTGGGAGTCATTGTTAGCTGTTGCTGTCTAGATGGTCCGATTTGGCGGCCGACTCGCACCTTGAGAAGAACCTTCTTCCTCGAAGACATGGCGGGCGGTATGGAATTAGATAAGTTGTTTGATAAGACGTAGAAACGGGACGAGGTGGAGTTGCTCGTGCTGGTGTGCTTCCGGGCAATAGTCAAGAACAACAGTCCACCAGTGATTGTAATCGAGAAAGATGGGAGTCGTAAGAGTGTGAGGAGGACGGCGGGCGCAACAAATGTTGGGTTTAGTGTAGGTCGTAGCAGGCTGCTAGATTCGGCACTCAGTCTAAACAAGAAAGGCCAAGCGGTAGGTTGGTTTTCGATAAGTGACCTAACCGACCGACGTGACTGACCTGGACGTTGGGGCGGCGGGAACTTGTTGAACTGGGGCTGGCCACTGAATGCTGCGCTGTTGGAGGAGCGACGGCTCTGCGACACAACCAGTGACGGAGGTGGTCGCAGCGCTAACACGCCCTCGACGCCTTTGGCGCGCCGTCAGGCAGGCACGCACCACTGGTCCAGTCTCGCCAGTGCATCCCTGGAGCCAATGAAGTCACCCGCCAGCGCCCAAAGGTCGGCCTGGTCCGAGCTGAAACACCTGACATGTACGACAGGTGGCCCGCAAAGAGGAACCTGTGGCCCACTGCACCATGCCCAACGCCAAGGATTATCATTCCTTCGTTCATTCATTCAGTTCTTCATCAGCCATGTCATCCTCCCATTCCTCAGCGGAACAGTCCCAGGGGCAGAAAGGATCGACAGATTGCGACCGACTCACATTTCTTCCATTCAGTTTTGTCACACCTTTGATGTACTCGTACGCTTCACAGGAAATAAGTATATCTACAATTCACAGACAAAAACAAACAACATCCTGCCGATTGGGCGACTGTGGAAACTGACGGACCACTGCATCTCGAGATTCCATCCACCAAGGATGGCCCAATCCCGGTGACAAGAAACAGCGCCGGCGTGAAGGACCGCAATATCGGCATTCAGTTCTTCTTGCTCTTACACTACCCAAGAGACTCATTTAATCCTGCCCATAGATATGATCCTCATGCTTCGGCATAACAACGGCACTGGAAATGGAGGATGATATCAAGGAACGACAACAAGCCGAACTCCTGGACAAAATACACAGCCTGAGCGATCTCGAGCTAGCCGTCCTTCTTTCCCTCATCGCACGGGAACACTGCCTGATCAGCACCGAACCCGACTTTGTCGAGGACCTATCGAAAGAGCTATGTCTGACCACCGTCAAGACCTTTGGTCTCACGCCCGTCATCGTCCCATGTCACTCGCAGATGACACTCGATGAATTCGCAGCAGCACTCTTAGTCCCCGTCACTCCACCAAGCTCACCACTGCCCAACAACAGCAACAACCCCCAACACCACCACTCCCACCGCTCTGTACCTTCCGGCTCTGGGTCATACTTTTCCTCGAAACAAAATGTTCCCGGCTCATCTTCTTCCGCCCACCCGCCACCACCATCACAGCAGCAACAACAACCACCGGCAACGCAAATAGCCAATGTTGTCCTCGCCCAAAACGTCGACCATGCCCCGCGCGCCGTACAAATCCAAGCCCTCGAACTCCTGCGCGCGCGCCGCCTCTTCACTCGAACGAGCGTCCAGACCGCTCCGAAGCAGTTCCTCTTCGTGGCCGTAGTCGGCGCAGAAAGCGGCGGACAGGCGCGAGTCACTCACCACCTGAACGACTTCCTCTACCTTGCGCACTGGCACGATCCGGAAGATGGTTTCGCCTACCTCGAGGAACAAGCGGAAGAAGGATGGGCCGGTACAGGTGGCTTCGGCGGGCATCTGGGAAAATTGGGTGTTGCGAACAACAACAACAACAACAACAACAACAACAACAACAACAACAACAACAACAACAACAACAACGACGACGACGACGATGGCGACGACAGCCCTTATGCCAAGGCCGATGATGACCAAGTCTCGACCGACTCGGGAAGCAGCGTTGTCAAGAGGGGCGTGGGAAGCATGGCAAACAGTGGTTTAATCAACGAATCCTATCACTCTGCCCTTAGCGGACCTGGTCTCGGTCCAGGTCGCTTGGGAGCTGGAGTGTCCCTCTCCCCCCAACTCACCTTCCACAGCAACGATCCCACAGCCGTCGGTCCAACCGAAGGTCTCGAACCGCCACTTCTCTCCGATTCCGAAATCGCCCACCTCGCCCAACTCTCACTCAATGTATGCGTGGACATCGACGTCCGCCGCTACCAAATGAACATTGTCGCCTTTTTGCGCATGCACCGGGCTGTTAGCGGTGGCATCACGCCCCAGGCGACCAAGCATTTCGAACAGCTTATGAGGAGCTTGGCGCCGCTGCACGGGTTGGATTTCGTCACGCCGGCGCTGGTTGGGTTGGCGGCTAAGAAGGTCTACCTGCACCGCATCGAGATAGTGGCATCCCCCGAGGGGGAGAGGAGCATGCAATGGGGCAGCGAGCCGGCGGCTGTTGAGGCCATGTTAGAAGGGGTCGGGCCGGAGGAGGTGATTGAGGATGTACTGGGCATGGTTGCTGTTCCCCAGTAGGGAGAATCTGGTGGTGGTGGGCGAGGGGGTGAATGATGGAGGTGGGTTATGAGAAGGAAGAGGCGGGAGGGGTGAATGTTTAATCGTACTGGAAGGGGGCATTGGGACAAGGGGCCAAAACAGAACAGATCTTGAATGGGTGGGAGCAATAGGCGGTGCAGACAAAAAATTACATCTTAATTAGGACAAAGCTACAAGCTACCTTGATCACCCATCATCCCATGAGGTGGCCGATAGCCCTTATATCTATGATTTTTATCCCAAGTGTCATCCCGTCCCAACTCGCATTATGCTGGTTTAGTTGGTATTTTTCTTTCATCAGTTAGCGTTGGCGTTTCCCATTTTCTGTCATCCGATCTCTGCGTTGTATAAACCCATGATTGATCGTTCGTCGATTACCCCTCTCCCCATGCTTGTATTGAAGTGATGAAGCACGTATTATCATCTGCCCAGTCGATGGAGCAGCATGGTGATGGAGAGCGTCCACCAATACTTTCGTGACGTCTCTTGAAGTTATAGAAGAAAATACATGTTCATCGTCAGGTTGGTCAGAAGCTTCCAGCTAATCAGAGGCAATTTAGTGGATCTCCTTGATCTTGCACTTCCAGCCGGAGGACTGAGAGAGCAATGGCAAGCTGTAGCAAGAAAAAAAATACCATGTTAGCATCTCTATGACCTAGGAAGGAACAGCACCAAAAATGCATTAACTTACCTAGCACCAAGGCACCAGCCAAGCTCGTTATCCTTAATCTTCTTCGCAATCCTGACCTCGCGATCAATCGGCATCTCGTAACCCGTGTGCGTAAGCGCAAGCATAAAGTTAAGATCCATGCAGTGCTCGGGCCTGTCGCTGAGCTCCTCCAGCGCACCAGGCACGCTGGTGAATACATCCCAGCTCTGCTCGCCGCCGCACACCTGGGCGGCCAGGTCGTGCATCTCGCGGAGGGTGAACGACTCGGGCATGCCGAGCGGCTGGGTACGGTCAGTGAAATAGGACAGCAAGAAAATGTCCTCGCGGGCGAACGTCTTGGCGATCTGCGGCTGGTGGACGCCGTTGAAGGAGCACGGGGCAAGCTTGCACTCGGCATCCTTCTTAAGGATGCGCTCGGCCAAGCTGCGGCACAGGGCGGGGGCCGGGGTCGAGGGGCCCGTCATGTTGAGCTCAACCTTGGGGCCGAGCGGGTGGCTGTCGCCGAGGGGCACCTTGACGGTCTTGGTCATGCCGGTCGAGAAGCAAGGGTTGATGACGGGCTTCTGCATCCACGACTTGTCCTGCTTGTTAAGCTCGAAGAGGTCGTTGACAAGAGTGGCGAAGATGGCGTTGCGGGCCGACATGAGACCGTAACCCAGATGCGAGTGCTGGTACAGGTCGAACTTGCGGCCGCCAAAGTTGAGCTCGTACTTGTGGTCGCCGTCGGCCAGCTTCTGGGGCATGCCGCCGCTGGCAAGGCCCTCAAAGGTAGGCTCGAACACGATCTGGGTGGAACCGCCGCCGAGATCGAAGACGGCTGCGGTGGGGCTGTGGTCGGGACCGCCGATCTTGCCGAGGAGGTAGTTGACCGTGATCCAAGCGTAGACACCCTCGTCGGCACCGTCCATCATGGCAACGCCATGCTCCTCCTTGGAGACCACGGGGAAGGGGTAGTCGTTCTCAAGGTGCTCGCGGACTGCATCCAGGATCTTCTGGCTCTTCTCGGGACCAATCAGGCGCAAACCGGCGGTAGCCTTGACGGCGACGGGACTGCAGGCCTTGAGCTTATCGGGAATGACTTCGAGGGCAGCCTGCATCAGGGGGTCCAGACTCTTAGCAGCGGCCAAAGGATCGTCCTTATACGCGCTCAGTCCGCTGCTCTGGCCCTCGATCTTGGCAGTCATCTTGAATAGAACCTCTCCCTCCAGCTCGGGGGCGGGGCCGCAGTTGTTGAACTTGTAGACGTGGATACGGGAACCAGTACTGCCGGCGTCGATCATGGAAACATACTGCACGATGGGCTTCTCCTTGGAGAAGGATCTTGTGCATCGGTCGGTGCCATAGGACGAGTCGGAGGGTACTTGGCCCTGGTTGCCTTGAGAAGGGCCTGGTGAAGTCAGGTTGTAAGTATTTGGACTTGTGTAAACCAATTTCGTAGTAAGATGCTTGCTTACCTCCATCGGCACCAGAGATTTCAACGCCTGATGGGGAAAAGAGGTAGAAGAGGAAGAGAACGGCAAAGACGATTGCGCCCGTCTTCAGGTAGCGCGCCTTTTGCGACTGCGACATCCAAGCGTTCTGCATCCTGATGAAGACGCTTGCCGGTTCCTGATTGTGCTGGTCACGGCGGTAGCGGTCGGGCTTCTCGTGGGGATCGTGAGCTACGTGCTTGGTCGGCAGGGAGACCGACGTGCGCCTCATAGGGAAAGGGACCGAGCCACTTATGAATATGAATATGGGGGGGTGGAGGGACAAGAGTTGGTCGATGCGTTCAACCTAGCGAGGAACGCGGAGATTCGAGGAGGTGAGGACCTAGCGGGATCTCCAACTGTGTGGGTGGGCCTGGTCGAGACTCCGATAAGTAGCGATAAACCAGGTTGTTTTTTGAGCCGTTGCACATGCCAGACAAGAAATACAAGAGGTCAACGACAGACGAGAATGGGCCAAAGGCAAGGGTGGGAATTGGACTAGAAACTGTGATAGTCTACAGCGCTTTGTTGTTGTTTGTCGACATTCAAGACTCAGGTCCAGATGGGATCTGATTTCTTTTGAATAGGGGTTGAGGATTCAGCAGTGGGTTTGGGTCTGAAAGCTTTCAGCACTTCTTCTTGGTTGACGCTGCAGATGGGAGATTTGGCTTGTTGGATCTTTCCGCTTTCTGGCAGAATGTTACATAAAAAAAGTACAATTCAGTGGCAGGCCGCCCCTGGGACGAATCGTGAATCTTTCCTCACTCCAGTCTCTCCAGTCCTCCTCCCGCTCTCCGGTAACGGTGCCTGAGTCTTTCTCATACAGTGATGATTCTGCGGATGCCAGGTGCCCCCTGGACAGCGAGGGTCTGGATGTGGCGTCGCGCCAGCCGGTTCGGGCTGTAGCGCGGGACGCGGGACGAACCCCTGCTTGACAGCCAATAAGGTTCTCAGGTCCCCAGACTTCCTACTGCGGTTGCGAGCCAAAGTAAAACCCCCTTGTCACGTACCTGGCACGGACCACCACAGCCAACGCTTCGTGAGCACTGTGTGGTCAACGACCTGGCCCACGGGTTAAACTTACCCATATCACCATAGTAGTAGTGTACTGCGAATAGGGGCCAGCAATGGAATTTGTTAGTGATGGAATACCTACAACAGCTAGAGGTTCCGAGGAGACTCTGCAACTTGTTGCAGCCATGCTGGATCATCATGAAGAGTGTGACTGTATATGCAATCACAGATTCTTCAAGGCGCTTAACTCTTTGGTGCCGCCTCTTGAGTAAGGACTGCTGATACAGGAGACACATTTTGTGGTGATGATGATGCGGACTACCTAGGTGCTGTTTGTCTTTGACGTGGCCCAGGCAACTCCAGCAATGCGTCCTCGCCCCACGGCATAGAATAGTGTAGGTAAGCAAGTACCAGGTACCTTGCCGTTTCTTTCGTCTTCCAGAAGGATGATTCCACGACTTCGTGACCACTGTTGCCTCTTTTGAGAACCACCGAGATATAAACGCTTACATACCTATTACTTCCCTTCTCCTCCTCGTTCTCATCCCAACTACAATATTCAACGGCACTTTTTAGCACTCACGTCGAGTCTTTTGTCGTTCGTTTCCTCGACATACACCACCAATAATACCACGTCCCGTTCGAGTACCGGTACAAACACCAAACTAATTTGCAACATGGATGTCCACCTGCTTGTTTATGACCTCTCACGAGGTTTGGCGAAACAAATGTCCGTCGGTCTTCTCGGTTTCCAGTTAGACGCTGTTTACCATACCTCAATTCAATTGAACGGAAGGGAATATGTGTACGATGGCAACATCGTCTCCATCATCCCGGGATCTTCGCACCTCGGGCGGCCTTTGGAGGAGATGTATCTGGGAAAGACTGAGTGTAAGCATCTAGTCTCAGGACTACTCAAAAGTTCGATGTGCTGACAATATTGCTTCTAGTGCCAATGGAAGTGATCGAGGAGTATTTAGATTCACTGAGAGAAATTTACACAGTCGAGGTAAGTGAGGATGGGATCCTACTTGCTTAAAGTGAGAACAGCCACTGACCGCCTCCTCGACAACAACAGACGTATGATCTTTGGACACATAACTGCAACAACTTTTCTAATGACCTAGCGACGTTTCTCCTTGGAAAGGGCATTCCCGACTACATCGTCAACATGCCCCAGACGGTGCTCAGCTCGCCCATGGGACAGATGCTGATGCCTATGCTCAACCAGCAAATTCACGCCAACAAGCGTGGCGGTGGTATTTTGGGTATTCAGCAAAACACCCCTGGGAGCACTTCTAAACCAAAAGCCGAACTACACCACCACGAGGGCAAGGTTCACAATGTCACCAGCCTGAATGAGCTCCAGTCTCTTTTGGAGAAGTTTCAGAACTCGTGCGCTGTGGTCTTCTTCACTTCAGCAACCTGTCCACCATGCAAGGTGCTTTACCCTCTTTACGATCAGCTAGCAGCTGAGGTAGGAGACAAGGGTGTTTTGATCAAGGTCGATGTCTCGGCCGCCTTTGACGTGGGAAGCGCATACTTGGTCAGCGCAACACCTACGTTTGTCACCTTTTTGAAGGGCAAGCAAGAAAACCGATGGAGCGGTGCAGACCGAGGAGCGCTGCAGGGAAACGTGCGTCTTCTGGTTCAGATGGCGTGGCCAGCTCATGCGCACCAGTCTTTGAACCTCCCAACGTTCTCGAATCCTGGAACGAAACCGGTCCTCTACACTAAAGTTCCGCCGCTGGAGAAACTGCTTGCGAAAATGGGCTCAGACGCCGAGAACCCAGCAGTCCAGGGTGTGAAACATTTTATCGAGGCTCGATCGCAAGACGGGCCTGCAGAGGCGACACTGCCCGATATGGCCGCCTTCACAACCTTTGTGCGCCAGTCAATCAAGAACGTACCTACGGATACCCTTTTTACGGTCGTCGATTTGATGAGGATCGGTCTTGTCGATCCTCGCTTCAGCGGATATCTGGCCGAGGAGGTGGTACACGGGACCGTTACAGCGCTGCTCGAGCACGTCAACGACCTGAAGGAGTGCCCATACGCTCTTCGCTTAGTTACCCTACAGATGGCTTGCAACCTCTTTTCCAGCCAATTGTACGCCGATGAGGTTCTCAGCAACGACAAGCTACGAACTTGCCTCACGCAGCTCGTCTCAGCCAGCTTCCTCGACGACAACCATAACAACGTGCGGGTAGCAGCGGCATCTCTGCTTTTCAACATCGCGCTGGCGAACAGTCGCAAGAGACAGGATGGGCCGGGCGACGTGCTTCCGCAAGACGACCAGATCGAGCTGGCAGCCTCCATTCTGGAGGCCATCGCCCAGGAAGAATCTTCGGGTGAAGCGCTTGAAGGTATGCTGTTGGCTTTGGGATACCTTGCCTATCGGATGCCACTTGACGGCGAGCTCTCGGATCTGTTGAGAACTATGGATGCTGGGAACAGCATACTGGAAAAGAAAAAGGCTTTCCCTGATATGAAGTTGATCGATGAGGTTGGGAGCGAGTTGTTGGGTAAAGGATTGAATAAGCCCTAGACTAGAGAGGTGTATATGGCGTTGGGTGATCGTGTCACGGAGGTGTGACTTGCAGTTACTGGAGTTTGCGTGTTGTCTAGCGTTTAGGCGTTTTTGCGAGATGGTGTGTGGTTCTGGCACACGGTTCGTGTTCTCTTGGTTGTTGGTTGCTGGGTTGTATTGGGAATTATTGTTTTCAGAAACATGTCGCTCGGATGGCGGCGTCTTGGCCGCCGAATGTTGCATAGAAATATCGAACAAGAAGACGTCCACTCATGCGCGGTATGTACTCTGTCGTTTGTCTTCTTCGGCGTCCACGAGTCTCGAGATCCTGCTTACTTTTGTCACCAGCTTCGAACTTTGAGTGAACTTAAACTCTGCTTGAAATCAAAATAACCTAGTACTGAAACCTGATCTGGACTTCCCCAACCCCAATGACGTACCACAATGAAAGCGCGATCCAGTCTTGTTGATTTGGTGATTAAGCAACGGGAGCTGCCGTGGCAGGAAGAAAGACTCCTCCGCCTGCCAAATGCACGTCAACAAACGGCCCACTAAACCCCTTGCAGAATCCAGCCCATCTTGGCATCGAGGTCCTGTGGTACACGATCTCTGGTAGGGCAGGTCCAAACGTACCTGCATCCCGAGCTACTTGCATCATCGAAATTCTGCTCCTAGCTCGCAGACTCTGGGGGGGATAAGCATTGAAACCTTTGAGGAGCAGGTTTGTGAACTTTCCTGCTTTTTCTCTCCATCACTGCCCACTGAAGTCGCAATTTTGCTCCTCAAGCACCTTCAGCACGTATCGCTCTACTGGTTGTTTCTACCTGACAGCACGAGCGCGAGTCTCCCCCGGATTCAGCGCTACTGCAGGACACCAACACCATCCTTGGTTCGCCCTGGCAACTGCAACCCCCATTGCAGTGTAAACATTGGCCCGATCCCTGCTCCCTTGTCACCAAAAGCATATGAATGTGGAAGTTGTGCTGTGCTGTAGGGCGCAACGAGCCTTTCCCTTACACACGGCAGGTAGGTAGGTAGTCACACAGCTTCCACTTACAGCTAGGTACCTCTACATCTACCACAGCAGCAGCAGCAGCAGCAGAGTCACTACACCTAGGTGCCTCGACCTCACCTGCCTTTGTCAGTGTGGGTGGGCATCCAGGTTGGTGCGTGGTCTTCAATAAGTGGAAGCAGCAGCACCCCTCCCCAGCACCCGCCCGACTACCTTACTTACGACTCGATCATTCAAGGATAGCATCCATCTTACATGTTCAACCTTCTTCGGCTGCGCTTTCGCAACACCATTGTTGATATCGAAGATACTTTATACGACATATCTTTGGACCCGCGCCTCATGCCGAACTCCCTCGACGTCCACCAGCGGCAGACCCGCTCCAATGTCTCGACTCCGACTTTGCGTCCTCGAGATGACACGGCTTCATCTTTCGTTCCCAAGGACCCCGGGGCAAATGTTCGGGTGGTGGTGAGAGTAAGAGCATTTTTGCCTCGCGGTAAGTTGGAAATCCATGTGTTTATTTCACCACCAGACACTGCTCACTCTTATGCTAACACGTATGCTTATCATAGAACTCGAGCGCAATGCTAAATGCATTGTTGAGATGGACCCGGCAACAGAACGAACATCCCTTCTGGTTCCCCAGGAGACAGACTTCGCTAATGCTCGAGGTGCCCGGACTCGCAGGGTACTGGAGGAGAAGTCGTTTACCTTTGACAAAAGCTTCTGGAGTCATAATACAGAAGACGAGCACTACGCGACACAGGAGCATGTCTACGACAGCTTGGGCGAGGAATTCCTCGATCACAACTTCGAAGGATACCACACCTGTATCTTTACCTACGGTCAGACTGGCTCGGGAAAGTCTTATACCATGATGGGAACGCCCGATCAACCCGGACTTATCCCCAGAACTTGCGAAGATTTGTTCCAGCGCATTGCTTCCGCCCAGGACGAGACGCCTAATATCAGCTATAATGTCAAAGTCAGCTATTTCGAAGTTTACAATGAACATGTGCGAGACCTTCTCGCTCCCGTCGTGCCCAACAAGCCGCCATACTACCTCAAAGTCCGCGAATCTCCTACCGAGGGCCCATATGTCAAAGACCTGACCGAGGTTCCCGTGCGAGGTCTCCAAGAGATCATCAGGTGGATGCGTATTGGCGATAGAAGTCGCACAGTAGCCAGCACCAAGATGAACGACACCAGTAGCCGCAGCCACGCCGTCTTTACTATTATGCTCAAGCAGATCCACCACGACCTGGAGACAGATGATACCACAGAGCGCAGCAGTCGTATCCGCCTTGTCGACTTAGCTGGCAGCGAACGAGCAAAGTCCACCGAGGCCACTGGCCAACGCCTCCGTGAGGGGAGCAATATCAACAAGTCCCTGACCACTCTAGGGCGTGTCATCGCCGCACTTGCCGATCCAAAGTCAAGCGCAAGCCGCCCTTCTTCTCCCGTAAAATCCGGAAGAGGACGAACACCAGGGGCAGCCAACTCAGTGGTCCCCTACCGTGACAGCATTCTCACCTGGCTCCTCAAAGATTCCCTTGGCGGCAACTCCAAAACCGCCATGATAGCCTGTATCTCCCCCACCGACTATGACGAGACGCTCTCGACGCTCCGCTACGCCGACCAAGCCAAGCGCATTCGCACCCGTGCCGTGGTCAACCAAGTCGATGGCGTCAGCGCCGCCGAGCGCGACGCCCAGATTGCCGCCATGGCCGCCGAGATCCGCCAGTTACAGTTGGTTGTGAGCGACAGCCAAACCCGTGAGAAGAGCGCTCTCGACGCCGAACAGCAGCTCGAGGAATACCAAGCGCGTGTCCGAGGCCTGCAGCAGTTGATGGAGGAGAAGAGCCTGGTGGCCGAGGGCAAAATCCGGTCTCTACAAACGGAAAATGAAGCGTTGCGGTTGCATCTCAAGTTGGCCTTGGAGAGTCTTCGCAACCCTATCAAGGTGTCTTCGTTCCCCACTACCTCGCTGGCCATGTCCGCGGGGGACGCGACCGTGCCGCTGATGGCCATGGGTGAGGTTAGTACCGCCCACGGCCGAAAAACGGAAAATAAGTTGGTGGACGACCCCTTCGTCGACAGCGGCAGGGGCGTCACTAGTGATGATGATCAAGGTCTCATTTATGAACATGACGATGATTATGACACTTACGAAGAAGAAGACGACGACGACGAAGATACAATTGATCTCAGCGAAAAGGCTCATGACATGAACGAGTATATGAGTGGTTTGCTCAAGGATTTGAGCATGTTTAGACGCAAGATCGGGGATGATAAGACGAGGTTTCTGGATGAGTTGGGCGTCAGGAAACCGCTGGGAGTGAGGACTAACATCATATGATGACGAAGTTGGTCTGGATTCGACATGTTTTTTAGTGAACGGATTGATGGGATAACGCAAGCAAGCCAGGAAGGAGTTTACGGACGGCGTTTTACAAAGGTTGAATGTATGATTCAACGAGTTTGGTTTTGGTGGCGTGGATCTGTGGCTTGAGGAAAATGTGAAGGCCTTCATAAGGAAGAAGGAAAGCGAGGAAAGGAAAGAAAAGGAAAGCAGGTAAAAGCCATGGCGATGAGTGGAGTTTGGCCTGGACAAGGCGCGGCGGTACGGCATTTGCTTTCAACTTCACATTCTCTTTCTCTCATCATTGTCTTCATTATACACCGAAGTTATGTACAACTTCTGACTTGGCGTGGTTTCGGTTTTTCTTTGGCGATATCTGTACTTCTTGAACTTCTATTCCCCGGGTATATCGTTTTTCTGCGGTCAATATGGAGCATAACAAGCATTATGCTCCATCAGGGACTTTTTAGGTCTCAATCCGTCAATGGAACTTGATTGACACCCGAAACAAAAGAAGAGTATTCCCAGAACGACGTGATGTGTATCCTCATTCATCTCCCTCTCTATTCACGACAATGCCGAACTGAATAGATGAGTATGCGCCAGGACGGGCTGGCGACCGAAGCCAGGAAACTGGCATTATTGTAAAACAAAAACTCAATACGCCTCCTCCCCGTCATTTTCCTTACCCATTTTCCATCATCCCTATCTCCCAGAACAAGTGAAAGTACTCCAAACTAACGCCAAACTAATGCCATCCATTCCTGCATCCTGCGGTTCGTCCATCTATGTTGTCCTGGGGAGCATCTGGAATCATGAATGAATATTTGGATCCCACTGCAGAGAACGGCAAACGCTTTTCTTGGTTCCCCCGGTGCCTCTGCAATGATGCTCGTGACCGGCCGATATCATCGCCGCCGCTATTTCCGATTTGCCCCCAGTTGTTGCAATCCCCACTACAGTTTCGCTTGCGGTGCGCACATGGCGTTGTGCTAAACAAGAGGAACAAGCGATGCCTGTGTACTGACAGGTTGCTTCAGAAGGTTCAACGAGCACGCCGAGGCATCGTGGTGGTGTGTCGAAAAACGGTACCTCGATCTTGAAGAGGAGGAGAGAAGCCTCTATTTTTTTTTTTTTTTTTTTTTTTTTTTTTGGCTCTAGTTACGCTTCTGGTAACTCTTCCTGGTGTCCTACTTCTCCTCATTCATCCGCCTCTTGATCCGCCTGGTTATTTACCCAGTCCTGAACATTCTGTTGCGACTCTTTAGCACCAACGCGGGTGCGAGGAATCAGCATCTTCCTAGGAGGGGCCCCGGGAATCTCGGTGTAATCCCCTGTCATAGATGGCTGATCATCCACCCAGTCCTGGACGTCTTGACCTTGCACAGGAGGGGCGGGACTGCATTCTTTGGTGGCGATTTTCTTCTTTGGGGATGATACTTCCCGCGAGAAGGAGCCTGAGCTTTCTGTGCTGTCCGCAGATGCTTGTGTGTCCAAAGAGCCCTCCCTAGCATTTTTGCTTTCCAGGATTGGAATCTTGATAATACGTGTCTCTCCTTCAGAGCTGCTGCTACTGCTGCTACCACTGGAGTTGGAGGAGGAGGAAGACGGCGCTCGGCGCTTTCGGTTGTTGTTGGTTGTGTGCCTGACTCTAACCGGCTCTGAGATGAATGGCTCAGCATCGCTGTCGCCATCCGCACCATTCCCGGCCAAAGGTTGCCCGTTGGGCATCACAATCTCCTTTTTTGGTTCCTCCGACTCCAGCACGCCCGAGTAGAGATTCATCTCGATGACCTGCGTGTCGACCTCCTCGTCATCATCGATCTCAATTCGAGCAGCCTTGGGGTCGGCTGCCATCAGCTCTTGCGTCTCGCGATTCGCACGGGCCATCTCCTCAAGAAAGCCGGGGAGCTTGCTGGCTAGCTCGGAGTTTCCAAGCGTGGAAAAATCAACCCGCATATCGGGCTTGCGGGCAGAGCCAGCCTGTTGGGCGGTGTGAGGGCGAAGGTCAACGACTTCGTCCATGGCGTCGTTCATCTTGGGCCGAAATGCCATGATGGTCATTTCTCAAGAGCTTGGGGACCAGACAATGTCGTATGCTGAAGTGAGGATTGGTGTGAGTGAACCGAGAAGGGGGTGAAAACGAAAGTTTCTGGAACGTATCAGCAAGAAATGTCAGTGGAGATTGTGGTGAAGTGGACGAAACTCAACGCACAGGGTTAGGGAAGCCCAAGTTGCATGACGTCGAACAATTGCTGGTCGAGACGTTCCTTTTCTTTAAAAGTGTTGAAGTCTCAGTTCTCGTAGCCGCCACGCTCGATCACAATTCGGGGGAGAGTGTTTTTCATAACAGCTCGTGGGTGTCATGGTGAGAGTGAAGGTGATCTGAACTTGGGCCTCGGCCTACGGATGACAGAAATTCAAGTGGATCCATACTACCACAAATCCTGGTATCGCCCCGGTCTGCAAGTGCCGAATTCCTAGGTATGCTTCAGCGGGGTGCTCTGTTCGTTCCCAGCACCGTTAGCGGAGAGGATTTCCACTAACAGATATGCATGAGAAAGCCCGGTGTAGCTTGTTATAATGCTATTAGGAAGCATCTCCAAACTTCATTTACACCGAGGGAGATGGTAAAGCCGCACTCATACCCGACATAACTGTCTACATCGCCCTTCTAGCGTTCTCTAAGTATGTAATGAGTTCGGTGCTATCACATCTATGAACAGGCTATTACATCACCCGCATTCATACAACATACCCTCTGTTGTTGTTATGAGGTCCGCTTTGGTATAGTGAGAGTTCCGCGTAGCCAAACACCGACTTCAAATTACCATGATACTACACCTACAGAATAGCAACAGCGTTTCAGATATACTGCCGGCATTTAGGGAGTTCAAGTACAGCAACTTTTACGCCGTCTTACCACCCAAACCAATGCTTTACATTAGGTAACTATCCCACATACGTACCCACAGATAGCTTTACTTATAGATGGGAATGCCGCAATCTTTTTCATATCGTGGGATTTGGCACAACGGCCTCGCTCCTCCGCACCCTCCACACAACTGATACAAATCTCGAAAGGATCCGCCGTTCGTCTGGGACCGTTGAAACGATGTCGAGCATGTGTGAGTGAGTCTGGCTTGAGAGCCGGTGATGTGACGTCTGCCAGGGCGGCTGTTGGTGGTTGAAACCTGGGGAACCTGATCCCCTGTCGCCTCTCTGACACCCCTCGTCAGCTGAAAGGCAGTGATAGTGTTTCACCTCGTCGGTCCGGAACGACACAGCATCCAACTGATGGAACGCGCAGAGGTACGGTAGCGATAGCCGCCGGCTCATTTGTTTTATCGTCACCTCAAACTTCTCCAATTCTGTCTCTTCATCTGTTCGTCCGATGTTCCCATTGACCACAGGGCCTTATTACATCTAAAGTCTTGAATCAACTCATCATTTGTTAACGGTGACAGCCCAATAAAGAAGCCAACCAGCGTTGGCCATCACATTCGACACTCACAAGATCACAGCAGCAAGCTGTCGCAGATTCCTACTATAGGCTCATAGCCCCTCCCCCTCACTTATTGCTTATGTACCTCTAGGGGTAAGGTAGCCACCCTCCTGAACCTACCCTCAGAAACACCACTCTCTCGGCCCTTCCCTTTTATTCTCAAGACATATATATCTATCCCTCTTCTCACTTAAAGTCGGTTGGAATCTGTGGTACCGTGGGTCATCATCACCTCTGGCATCACCCAACTATCTAGAAAGACACCCCACTCGGCATCACTCACCTCCTCTCGAAATAATGTCATCAAGACCAGGTCTCTTCACGCGCGGCCTCTCCGGCCTGTCGCAAAGTAACGATGCCAGCGTGAGCTCGCCAGCTGCAGAGCGGGATGACGCGAAGCGCAACTTCCTCAAGACGATGCGTCCTTTGCCGACGCAGCATTACTGGAACATTTGGTTCGATAGGTGTGTATTGAAAGTCTGTATGCATGTGCAATGTACAGTAGCTTCTAACATATCGCATCTGTACAGACCTGATAAGGACCAGCAGGGCAAGTCCGCCGATGGTAGCTACCACTCGAACTTGGAGAAGCTCGGGTCCACGATCGAAAGCGTCCAGGATTTCTGGCGCTACAACAATAACATGCCCATCGAGAACATCAAGATGCGCGAGTCCATCTATTTGTTCAAGGCCGGATTTAAGCCTGTCTGGGAAGACCGCCGCAACATTCTCGGCGGTAGCTGGACCTTCCGCGTCCCCAAGGCCAACGGGGCTGATTTCTGGACTCGCGTGCAGCTCCTTGCTATTGGAGAGGAGTTGCAGGATGTGCTCGAAGAGGGTAAGCTTCATATGATTCCCTAGTTTCTACCTTGATTTCGAGAGTGATCTCAGTTTTGAACAAAAAACTAATAAAAAAAGTAAAGGTGACCAAATCTGCGGCGTAGGCCTGTCGGTCCGCTTCAACGCCCACCTAATTTCCATTTGGCACCGTGACGCATCCAAGCAAAAGTCCGTTGACGCCATTCTCCAATTGGTTCTCACCAAGGCCATCCCGGACGACTTTCCCCCACTCAAGCCGGATAACTACTTTTACAAGAAGCACTCGGACCATGCGGGCTTCAACCCCTCGCCGGAGATGCAGGCTGTTCTGGACTCGCAAAAGGCGAGGGAGCAGCATGCTGCCGCTGTTGCGAAGGCTCAGGCACAGGCGGCCCAGCAGACGACGGCCCATCAAGGGAGTCAGAGCCAGCCGGAACCACCCCAGATTGTTGAGGTGCCGCCTTCGGGCGAGGCATAAGCTTGGACAATAGAATTTGACCGTCGTTGTCAAAGGCGACGACTTTATCAATAGTAAGGCTGTTGCTTTGGGGGGTTTCATGGACAAGGAAAGCGGAGACAAATGCAAGGATGCATCCGAACAGGAAGGAAGAAAGAAGAAAGAACAACAACAGAGACGACGTAAACTGAATTCTGCGGGGGAAACAGTTACTAAGCAACAAAACCGAAATGTCCAACTACAAGATTCAAATTTGTCTGATTATACGGGAGGGTAAAGTTGGTTAAGATCTGCATTGTCTTGGGCGTTGGATCAGTTAGTGTATTAGTATGGGGGCACGCTTCTTGAATACTGTTTCCAGAGATCCCTCAAGATAAAGTCAGTCACCTGTATCTTGGGTCTTATTTTTCTTACATGTCATTGCATGGAGCCTCTTTGAATGTCGAGGGTGAAAAAGTTGTAAAGTTTTGAGAAGCATTACTGACTTGGCCCTACCAGCAACGAGGTTTTTCTTTTGTCAGCAAAGCATCAATGAATTCGCCTGGTATATCCTCTCCGGCTAACATGGGCACCCATGAATCCAACCTCCACCCGTCACAGCGCCTTCTTCCTCTCCTCCACCTCCCTCCTAGCGACCCTCTGCTCCTCCCATTTCTCCCACCCAGCCTGCGGCAGATCCTCCTCAACAACCAGGTCCCTGACCCGAAACCACCTAACAACAGGGAAATCCAAGATCTGTCCCAGCAAGCCCGACTGCCGCACCACGTGCGTGACAACAAACCATGCAACCGCGCATAGCGTTCCCGCCCCGCAGCCCACCAGCACCTGCTTCTCCGTGTGATACCCCAGGTAGGTGCGGCTCCACGCCACAGCGCCCGCGAGCACCAGCGCCCCCAGGCTGGCGACGAAGCGGTGGGCGAAGGACCAGGGCTCGTGGGCATAGCGCTCGAGGTCGGTGGCGCTGTCGGTTAGGGTCTTGAACAGCGACCCGTTCCCGCTTCCATTTGTAGTAGTCTTCACGTTCGTAACCTGCTTCTTCTTTTCCCTCTGCTTCTGTTTCTGTTGTTGTTGCTGCTCCCTCGGTGTATGCCTCGCCAACAAAAACAGTCCCAACGCCACTGCCCAAAACGACACAAACTGCGCATGGCTGCTGGGCATCCCGTACCCCTTTCCTCCCGTCGAATGTATCCTGGCCGGTCGTTCCTCTTTGATCAGGCGCTTGAGCGCAAAGTTGGCGGCCTCGCAGGCGAGCTGCCCGGCGAACATGAGGATCACTTCGGCTTCGCGGGTGGACCAAATCAAGGTCGCGTAGACGACACAGAGCGCTTGCGGGACGAGGGCGAGCCAGGCGCAGAGGAGGGAGATGGGGTCGTCTGGGTTCTAGAAGTTGGACAGAGAGGTTAGCGAACCGTAATGTAGGAGGAATTGGGCGCGGTAGAGGAGAGGAAGCTTGGAACGTACGTAGTATACATGGGTCAGGGACAGTGAGGCGAGAGGTGTCACGTTGTCGGCCATGACTGCGATCTAGGAGGGTACCGTAGGTTACGCACGGAGAGTGCGTCTTGGGTGGTCAAGTAGGTGGGTTATAGGGAGATTAAAAATTGCATTTGAGTAGGTGTGTGAAACTAAAACCTTGCGGTATCTCAACTTGGATATAGGACCAAAGTATGTACAAGTGACAGCCGAAGCCGAAAAGGTGGTGACGGCTTCAATTCTGGAAGATCCATCGATGTGTTGTTGTTGCCGTTGTTGTTCGAAAGCTGGCGGAAGATGCAATACCACTACGTAGAGGAGTGGAACCTGGCCAATCGGGGGCTTTCGAAGCGGAGCCAGCCCGTTGGAGATGGCGTTGTTCTGGGCTATTGCGGCAGCAAATGGCAGTTAAGACGCGACCCTGTCGACCTACCATTTTAGGCCTGTGCGCTATCAGGTAGCGCTGTCCGTTGATTTGTCAAGACAACACCTCCACGGCATCGGCAGGCGAGTCATATTCGGGGACGGGGACCCGATAGCGGCGAATCTCCGTCACTCGACAGTCAACGACCATCAACCTCAAAATTGCTCTCGCATTCGCGGGGCACCGACAGTGGAAAATAAGATATCAACACTACGGATTCGCCTCCCTTGGCTCCAAAACTCAACTGTACCTACGGAACATCCACGTGGACACTGGTGTACGGTTATCGAACATGAAGGGCTTTCCCATCTGCTTCTGACAAATCTACATTTTCCCTTCTCGTCTCTTTTAGCTCTTTCTCTTGGCATTCCATCTCACCAAAATCCGGACTTGGACTCTCTCACTCCAACTACCTAAAGAGACCTTGAACTCCTACAACCTCATCCATAACTCACAAATTATCATTAAGAGCAAACTTTCCTGCATGGCTTTTCCGCTCCGTTCCGCATACCGAACCTCTCTTTTCTCTCAGATCTGCTACAAGTCGTCCAGGTAGCAGCACGGGTGGGCCACATCAACCAACCAAAACACCAAAAGATATATCCCCAAGTCTTGGCACCACATCGCGTATCGATCGATGGCCTCTTTCAACTACGATGACTCCGACTGCCCCCGCGATACTGAGCTCAGCTCCCTTATAGCGATTTACCCTGAGATCCAGCATCCTCGATCAGACGACCCTTACGCCATCGCCATCGATATCCCCGTTAACCCCTCCAAGCCAGTTCTCGTCTACTTTCCCGCTGCTGCGGATTCAAACCCGGACCCGAGGGCTCAAGGAACCCTTCAGCAGAACGGAGCCAGCCACATCAATGGATCTGCGAGCGGAGGTCCTTCGAATGGTACGGATCGTGTGGGGGGAGCAGGCTCGGCTGAAGGCGCCGGCGCTGGAGCTGGGGCTCATGATCGTCACGAGGTAGCACACTTGCCTCCTGTTCATCTGGAAATCATCTTCGGGCCCGACTACCCTGCCGAGAAACCGCCGGTCATTACTATCTCTGCGGATCCCCCATGGCTTTCGAAGGATACCATCAAGCGACTCGAGGATGATGGACCGCGGCTGTGGGAAGAAATGGGTCGTGATATGGTTGGGTTCACGTACATTGACCATATCCAGCAGGCAGCCGAGAACGTCTTTGAGCTTGTGGACGAAAAGGGAACCCTGGAGATTGACCCACAGCATAGGATTGCTATTATGGATTATGATATCCGGGCGCGTCGGGCGGCGTTTGAGAAGGAAACGTTCAACTGCATGGTGTGCTTAGGTATGTGCAAATCTGCCACCTTTGGTCAACAAAAGGTTTACTAACACGCAATACAGATCCCAAGAAAGGCTCTGTCTGTCACAAGATGATCGATTGTGGGCATGTTTTCTGCGTGGAGTGTCTGCAAGACTACTACAACAACGCCATCAAAGAAGGCGATCTCGCCTCTGTCCGCTGTCTAGCCCCCAACTGCACCAAGGAGCGCGAACAAGCAGCCGCCTCGTCTTCAGGGAACAGGAAGCGGAAGAAGCCCAAGACGTACATCAGCCCGAGCGAACTTCTACAAATCCCGCTTGACCCCGAGACCGTGAAGCGCTACGTTACTCTCAAGTACAAAACCGAGCTCGAGTCCGACAAAAACACAATCTACTGCCCGCGCCAATGGTGTAACGGAGCCGCTCGGTCCAAGAAGCACAAGAAGCCGCAAGGGCTAGAGCTGAACGATCACGATGAGGACGAGGAAGAAGAGGAGGAAACCAGCGGTGTTTCTAAGCCCTACAACGCGACCGACCTCCTGGCCATCTGCGAAGACTGCAACTTTGCCTTCTGTTCCCGCTGCCATCAGTCCTGGCATGGCGAGTTTGTCCGGTGCCAGGCACCCCGAAAGAACGAAGAGCTCACAGCCGAGGAAATCGCTTCACTCGAATACATGAAGTTGCACACCACCCCCTGCCCGACATGTGCGGCACCTGCCCAGAAGACGCACGGCTGCAACCACATGATCTGCTACCGGTGCCAGACGCACTTCTGCTACCTCTGCTCGGCATGGCTAGATCCAGGTAATCCCTATCAACACTTCAACGAGATGCCCGGCGGCAGGATTACCGGGTGTTACCAGCGCTTGTGGGAGTTGGAACAAGGTGATGGCGATGATGTCGGCTTAGGATTCGAAGGCGGTGCCGGTGCTGCTCCCCCAGGTGCTGGCCGTGCTGGTCCCGCAGCAGCAGCAGCAGCAGCAGCCGACGCACCCGAAGCGCCTCCAGGGTTTGAGGGCCTACCGGAGCAACGGCTTGTGGAGCTGCTGATGGCGGACATGGAGGAGAGCGACGATGAGGAGGACGATTTTGGGGGCCCGCCTCCCTTTGGTGATAGAGAGCTTGATAGGCAACTTGCCCAACGTATCGAAGCGGAAGCGCAGAACGATGCAGGAAGAGGTGTCGGTGGAGTCGCGATTGCGCGCGAAGGACCGCTCGTCCTAAGGATAGACGGAGGCAGAGGAGGTGGAGGTCGCAATCAGCCGGCAGCAGGTCGTGGCCGTGGAGGTGGTGCTGCTGCTGCCGCCCCCAATGGTCCTGCCGCAGGTGGTGGACGTGGAGGACGAGGTCGGGGAGACAATGCCCGAGGAGGACAAGGGGCAGGGGGAGCAAATATTCGGGGACAACATCAGAATCGAGGAGGTGCCCCGAACAACCGGCACAATAACCGTAACAACCACCCGAACCACAACGGCGTCGGTGCCGGTGCGGCCAGAGGAGGACGAAATGGTGGTGGTGGTGTAGGAGGTGCGGTCAGGGGTAATGTGGGAGGTAGGGCGAGGCCCAATCCTAACGGTCCAAGAATGGACTTTGATAATCCCGATAATGTACAGGTCAACGTGCCTGACGGCATACGACTCGATCCGCAGCAGGAGGCGTGGATTAGGCAGTTTGTGCACCTGGCGCTGGAAGATCAGGAGGACCTGCTTTTCGATGATGATGACTGGTAGGTAGTCAGTCACCGTCATTCGGCGGCCGAAAGGAAACATTTGTACGAGGTTCATGATTAGCATCAACTACAGTTTGTACAGCGGAGTCAGTTAGTGGTGTTTCGTTGGCTTTCACCAGCGGCATATGGGTACAACGGTAAATGATAGAAGATGGATCAGCTTACCCATTCTTTGTATATACCCTGACCCCAACAGGAATTCATGAGAAATTAAATTGCAAAGCGCACATATGTAGTAGCATTACCAAATTCATCATCACCATCAGATGTATGCGCTTTTTTACTTGGACTTCGTTTCAATACCTGTGTGATCGAAACTCATCAGCCGTATGTATACAACCCTTTCGAGAAGAGAGACGCCTCCCTCTTCAATATCCCCAAATCTATTTACGTACACCTACCATTCCAACGCTTTCTCATCTTTCCGTTGTTGCTCCACAGAACCTCACTCTCTGTATATTTCCCGAACCGAAGCTGGAAAAAGTCGGGTCGTGTTACATGACTATCTACATTTCATGACCTTGTGTCTTCGCACACCCTTCTTTTTTTTCTTTTCTTTTTTTTTCTTTTGGGAGGGGGGGGGGGGGGGGGGGGTTTCACCAATTTCATCTCTCAGTACCGTCCTTGTGGGTGTGAGGAATCTACACTTCTACGTTTAATGTACCCATAGCGACTGTTGGTCTTATTTTAGGAGTTGGTCTACAAGATCCTCATGGTAGTTGTTGCAGTCGGCTTTTGTCAGTAGGTACCTCTAGGAACATCAGCGTGCCGCTACTATTCGACTTGGGCGGAGAGGATAACCGCCTGCCACACAAGCAGTCCAAGTTTGAAAACAGAGATTAAATGATAATCCAAACTGTGAAAGCGATCTACCAGCTCAAGTGAGCGATTCGTCATGCTTGCTATCATATTTGTGTTTCCTCTTCTCTTTTTTTTTTCGGTAATGGAAGTGGCAGACGTCATCACTCCCTTTTTCATCCAGAATAATACGTGTCTCTGAACTCCAGCTGTTGTTATACTTGCAGCATTGGTAATTTGGACCGCGGATACCTCAATAATGAGTGTTCCTATTTTCCTGGTCATCGTCTTTCGTCCATATATCCCAACCTTTTTAATGGACGACCATGCACGTGTCCATCTATCTTTATTGTATCTCCAACACAACAATTGAAAAACATGTCGTTCGCTGGTGAAATAAAGAAGCAGGTAAATAGAGAAAAGAAAAAAAAAAAAAAAAAAAAAAAACCCTTTAACGTCCACTACCAACATCAACATTCCACACGAGCGCGAGCGCGAACAACGCCAACGCGACGCTGTGATTTGAATGGCTTCTCAGCCGCCAGCCTTTTCTGCACGATAGTTTGGTTCAAAACGAATGGCTAAACATCGTGTTCTATACATAGGACATCTGTGTGTCGTCTAACTTGTGTCGGCCTGTATGACTGACTAATCTGCTTTTTGCTGTCTATCTTGAATGGGAGTTACATACCATGTCTGCCGTTAGTATCAATCTTCCCCCGTCTCTTCCATGCATCTACATATGAGTATATGAACTTTTACCCCCCTGTCCTCTTCCCTTTCCCTTGGCCCCCCGAGTCGCAGGCTAAGGGGGGGAAAAAAAAGCAGTGTGATAGACGTACATAAAGAAGCACACATGATACAAATGGCATACTTGAACTGACATGACATTAACATTACACATGCCATCACGCAGGAGAAGTCTGGAAGCGAGGCGCGAGGCGAGGCGAGGCGAGGCGAGGCATACCCAACGAAAAGGTAAGTGGAAGAGAAGGGAAGTTACGCTTGCTTTTTCAATTTCGGGATTTGATGGTGGGTAAGTACGAATAAGCAAATGGCCTTGCGAGGAAGGCGGGGGGTGAAGAGGAAGCAGAGCTAAGCGCGGCGTGGGCAGATATTGGTTGTGGTTTTTATATGGAGTGTTGCCAGATGTACAGATAGCTACAGGACTTACATACCTGAAGAAAGTGTATGATATTTCCTTCTAGTCACTTCTTTCTTCTTTTTGCTTGATCGTTCATGTACCTACGTTGAAACCGTTTCTGCAATCATCTTGGTGGTTGTAGTTGTCGTGGCCGCCTACCTGGTGGTATTACCTACCTGCCGGCTTACCTCTCTGAGTCTGGACGGACTTTCTCGCTCCCGCTCTTCTTTACACCAGCAACTAAATAGAATATGAACTAGGTAGTAGTCACCTAGCCGAGACCCTCGCCAAGAGAGGAGATACTTCTAAGAAAGGCAGGAGCTTATAACTACCGCGATGAACGCCTGTGACCTCTATCGGCAACTTACTTCCACTTTCGTGTTCAACAATCCGCGTTGGTAGTGGTAGTAATAATTGTTAATCCCATATCATTTCCGAGGAGGGACAACCACTTGAGTCGAGGCCTTAGGTAGGTAGAGGTAGTCAAACGTGCCCCGTTCACGTTGTAACTCAACTGACTGACAGTCGCTTTGTCTTGCAAGAACGACACAACTGGTGCCGTGACAGTGCCGTAGAGACGGATCATGACATGACACACGTATGTACATACCGTCTCATCCCGTCCGAATTGCACGCTGTTGCACCCAGCCAGTGTATGATTGCGGGTGCGGATGGATAACCTGCCAATTCGCAACGCTGCGGCTTGCGGGCTGTTCCCATCCATCGTAACGAAGAGGGAACAGGAGCAACCCTAGCAATGCTTGCTGCCATGTTTTGCTCTGCCATTAGTCCCCTAGCTAAGCTTCGTTCCATGGTTGAACGGGCTGGTTGACTGGCTGACTGTCGTAACTGTGACAGAAGTCGAGGGGATGGTAGAGGCGAGGAAGAGCGAGGAGACGCGGAGTGTCCTGATTGTGCGTGTGACATCCCCATATCCACTCACGAGTCATACTCCTTCTCAGACTCGCCTCGCAGCCAGAAACGATGGGTGATGTTTGGTGTATTGCAACCACCCTCCTTCTCCTCTCAGCCTCCCCCCCTTTCGCCATGTCTCCATCCATCCATCCATCACCACCCACCATCCGATCCGACCCCTCTCCCACCCAAAGCCGTCGCCCATCCTTGCCTTTCCTGTCATGCCGCCTGCAGTCGTAGAGGTTCCCCGAGTCCTTGTTGGAGTCCGTGTGCGTACGTACTACCCTCTCTTGTTCTGTTTTTGGTTCCTGTAACCATCCTCATGCATTTTCCTCCGGCACATAGCAAGGGACGCTTGTGCGGTACAAGCGAGCTGGTCTCTTGGGTCTCGATCATCACTAGCCAGGTTAAAAAGTAACCTTGAGCGAGAGAAAGGGGAAATGATCATGCCGATACAAGCCAGACCAAAAGCAGGAACGGTGACGCCCTCCCCCCACACAAAACCCAGTTTCTACCTAGTTTCCCTGTCTGTCTGTCTTTCTTTTTTTGGAGTTCCCACCGTGACATCCAGGTTGCTCGGACGATTCACGCTTCAACCCCCCACTGAGCTAGCATCTCGTCACAAAGGCTTGATGCGACAAGAAGGGGGCTTGTCACCGGCAGAACAACCCCTGACAAGACCGGTTCCGTTTGATTCTCGGCGATGGTGGTTACATCGATAGTGTGTACCCCATCAAGCTTCTGGAGATGAGCAGTGTCAAGGGCAGTTATGTCGACAGACCGCCCGAAGGACTGGGGCCGGTGTGCTTGTGTGTGTGTTCTCCGTCTCTGAACACGCCAGGATGGCGAACAAGACCATATATTCTTGCCCTGCTGCGCATAAGGATATCTCATCGCACACCGTTGTTGTGAGGCCATTCCATTTCGGCTTTCCGAGAGCCTTGTCCAAAGGAGAAAGGGAAGGGGGGGGGAGTGTCCGCCCCGTCGAGGGTGTCATTCCGTTTCAAGCAAAAGGGAAAATCAGAATGGAGAGAATGGTAGGGTGGTATCCAAATGGATACTATGGTTTGAAAGGTCAGCCAGAAGGGATGACCGTGCTTGGCTCTTCAACGCTGACAGACGCCAGGGGCTGTTACTGTGTAGAGTCGTCGCATTTCGGTAGCTGCTTTCCGCAAGCGCAATTCGAGAACCCAGAGGATGGCCCCGGAACCCTGCTGCTAGCGGGGATGGGACGATCGGAAAACGGTCGCAACTTCACCGCTAACGCTAGTGTGTCTCCGTACCCATCACGCTATAGCCCAGTATAAGCCCCTAAAACCCCTTCATACTCGGCAGCTGAAGACGTTTGCCGAGAATGGAAAAAGACCAAAGACAACAAACAAAGTACACAGAACTCTCTAGAACTCGGCTGAGAAGCGGCAAGCAGTTAAACGTTAGCCATGCTGGGCTCAGGAATGAAACATGATCAAAGTGACTGAAGCTAAGCCGGGTGGTCATGGAGCTGCTAATCGCTCCCTATCATGAAGTTGACCAAAGCTTTTGGTCCGAGATCCGAGAGTTGAAACTTCGCGGAAACGGTGAAACAGCTTGGCTAGACATCACAGAACTATTGGGTCGACGGACGGAGTTGGACCGTACGCACGGTGATTGATATGCACGTGAAATGACTACTATCCACCCAAAGCCAGTCAGGCGATGACCAAAGAAAGAGTAGGTACACACAGGCTATGTTTTTGGGAAACTCCTGCCGATGTCGTGACAGGAACACCAGCATGCCGACAGCCCGCAGAACACAGTATGTAAATTTTGCAGCAACCTGTCACAGCAAGGACAAGGGCTCGACTATGGTCGTAGTAAAGGCCTTGGCTGCTGGTTTGGGGGAGCTGGGGAAAGGGAAATGAGAAGCGGAGAGGTTAGGATATTGGACCGGAGGGCCAGCCACAAAGCCACTTGCCAGTGTAGAAAAAGCAGAGGGCGGATGTTGGTTGGAAGCCAGGAGGCAGCGTTGCACTTGCACCCGTCCTTGACAATTGAGAATGTCAAGATCGATGATCCCACGTTGTTGTAGATCTGAAAGGTAGTAGTTATCCCCGGCACTGGCCAGTACGACATGGAAGTGTAGCAACTGCAAGAGCCCAACGCCGGCGATGGGACAGAAAGGTCGAGTCCTTATCCTCATTTTGACACCCTATAAACTCGAACCTGTTGAATGTCAGACCGGAGTAGAGCCATTGAAGAAGCGAATGAATGCTTGAAGAATCAAGAAGTGGGTACGGTTGACATGAGCCATTGCCTATGCGTTGAAGCTCCGTCGTTGTCGTTTGTCAATGATTTCGGGTCCCATGTCGTTACACTTTCAGATGACGTTTCCGAATTCCCAGGCCGTAGGGTACAATGTTGGGCTCGAGGAAACACTCAAGGCAGCAGGGGCAGTTCGTCTGTCCTCAGCTCACTTCTGAGTGGATCAATGACCCATCCGAAAGGGCTAGGCGCCGGAACAACGGCAACAGAGACGACAACGACACATCATGCACTTGTATCCTACTTTGCAGTATTTGCTGCTATCTCAACCCTTGAAGCTCACTTGGTCTAGGGAGGGAGCTTACTTTTCGAAAGGAGCCATTGGCTGAGTGAGGCTCAGATCTGGTTTTCTTCATACTTGGCCTCTGCTGATGGCCGATGCCCATGGAGTGTCCTCATGGACCGAAAACCTGAAGAACGAAATCAGTCAAAAGCGGAAGGTGAGTCGAGAATCGAGGGCGCCACACCTTGTTCTGTTCTCTTCGCACTTTCATTGGCTGGTAAAAGTATCGCGTCGCTGAATCGGCCCTTCCAGGCTAAAGTCGGGTGGCTTTGGAGTCAACTCCATGTAATTTCGGGACCCATCTTATACGGGCTGCGGGCGCCGGAGAGGCCCCAGATTCGCTGGGATGAGGTGGCGTCCCGCAATGGAAGAGAGCACCAACATTGTAGTCGTAGGTCTACACTGTTCAGACAGGAAGCTCACCTAGCCATGCTCGATTTGCTGAGCTAGCTCTATTGAAAGCTGTTCTTGTAATTGTCCAATTCGACAGAAACAGCTAAGCACGTGGAAGCCTGACGGATTTCAGACAATGTTCCAGTAAGCGAGCGCAGCGCCGCCGAAAATCGGTTCGTCTTCCAATCAGTCGTCTTGCTTGAGCGACAAGTTTTGATGCAGAAAGTTGTTTTGGGGGGCCAAGAGCGAAAAACAAGAAGCTTGCGTGGGCCGTGATGTGCAGTACATAAGTATGTACTCGAAGCTGGCTGATGTCGAGGTGGCCATTGCACTGCCAAACAGCGATTTCGAATCAGCCCAGCAGGGCACTACTATTACAGTATACAGTGACAGCTTGAAATGTTCTTTCCGCTTTCCAGAACTCTTTCCCTTGTGCCAAGGAGAAACATCACTGCATGGTTTTGAAACCGAGGGCTACAAAGTCGATATGATCCAACGCCTTTCAAACCACAACCTGGCAATGTCATGTCCGGCCGCGGACATGCATCTTTTTCATGTGAGTAATCATGTGTGTTACAACACCCATAATGTCTGTGTGGGCGCCTGCAATGCTGAATTTGGGAAAGGGTCGTTGTATTACCCGTGATTGCCGTGGTAAAATGTTGTGGAGGGGCGGGAGAGCACAACTCTAGAGCACGTCTAGCTTGCTGGCTCACCAGGGCGGCAGATGGCTCACCGGCTCATAGATTTACAGATGTGGTTATCGTCGCCTAGCGTTCCAGTCTCCTTTGGAAATTCTCCGGACCTTGCCTGTCTGAGCCCATCGTGGGTGCCCTAAAGCAGGTATGTAGTCGTAGGATAAGATATGTGTGTGGTATGTAGGAACATAACCTCTACAAAAACACCTTAGTCTGCTATTTCCGAGGTTGGGCCTTGGGGGTAGATGTACCAACATATGCCTGCTGATATCATAAGCCCAGTTTTGTTGTTTTGGTAATTTGCAAACCTCCTGCGAGGGCCACCGGTATGAATTGTTGTGCAAGACTTGCGAATAAGTAGCCCAACACTGCCTGTACTGAAGTCGGGAATTGTACTTCTTTCTCGAGCCAAAGGTTAGACTACTACACTGATGGGACCTTCCGTTGAAGAAGCCCAGAGCTAGATCTGACGAATCACAATTTGAACAGTAGTATGCAGGTGAGCGAAGAAGTCCAAATACATAGGAGGATAAAATACCGCGGTACAAGAAATCTTGGGACCCCTCTCAAGGTCACGCCGTCAGATTATCGTGCTGCATCGCGGTTTGAATGATCCAGCAAAGATAAAGAGGGTCGTTGCGCTTTGGCCCATTCTCCCCCCCCCCTCGCGATAAACGACGAGGTAGCGGAAAATAGCGGCAGGAAAGACTTTTCGATTGAGCCGTGGTTCCACGGTGGGTACAGCGATCTTCATCTGAATGGAGCCTTCTGCTCGGAGAGGGCTGCTGAAATGGGTCTAGGCCAATTGATCCTTGCCGAGAGGTTTGCAGTAAACCATCTCCCAACCGTAAGACTCTTGGATGATGGCAGTGACTGGCATTTGATGGATTTTGCGACGTGATGTTTTCTTAGAATATCCCTCGACCCAACAGAAATAGGCAGCCTAAAAGGGGTCCATGTTCCATATGGCTTTGTTTTAAGGTATCTGTGTTTGTTAGACCGAGTAATGTTCGCGGCTCAAGTTGGATCAACTCAAATTTGGTGTAAGCGACGGGACGCATAGGACAAGATAAGGTGTCTATGTATCGTCTCAATCTCGCACTTGGTGGTGATGTACGGTAAGCATACTGTATACAGCATGACGGAAGAAAAAGCGAGGCTCCTCGTTGGTTTCCTGAAAGTGGATCCCGGGGAGTTTCTGGCTGGGAAGAGGATTTTCGTTTGCCCTCCTTGGACCGTTTAACTGTCTCCATCTTCCGGAGCCCTTCGTCCATCCAGCAGGCAGCAAAGGGTATCAATGCAAGAACATCGACTTTTTGGTGGGCCAATGTTTCGGCACCCCACACGGAGCCAAGAGAGGGGGTCCGGTGTCAGTGTTATACATAGTAAACCACTGATGATGCGAGAACGCAATACCTCGACAAATTACACCGAGCAAGTCTATGAGCAGGGCGTGGCATCCTATGGTGTACATACATAGATATCTCCGTAGGTCTCCTCCACAGCGTGGCCTTGGAGTAACAGTAGCACGATCTTTGCCGAGGAATGTATCCCATGGACGCGGTTTGTAACATCGCTGTCGGATGACAGGACAAAGTAGCTCCACGTGAATGTGGTGAGCATTGCATTTTGGGTGGTGACACCAAACGATACTCTCACACTCTGTGGCTGCTGCAGTGCGTACGGCGTGCATCGCGCGGAGAACGTGTGAGAGCGAACTTGGAACGCACAGGGGTTGTCGTTTGGTTCTGACTATATAATGGCACATAGGCATTATACCGGTTGGGTTAGATAAAGAGCAATGGCGATAATCTCGGTTTGCAGCTTGCGCAGAATGTTGATGCGCAATCCCAGTTGCGCCTTTTCGTATTGTAGTACGCAGGTGAAATCACTTTTCCTCCAAGTTGACTAGTTTGGGTGGAGGGTTGTTCGACTTTGACCTCTATTCACCGGCAAAGTAGTTCGAATGAACAGATAATCTGTCGAACAATTACGAAAAATTGTTTAGAACAGCATATTAGCGGCATGTCGAAAGCGTAAGTGAGTTTGCCATGCTTATGCCAATTAGCACCGCGTAATTTGGTCAGATAGATGTATGTGGGTGATGTAGTGGTGGTGGCTTGCCTCTGGGTGCCGTTGCTGCGAACGCTGGCCGATTCAAGTTTCGTCCGGAGTTAAAGTGTGTAGAGCATTTCCCAAGAAAAGAGACACCTACAGTACATATGGCATGTAATGGACTCATGCTGAAAAAGCAAGCGAGGCCATTGGCTCGAGTTCATCTGGTTCGATAATATCAAGGCCGGGCTGGGTAGCGTAGTGTACACTAAGAAGACATTGGAGAGTCATCAGTCAACATTCACTCTCTCAATGTTCAAGCCGAAAACCCTGTCTGTCAATTGTAATTCGATGGCGTATGGCGATTCGGATCAGTTACCTTTGTGTTTACTAGGAATTTTGCAGACACATTGATGGCTGCCGAACTAGCTCAAGCCTCGAGTTTGCCAGGCTGACATCCCGCAAGGACACCCCGTCGAGGAACCAGAGCTGGCAAGCACGGCATCGCAGCTTTGTCGCATTGACCATCCGTCCTGCCGTTCTGGACATCGAAAGCTGGGGCATCAAGAGGATTTCAACTGGGGGCTTATTGTTCAGAACACAGTGGATTTGGCGGTTCTGGCCGTGTACATGCGTAGCTATGGTATCTTCTGATGGGCCGGGCCGTATGTGGGACGCTCAGAAACAAGTGCCATGCTCTTCGATACGTACTCCATCCTCCATGGTAGGTAGGTGGTGTGCGGCGCTACAGTGTTGGCTTACGTCCAGTCCAAAGGGTCGAACGACGTTGTGATGCGGATAGGTAGGTAGCATCCGTCCCCGGGCAGATCTTGCAAGCCCTGACTTTGCCCAAAGCGTAATCGTGACTGTAACGTTCACCAATGCACGGCAGCGCAGTTGCAGACCACAGTGGTAGCGGAGCGGGCAGCCACCGGCCAGTGCCAAACTGCCAGTGGGGTGTGGAAGTGGTGTACACGTACATACCGTGAAAGTAGCTCTGGTACCTACATACATAGGTACCTAGCCAGCCAGCTAGGCTCCGTTCGTTCCCTTGGTGGTTCTCGTAGTGGGGGTTTACTCTTGGCTGGTGCTGGTCTTGCTAAAAGCAGTACTCAGCGAGCCCAGATGGTCTGTCATGTCCTCAACTGGAATGGCAGAGTGGTACCTGCCAATGATGCTATGTGCCGTAGCAGCGTAGTATATGTACCCGGGTTCCTCTGTCGGGCTCTTGAGGTTTGTCGGTGTTGAGGTTGTCTCGCCCGAGGCCATGGTGCTTCCATGTATCTAATCAGGTGGATATTCAATTAGGTTGCTTTCAATTTTGCCTGCTCAACCATTGTCACCTCCCGAGACAGTGAAAAATGTCCGCGGAGTTGTTGGGTGACAGGCGGCTTTACACTGGCTCTGGGGCTCTGGCCCTGCCAGGTGCGGATACCTATCTTTGCACTAGTGCGAGGAACACCTGAGGAAAAGTGACCACGAACTAGTGTATGAAGAATTGTGATCAAGACAAGAGGTCGGGGTTTGGGGGGGGGGGGGGTCTGCAACTCGAAAAAGCAAAGGCTGACTTTTGATTGTTGATCGCGTTGTTGGTTGAGTGCTTGGCCGGTCTGCTGGTCTCCGGGTCTAACCCTAACCTGCCGGTGTGCCTGGATGGGACGCTACCTCCTCTACACGGCGGAAGCCACTGCAACCGACGACTAAACCCACGGTGCGGCATCTGAATGATACGCTGGACGTTGGTTGCTTGAGAAAATGATTTGAGATCACCATCCTTCCTAAATTCACAAGGTCTTGGCTCTGTGTAACGGGCGATGCTCACCTCTAGACTTATTCACTAGGCTCGTAGCTGGCCTGAAAAATAGGTAGAATGAGGACGGGAGTCTGAGATGACTCGCAATTCAACGAAGCGCTTGCGATCATGAAAATTGAACGATTCCCCCCCGCCCTGCCTTGTGAGCTGCCAAAATGGCATGGGACGGGTTTGTGAGCATGGATCCCTTCGGCGACTTTCCATTGTCGGTGGTCAAATTAAAGGGGAGCACGGGCCTTTGCGGGAACCTTGATCGCGCTTGCTGCGCTTCTTGCGAAACAGCACCACCAAAAGCCGTGAAGTCTCCGCAGCTACATCTTTCCTTCCGAGCACCGGTGGGCCTTGCGGAGAAGGCAAGAGAAGGAATGCATGAGACCTCTACTTTATTGAACTCCCGCCATGGCCAGTAGGTTTTGCAGCCATCACGGTCCCAAGTTCTGTTCTGTCAAATGTGTGGAGAAAATCCGGGTGGAACGACTGACCTTGTCCGGGACTTCAAGAAGATGTACATGTTCCCCACTGTCATGTCCAATTTGCACCGGGTGACTAATAGTTAAATCAAGGGTTGAGAGGTTGTTGTCCACAAAGCCCATTCGCTCAGGACATCGGCCCTTCCATCACTGTACGATCGTGATGAAGCGGTTGTGATATCGAGACATCTTGATATTGAGGTGATGGCGTGTTGGGAATCGCGCCAGCTCGTTTCTTTTTCTGGGGAGCAATATCGCAAAGCGGACACACATCGGGGCATTGCTTATATCATCAGCCATGGACAGCTCGTAGGAGCCTCTCCAATCCCGGATACCATGACCCTCACAAGGCAGGTCCTAAGCCCAGGCAGTTTGATGAGATCGTACACTACTATAGACCATCTAGAGCCACGTCTTGTAGCACTTGACGAACTTGGAGATCGGTTAGTGATGGTCAGTATGAAAGGGGGGTGTAATATCAGATGTCATTACTTTTACTGCATGTAGAGGGATTGCGAATTGGGGAGCCGGAGTGGGATTCTCTCGGTGCGGAGGTGACGTATCGGCGTGCACGTCGGAGGATCTCAAGCTCCTCGGATGGCCCGTCGCGGCCGGTATCAGACCCTATCCTCACTCTTGAGCCACGGATTACAATCGATGGAAACGAAGCTTGCATGTGCTTTTTTAATCTTCCTCTTCCACCAGTCTTGTCATCTTCGATTGCCCGTGGGTGGATGAGAGTTGCGCAAGCGCACGCCTTCCCGCCTTCCGCAATGGCCTTGGCGCAAGAGCATGAAATTAACTGGGGGAGCCGGGAACAGTTCTTGCCCACATTGCAGTAGCGCAAAATCTGTTTACCCCTCCTTCCGTCCCTTCTTCCAACGCAGGCCCGCACGGTTCCGATCCGCCGCAGCTCCCAAAATACACGACGGAGATGCTGAGCACTTGTTGCTACTACATCCTCATTGTAGGTATCGGTACCTGTGTACCTATTTTGGTTCAATACTCCAGCAAAGCACGAAAACGATAAAAAAAGGCGATGGAGACTTGAAAACCTCCAGCTTCCACTTGGGCAGAGAAACTGGAGAGCAAATGGGGCGAGTTGGGCTAGCGTGGGGATCGCCATGACAAACCGAAATACATCTCATGATTCCGATTGTTGAAATGCCTTGTGCGTTCCTTCCAGTTTGTTGAACATTGAACACCAGGGTTGTGGTACGTACCTTCCTCCAGCTTTCTATCGGGACTGACTGTGTGTGCATCTGCCCTCTTCTGAGCTTTGTTCCTTTCTTACCAACTGGGAAATTTTTTTGGCGATTGCTAGGTATGGATCGTTGCTGTCCACTTGACGGATGATGCCCGCTGTGTGCCCACCAGAAATTTCTTCAGTTGTTCTTCAGTTGAGTTGTAAACTGTCTTGTCATCGCCTCCAACTTTAACCAATGAATTTCTCAAACGTTCAAGCTGCCAAACTACAACCAGCTTCGAACTCGCAATCTTATTCAGCTGCTGTGTGCGGGTAGCAGCTTGATCCTCCTGCGCGTGGCGTGAGTCAAGATGCCGACCTCGTCAATGATTTTCAGTCCTTGGCGGGAGATATCACGAATATCGGCACCTCTACGAGCGAGCGACGGCGCTTCGTTCCCCAACTGGGCAAGCGGCCTAATGAGCCGGGGTGCCTCATCGGGCACTTTTAAGGTCAGTCTTGCATGATGTTGTGCCTACCTGACAGTGCCCTTTGTCCTCTTTCAGATCTCGTCAAAGTGTCGATTTCCCCCCTCCAGCCGTCTCAACCTCTCTCGCCTTGAGGACGGCGTCATGACCCGACGGGATCTTTGGGCTCATCAGCCTGAACGCCTGGAATCTCGTCCCAACGCTGCCGCCAAGGAGTCCCGAGGGCATGACTGCGTCTGATTCGGACCTCAGATGGCGGGCAGCTATCTCGACTTTGAGATATGGTTGTACATACACATAAGGCGATGACGGCGACGACCGGACAGCCAGATATCATCAACACAAAACCACCTAACTGGTCGAATGTCTGCCATTCCCAACCCAACTCAGAACCCAATGCCTTGACCTGTAGGAATGCAAGCTCAACACACGCTCCGGAAAGCCAGTACTATACTACGTGCATATCTACACACAGGCCAGCCGGAGAGATGCCAAGATGCGCAGATTGTATTGCGATACGTGCTCCCGTCGTGTCACCAACGCCAGATGCGAGACTATCTAAGCTACACCTCAACGTACGGCTCCTTGTCCACCATTTACACTCCTTTTCGTCAGCCCAGTAGCCAGTCGCAGTCGAGTACAAGAAGAAAGATGTAGTGAACAGGAAGGGTGCCAATGCTGTCTGGCTGCGTCACGGCGGCAGTGACGCTGGTTGATGGTCATGGCGCCCAAACAGGGGTCGAGGCCTGGTGTGTCGATGGCTGCTGCGAGGCACACAAGTCGAAAAGCAAAAAAAGAAATGGACACTTTTGATGGCCCGTCTCGTCCCGTCAACGCCGTCCTTGCGTTGGATGGTTACTTTCCAAGTACCTGCCGACAAAAAGCCACCTGCCTCCATCACGGACCCCCTCTTCGGCCCCTCTCCCCCCCTGGTTCCAGGCACAACCCTACCAGGCCCCCATCATCTCTTGAGCCCTTGAAGCTTGAGTACCCCTACCCCCTACCCCCTTTCGGGAATGTCGTCAAGCGGTGCCGTTTTTCCTACATACCTCCGCATTTCACTTCCCTGCGAACCGAACCGCAAGCCAAAATCGCACTATGCTGAATGTAGTGTACACTGACAGTACGCAGCACCTTTCTTCCCCAGTCCTTGCTAGATCGGCCCACCCGTCATAGGAAGGCCGCGACCGTTCAAGTGCCTTGTCAGGTTGCTCTGCCGAGTCTCGGAACACATCGGGGTAATTTACCCGTACACTACTCATGGGCCACCCATCGCACAACGAGGGAATCAAGGCAGCAGGACCGTGGACCAAAAAGAACAAGCTCGCTCGGCCACCAGCCAGTTGCCATTCAATCGAACTAATGTGCTAATGTCGCAAACCTTCATCACGACAAACCATGATTTATCAAAGCTGTCAATACAAGAGAACGACGAATCAAACCAGTGATGCTCGTTATCGCGCAGGGCGACCAAAGCCCAACACATCCAGCCGGTCATGTTCGAGGTCATTCAACCGTGCTTTCATGGTCTGATTCATCCCCCATGTCCTGGTACTTCTTTTTCCTTCTTCACGTCGATAGTGTCAAACGAAGCACATATGTACAGGGCCTTTGTGTTTCCTCCCCCTTTGAGATACATACGGAGTGGCCCGTAGACCCGCTGGGAAGGTTGTGCAAGACAGAAAGGGTGTTTCGGCTGCCGCGGTCCTGCTTCACGTTGTGATAGCACGGCCGGCCCCCATATCCTCATCTGGCCTCGGCCCCGTCAACAGCTTGTCAGGAGCAGGAGCATGTCCCCAACCCGCTTTACGCTAGTACAGTTTACAAATTTGGGTTCGTCTGGAACCAACAGTCCACTTGCGAGGGTGAGATGATGCATCCACAGTTTTGGTCAGAGCTCCCTATATAACGACCGTTGATATTGCTTTTCTTTATACCTCCTTTGGGATCGCGGCCGTGCGGTTGTTCGGTGTTCAACCCGGCCAGGTTGGCTAACGAGGTTCTGCGATAGGAAAAGGTCGGTCTTCCAGTCGACTGGAAGCAGGGGTTCCATAAATTTTCTGTCCTCGTTCGCCAGCCGAGTGTGCTGGGCCAAAGATGCTGGGGGCCTGGGTTGCTGGGGGAGACTGGGAGAGGGGCCGTATTGGCCCCTCCAAACACTCCGCCGTGGACCCTGGTCAAAAGGTAATCTCATGAACCAAATTTTTTCTGCCTCTTGAGCCCTTCCCCCCGTGCCCCCTCAGTCAGTCATTCAACTCAAATCCGCTCTGCTTGGAAACCACAGAAAGTGAGGATCCTCTCGCAGCATGCGCGTTTCTTGCCCAACGGTCTTCTAGAAATTGCGGGCCTCTGAAATTCACCTCTGCCCAAAGATGTCTAAAGGATTATGCATTGCTAAAATCATTCGCCCTGGTCCATCACTTACACAATGTTTTGACTGGGCCATTGTTACTAGCTTGACCCTGGATTGGCCAGAGGAACTCTGCGTGAAGCCAGTGGAGACGGGCCGAGAGGCGGCGACGAGGGTTGGCGGCTCCTCTAGGTGACGAGCCGGAGACGGGCAAAAGTGCACTCACACCCGTTCATCCTCTTCTCTGATCGCCTGGGTTATTTGGCCAGATGTTCCTTCAGCGTCTCTATTTACACCCCCATGCCGTTGTCGCTACGAAGCCGGTTCCTCTTTGAGCTAGTCCATGTTCCAGAGGTCCCCTCCACCGTTGTCAGAGCAGCCAAAGCTCGAAACTAGCGTACCACTGTTTTTCTTTTCCTTCTTCCTCGTCCGGCAGAGCGGAGGGGTAGAAGGGGCATGAAGGGGGACAGGAATGGCAGTAGCCCGAGTGGTGTATCTCGGTACAGTAGCTTGAACTCACTACCTGACAAATTCTTTGCGTCAGGAGGATCAAAGCCATCATCACACTTCATGACACCAAGGGTCAGACTGCCTCGTCTCCTTCAATTACCTCCCCCCTATGTCGGATGCGATGCCGAGGTCATTCATGGACTCTGCCTTGAGAAACAGTGTGTGTCCGGCATGAAGAGAGCTTTGGTGCTCATTTCCCAGTGGATTGGGACCCAGAGCATAACACTGTCTGCTATGAAAAATCAGAGGGCAGTGTTGGATTCTGAACTCGATCTCTTTTCCTCTTTTCTGTGGGCTAAATGGGCCGTTAGCTCTTGATATCATACCCCATCTTGACTAGCAAGGGTCGCGGCCCTGCTTGCCAGATCGTCTCGTTTTCCCTCAACCTCCTTCCCTGTACGGTTGGATCGTTTCTGCAAGTGCGAGAGTGTTAGAAACAATCCCCTACCATCCCACCCTCGTGAAAGCCGCTAACTTCGACTTGGTCTTGTTCCGTACCCCCTGTAGCTCCCGGGACAGTGCCGAAGTTAACCCTCCTCTCACAACCGTCCTCTTGACCATTGGTGGCACTATGGCTTGATACAAGTACATACATATGTACACCACCGCGCTCTTCTACGACTACACTCTTTCGTTATCCGATCCTCTTGTCGTTCCTTCTTATTCCTAAATCAACCCAGACGGCGTCTCTTTCGATCTCTCCTCCAAACATCTTTGGTGCTCTACTCTTTCGCCCCACAACGCACGAGGAGGAGTAAAGACTACTAGGCAGAACTATCCTCCAACCTAAGCGACTCGAAGGGGTTTTTCTGTGAAGGAAACCTTCGAGCAATCTTTGGAGGAGTGACAGCTGCCCATGTCAGCGACAGCAACATACACGGTCAGTATGGCAGAGTTGAGAGCTGAGACTCAGCACGGAGGCATCTGGCCCAACTACGGGAATCCGGTACAGATGAATACTGGTCGGTACAACACTCAAGAGTCTTCGGTACCAGTAGGATCGGCGGCTTCTTCACATCTTGTACGCCCTCGCAGTCGTCAGCACACGATGGACTATCACAACGCACCATACCATCATGGACGGCCTGCCCAGGAGGATGGCGATGGCTACGATAGATATCCACACCCTTCGTTGATGAACATCCCCAGCATCACCACCGGCATGAAGCGCAGCTACTCCCAGGTCGACCAAACTCCCTATACGGAAATGGTCCAAGATCTCCGCGATGACTACAAGCCGGCCATGAATCACGACCAGAAGCTACTCTCGTTCAAGAAGGTTGGCGACAAACATACCATCGTCGACCACAAAGGGCGGATTCACGAAATCGAAATCGAAGCTCAACTTCACGGCATGTTCTTTCTGTCGGAGTTTCCCTCGCCTGGCGACGGCAATGTCTTGAACGCCGAGTTGACCTGCTACCGCCGCAACCTGTTTCAAATCAGCGGCAATATCTGCTTTCCTCAAATACCGTTGTCTGTCATGCTAGAAACGGGCGAGACCAGCCAGATCAAGAACATGGAAGTCACTATCTCGGCAATCGAATCTGTCGACGGCCACCCTGTGCGCCTAATCGTCATTCCCTGGAAGACGCCCCCACCCAACTCACCAGAAGTCAACCAAGCTCCCGATCAAGAACCTCCATCACTTCCTCTGATTCCCTGGTCCGAAGAGGAGGAAGACAATGGCGGGGATCACTACGCTATCTATCCTATCGGGTGGCGTCGACTCCAATTTAGGATGTAAGCACCACTTCAGAACCACCACTCACTCCAGATTTCGTTATGTTCAATAAGCTGATGCGTTCCTATCTAGCGCAACGGCCAACAACGGTAGACGGAAGGAACTACAGCAACACTTCGTCCTACACTTGAAGCTCCATGGAACCCTGGCGAATGGTACGAAACTTGTGCTTTCGGAGCTTACCACTGCGCCGATTGTTGTCCGAGGAAGAAGCCCGCGGAATTTCCAAGCGAGAAAGGAGATCCCGCTGTTGGGATCTAGCGCTGGTTCAAGAGGACAGACACTCGTGGAAACCGGTCACTCAATTGTTGCGCAAGCTGTCGCGCTTAACAAGCCTCCTTATGATTCGAGACCCCGTGTCTCGAGCATGGATTTGCCCAGAACAGCGTTCACGTTCACGTCTGCGAAGCAGATGCCCCAGAGTCCTATGCAAATGCGTTCGAAGTAAGTCAACAAAATCTCAAGATACGGAGGTGTGGCATATTCAAGGCAGTGATGCTAGCTTCACTAGGGTCCTGACTTGATAGAGGAAAACGATACGTGATGCTAACATAGGTCAGCAGTTCTTACCCTACAAGTTGGAACCCATCTAGTCAGGTGTCGATGCCACACAACCCAGGATCGACCTCTTACCCGACAACATCGATGGCCGGCCCCGAGCCCTATCCTAAAATGCCCCTTTCTGGAGCGCCCAGCTACACGGCCGAGCCCCAAGAGATGCCTATCCAGCAGACCTCCATGCCTTCTATGCAACTCTCTATGGTAGCCCAAGACCAACAACCGTCGGCCCCCATCCGAACACAATACGCAACTTACGCATCGGCACCTCCGCCGCATCTTTCGCTGCCGAGCACAGCGGACAGCTCGCTTAACGTGCCGCGCTATGTGGACAGCAATCCCCGTCCTTCAAAGAGCCCTCGCCACGGTAGCCATGGCTCACTCACTAACGAGACGGCCTCGGGCGAGTATCGCTATGGCCCCCCTTCGTACCTTGGCAACAGCTCAAGTGATATAAGTCCCCAATCGCAACATCATCCGCCTACGTCAGGTGCAGGAGCAGGCGGGGCGTCGTCGGGCGCTTACGGAACACCATCTCAAGAAGGAGGTGCCTCTGCCCCAGCGTCTGCGCCTACGAGTGCGGCTCCGCCGCGGGATTACTTCCCCTCATCTCAGTCCTGGACCAGCACTGCCGGTGAGGGGCAGACTTCATCGTACACGAACGGAGGTGACAGGTCCTATTCCTTTCCTACAGGTGTGAAAACGGAGCCGCACTCGCAGCCTTCGCACTCGGGTGCACCAGTGCCAGGCGTGTATGGCAACAACCACTATGCATGGAACGCCACGTAAAAAGAGGAAACGAAGTTTGGATCCACGACTGAAATACCAGGCTCCTAGTTGCTTTTAGGCTGATGATAACGAGGAGATTAAGGCGTCATAAATGGTAATTGTTGCTTGGAAATCAAGGCTCAAAAAGGGGCGTGCGGTCAAACAGTGGTGGATATTGGTGTCTCAATCCCATTCATGATGGGCTAATCAACGACACTATGGATGGTTTGCAGCTCGGCATTTTTACATGCCGGTGACCGACCTGGAAACAGCGCACTACCTGGTTGGCGGGGTGCGCCTGGCGTCAAAAGAGAGGTCGAGGAAGCATGTGGATTAGAAAAGGAGTCTGCATGTCTCCAGGATGGCGGCGGCAGTTTGATTTTTTGTTGATCCAAAATACCTTTCTCTTTGCGGTTCTATGTTTCTCAACCAAGAGCTCTGTTTTTCTATATCCGTACATACACATATACGTCCCTGTACAAATTTCATGTGCTTCTGTTGCGGGCGGTGATTTGGCTTCACCACTGCATGATATACAATCAGGAGGGATTTCATCTGTCATTGTCTTCCGTTCTTCTTGCGCATTTTCAACGTCCAATCGATACCACTCCAAATACCACAATGCGTATTACCTCCCAGGATGATTTGCCTGTGTTTGCATGATCAATATGGAAAATATATGCGCGTGATAAACCCAAAAAAAATTATTTTTTAATAAAAGATTAAAAAATTTAATTGACGGCGCCTTTCCTGAGTGCTATAAGCCCCCCTTTATCTGCGTTTTCATGCACCGACTGACTGATTCCCACCCAGCCTTGGCCGGCGTAGGTAATCACAGTCACACTTTGCAGAGTGGGCACATCGTTCAAGCTCATCATATCACGCTCCCATGGCACTCGCTCATGTTGTGTCTCTCCATGCTCATGGCTTTCTGTTCCCACGTGTCCCTCCTCCCCCTTGACCACAGCTATAATGGTTGCTTAACCGAGCTTCACGGTAACGACCGAGTCCCTGGGTGGAAATGGAGGTCAAAGGCAAATAAAGTGCTGAAGGATATAGGTGTATGAGCTCGGTGAGAAGTTCGGCGACGAAAACCAGAAAAGATGAGACATGAACTCGTGTGACTAGAGCGCTATATCTCATTCAACCATTTCCTTTGTCGTCTTGTCACAACGCTTTTTACCATTTACTCGCCCCTCTTCATCTGGAAAGTACATGAAACCACAATGGCCCAAAAATTCCGATCCAACCCGACCAACTTGTCGTATTTTCCCCTTTCGTTTTGCAGACTTGACAAGTGAGATATGTATTTAACATTGTATCTCACGTCCCACAGCCTTGCAAGACAGACAAAGAAGCTTGCCGCCACCACCAGGAGACGTGGAGGTCAGCAGATGCTTGGCTGGCCTTTTGTATGTATATCAATCAACTGACCACTCCTGATCTGGCAGGTGCTAGGTACTTTCTACCTGATATGCCTACTACATACATAGGTAGGTACATAGCGTACCTAGAGACAAAAACATACGTATACAGGTTTGGCTTACCATGTATGCTACACATAGCATATTCAAGTTCCCGTCAAGTTCAAGGTTCAACTTCAGCGACAACTTCTGTCGGTGTTCTTGTTGTGCTCCGTCAGGCGCCCACCTCCTACTTTCCCCAGACCTCCATACCCCTCAGGCCCCCCAACCCCGGATTTTATCAGTTAGGTAGGTATGTAGGTCCTACATATATGATGAAATGCCGTGTTACCAACCTGTCCCAACCTTTCCGTCGACCTATTTAGATAAAAAAATTTATTAAAAAGAATTTAAAGAAAGAAAAAAAAGAAAAGAAAAGAAAAGAAACGACGATACATAACGGATACCTTCGAATTTTACTATGGGTTGATGCTTGCGAGTTTCCATCTATGAGCCTACGTGTGTAATAAAACCGTTCGTTCCATTCAGTCCACAGCTGTCACAGGGCTGGATCCTGAGATACTGGCACCCGGGACCGTACCATACGTGAAACCCGTCATTGACAACGTCCTCCCTTCTTGTTGTTTAGGTATGTATATGGCAAGATGACAAGCATGTAGTTGGATGAACGGGTGGAAAATGCCTCGGCTGGCCGCCCCATTGTGTTCAGGGACACGATCTCATCTACATCTCTCGTCTGCTGCCCTTGACCATGGCAGAAAGACAGCATTTTCTTGAGGCGACCAGGAGGGTGAGAAGGGTGTAGGATGGTCACATGGGGGTTTTGTTTGAGCCTCTTACTTACTTCTCAGGTAGGTAGATAGTTGCGGACGTCACGATGATACTCGCGTAGAAAATCACTAATGATGCAGTGGCGGTCGCACACGGAGATATAAATCATTCATTTGAGAGACGGCGAGACAACATTTTTTCGACATGGTGTTCAAAGCTTGAAGTCTCGAGGGAGGCAGTACATTGAAATGACATGCCGGGAGGTTATAAAGGGGGGTCTCTCAATCTACAAGTTTTGAAAATGGGCAAAATGCTGAACGGATTGCCGCTGCTGGAAGTCGAGAACAGCAGCAGCAGCGGACAGCTGTCAACCGAATGACAGCCCACAAACTTGGCAGCTGGTGGGCCCTGGCCAACCTCCACATCCACTGACTGGGGAGTGCACAGCGACGATGAGAAGCAATCCATGTCGCGCGCCTGCGTTTCCCGATTATCAACACCAATTCGCTCGTTCGTGACAACTGGGTTGGTGGATCGTGATTGCACGGCTTCAATTACTTACGCCCCTTATTTTGCGACTACAGTGGCATCACGGACCTGCCAGCTAGCTCTTCAACACTATCGGACCTCGTTGAAAATTTCTTCCCTTCACTCAAATCATCAGTGGCACAAATCTCGGCTCAGCATAATTCCACATTCCACGAGGCTTTTCATTCATTGAAAGAAACTCTGCGAAAGAACGATGTTTGAGGTACCTGACGCAAAACGGTCAGTTTTTGTTTTTCTTTTTCTTTTTTTCTTCCCCAAAAGCCTTTCTCGTATCCAAAATTTGCACCAGTCAGACCACCTCCGATTTGTCACGGTACACACATATATTGTACATAACTTCTTACTGACCTGCCAAAAACAGAGTGAGAAGAGATGAGCTCTTCGGTTCAGGGACGTCCGATCGTGGCTCCAGTCCGGACACAGCGGACGAAGCCGAAGTGGAAGCCAAGGCTCAGCTACTCAATGCCAAACTCTCTAGCTTGCTTTCATTGAAGTTTGAGTTTGATGACGGTGCGGCGCGTGATGATAATGCCACTACTGCGGCTAGAGAGCCGACAGAAGCTTCGGCCAAGCAACCTGAGGTGGCCAGGGAGAAGCCCCAGAAGAAGGAGAAGGAGACGAAGCAAACAAGTCAAGGTGACGCCGAGTCCTCGGATGATGATGGCAGTGACGAAGAGGACACACCAATGCAAGACCAGGCGCCACTCGAAGAGGAGGAAGAAGCCGCCGAATTCGAGTTTCGCCTCTTCTCCACCTCAGCCCCTCAAAAGATCGTCCTCCCTTCCAAGGACGAAGAGGATGGCGCAGGCGAGACGGTTATCGCTGACCGACCTATATCCTACTACATACGCGGCGAGCTCACGCCTGAGGAGCAAGAACAGTTCCGGGCCGCAGCCGTGACTAGCCAAGACATTCTGAACTGGGCCAAGCAGCGGGCGTGGGGACTTGAGGTGCCGTGGAGGGTGAGGAAGATTGTCGTTACAGTGAAGGGCAAGAAAGCAGACAGGGCCGCGGCAGCAACAGCTCTGCATGGTCAACCGGTGGCCACGGGGACCGAAGTTCAACAACAAGCAGGCGGTAGTGAACAGCAGAAAAAGAAGAAGAAGCGACTCGGAAAGAAGGGGAGAATTGCCATGAGGATCAAGGAGAAGGCGAGGAAGGAAAAGGAGGAGGCGGAGCAGAAGCAGAAGATGACCAAGGAGGAACACTTGAAGGAGAAGAAGAAGCGGTTGAATAGGGAGAAGAAGCTCAAGAGGAGACAGAAGGAGAAGGAGAAGAAGATGGCAGGCAAAGCGGGAAGTTCGGTGGGTGATGCTATGTCTGCGGTTGGGCAGGATTCGGATTCGGAGGGGGATGAGAAGGAGAATACGATGGTTGAGTAACCGACGCGTTGGTGGTGGGTTGATAATTACTTGGGGAGTTGAAGATAATGCAGGCCGTGTGTAGCAGCATCTAAAGCGATGACTGCCTCTTGTAGACAAAGGAGCCCCTGAAGCCCTGTAGCCACGCTCTCGGTATGGTACCTACTTCCCAGGTTCATACAGGGGATAATTAATCCGAGCACGCAGCGTTTTGGTCATGAATGCCACGGTACTCAGCCCTCATATTATGTACACCTCCTCTCAAGTGAAGCACCCCAAAAAGAGTAAGGTAGTACTGTTACCTATCCATCAAGGTTCTGCATTTGTTGAGCCACAAGCAGGTGTCGGTGGAGGCAAAAGTATCAAGGCAATGGCATTGCATTGTAATTCGACCAATCACAGGCGGCAGGCAGTACCTAACGCGGCAGGGACGACGCGGCAAGCTCTCCGCATCATCCAGCTCTTCTCACTATAGCAACTGCATGCCCGCGTTTGAGCATGAGGAAAGAGTATCTTTGAATTGATTTCTTCCATGAAACATCATCTTGACATGTTTTCTTCTTGATATTCTCGGTCAGCTCCAATCGTACAGCATCATCAACAAACATGAGGTAGCCTTATCGACGAGTTACGACAATCCTCCCACCCCTGAAACACCCCGATTTCTTCAGTTTAGCGGTCTTGTCACTGGCACTCGCAGTTGCAGCCGCCGTCTGCCCCACCATCCACAACCCTCCATGACCATGATGAACGCGCTCTGGTCGAGAAGCACCTCCTCTTCCGGCGACAGCGCAGAGAAAAGCGCCAAACCGGCCAGCGATGCAGTGAGCACCACTTCCGAACAAGTGGCCGATCTCTCGGACAGGCCAAATGCGCCAGCCCTACCAGCTCGCCCGGCCCTCCACAGAAACCAGCCTTCGGCCCCTCCTCCAGCAGCACCGTCGAACCCTCCGCCGCCAGTGCCCTCCGGTGCTGGCTCCGGCAACGCCAACAATGCGTCGGCGCAACCCCAGGACTCCCTGTCTCTAGCCCAACTACGAAGGATCGTTGCCGAGTTCCCCAAGTCCGAGCCGATCGCCTACGACTATGTCTACACTGATGTGGGCCCCATCGAGGAGGAGGTGGACGAGTGGTTCCTCTATAACTTCTGGCAATGGGTGCGCCTGAACACGGCCAACCGGGCCTTTGACAGCACATGGGAAAGCATGTTCGGGGAGGACGAGACCTGGGACAGTGTCGGAGACGACGACAGGCAGAGGTTCGTGCGGAACGCCGTCCAACAGTTGCAGACGTCAACCGACAAGACGGCCCGCGGCGAGGCTATCGGCACGCTCGTGTACATAGTGTTGGGACGTTGGGCCGAGACTGTCAAGGCAGCGAGCCTGCCCAATTTTGCGGACCACAAGGTCAGGTCCGCCGCCACCAAGGAGCAGCTGGATGCCATGAAGGCAGGCGTCAAGCTGCTGGCTGAGTGTGGTGGCATCCCTCCCATGTGGGATGCGCTGAGGAAGGCCTTCGAGCCATTCTGGGCGGACGACGGAGACGTTGGCCAGATAGTGCAGGCCTATGCCGAGGAGCTGATGCATTTGATGACCATTTTGTACATCTCTTTGCAAACGACGCTAGACGACCTTGAGGATATGGCCTCGGCCCGCAAGGAACTACGTACGAGGTCCCTTTTAACACATGGCGGCGCTCTGTTAAGTTGCTAACATATGGCAGTTGCACTCAACCCGAATCTGGTTCACTTCATGTTGCATGCCACGGCAAAACTTCGATGGGACGATAGGAACATTCTCCCCCAAACCCAGGTCGGTTCAACTACCTTTGGAATCCCGGGCGCGGCCAACCAACATCGAATGCTCATGAGTTCCCAGGTTTTCCTTTTGTTCTGGAAGTCACTTCTCCTTGTTTTCGGCGGTTCCAAACACATCGCGGAGGCCAAAAAGGCTACGGCAGAAACACCTTCCGACGTTAAGGACAAGGAAATTATTACTGCTTCCCCGCTCGATTACCATGTGTTCCGGCAAGAGATCACATCCAAGTATCCGTCATATATCCCGCCCCAATGTGCCATTCCCCTCGAGGCAGAGCAGACGTCAATCCTTCCTCCGCTACCTAACCACCCAACCAGGAACAATGGACAAAACGGTATCCTTCCCGGCCCACCAAACCAGAGCGCCTCCGCCTCGATTCTCCATCAGCCGGTTCACATCGCGACTCCTGCGCCCTCCCCTCCTCCGAGCCCGGGTGTCGGTGGTAAAGGTGGTAAGAAGCAAAACTACCAGACTAACCAAAACTTTCCGTTTATGTATCCGCCCTTGGACGCCACCAGCAACAGCGCTGGCGGAAAGGGAGTTGCCGGACTACAGGACCTGTTGGTAGGCAGGAAGTGGGAGGGAAGCGATGTTCCCGCCTCCATTATCGAAGCTGGCGAACTATTCTCCACGCGAACCAGGATGACACGAGCTACCAGGCAGCTCTGGGAAGAGCGCGAGAGATTCCTCAAGTTTGAGCGTGGATGGGAAGGTGTCGATGAGGACCTCATTGACGAACTTGATCTCTCAGAACTTACACTTGAGGAGAAGGAGGAGCTGGGCTTACTGAAGGAGAGCGACAAGAAAAAAGATAAGCTCGGCCACGAAATTGACTTGGGACCACGGCCTGTGGATGATGATATCAAACATCGTCTTGAGGCCGTCGAGGAGTTCTATGTAAGTCTTGATGAGTGACTTATGCTTCTGTCTTACGGTACTTGCTGACTCTACTACTCTTTACAGAAAGAGGCTCTCCCTCATCTGCAGTCACTAGTCATTGTGCTGCTGAAGGCGATTGTTGCTATCGCCAGCAGTCTAGTTCAGCCGCAACCTGGACAGCAAAATCCTGGTGCCCCGCAGAACAATGGGCGTGTTAGCGGAGGGCCGCCCCAGGGTCGGGGTCAAAGTAATGGCAACAATGCTGGCAACGACCCTCCCTCCCCCTCGGATGACAATGTAGATGAGGCTAGGAGCAGAGAAATTGCGGCGAAGGCCGTGACAGGTATCATGATCCTATTGTTGAAGTGGCTAAAGCTGTCTCGTAAGTAATCATGCGACCAAGACCAGTACGACCGCATCGCTGACGATCGAGTGTCCAGATATCCTCAAGTTCGAGTACTTCACACAGCTACTCTTGGACTCTAATTATCTTCCTCTAGTGCTGAAGCTGTTTGCTCTGCATGATGTGCAGCAGGTGGTTGAGAGCAAGACCGACAGGATAGAGCACAGGTGAGATTGCTTCGTCTCCTTCGCAAAAAACACTACCTCCGGAAATATCGGTTGCTAACTCATCATGACCAGTTTCTTCTACTTCTGTGGTTCCCGTGCCGGCGCAATTCCCCAGCAGGGTCTTATCAACCCAACCGCGACCGACTTCGAAGACGTTGATGTGAGCGAAGACGAAGCGGCGCCTCCCGCCATTAAGAGAAACCGTTCACCTCCTGGCGCAGAAAAGGGAGGACCACCCGACGCTTCATCCCAATACATATCCTCGCAACCGCCCCAACAACAACAATCAGAAAACTCGGGCGTCCCCAGCCGCCCCGAGGTCGACGAACTCGGCTACCCCGTCAACCCGCTTCCCAAAGAGCCCATCACCGACTTCTCCCGCCGCAACTTCTTCTCCCTGATCAATTACCTGCGCGTGATGCAGAAAATCTGCAAGCACAAGGCCCACCGCAACCTCCTGCTGGTGCACTACAAGTCCTCCAACATCCTGCGCAAGTCCCTCAAGGTGCCCCAGCAGGAACTCCGCCTCTACACGCTCAAGCTCTTCAAGAACCAGGTCCCCTACTGCGGCCGCAAGTGGCGTCAGTCCAACATGCGTGTCATCACCGCTATCTACCTGCACTGCCGCCCTGAGCTGCGCGACGAGTGGCTATCGGGCTCGGATGTCGACGCCGAGGTCGAGGAGGCGCTGCCGCTCGAGCAGGCGCTCAGGAGCCTGACGCACTGGTTCAACGTGCAGCGGTATCCCGAAAGGATGGGCGCCGAGGTGACAGCGGCGATGAGGGAGGAGAGAGATTTTTTCACGAGGGAGCTGGAGAAGAGTGATTGGATGGGATGGGAGGGGATCATGGCTGGAGGAGGGATGGGGATGGATGGTGCTGGTGGTGCTGAGCCGATGATGGGGATGCCCGGAATGGGAATGGGCATGGGAATCGGTGGATTGCCCGGTATGGGAGGCATGGCGGGGATTGAGTATGCGGCTGCTGCTGCGGCGGCGCAGACGGAGCATGAGAGCTCGATGGGGTGGAGTTAGGGTTCCTTACTTGACCATGATCTTTCTGCTCTGGGCGAAATTATGATTGAATTGAAAGAATCGGGTATAGGGTTTGATGCTGACACTATCATGCGTCTCGCTTCAGCACGCATTGGGACGTTGAGGGCCTTGGAGGCGTTGAGGCACATAGGGGAGGAGAGACGGATTTGGGTAAGGGGGCGAGGATGGCGGACCTTCTCCGTTGAAGATTAATTGATGTTATATAGTCAAGTGGATGCGACGAGGATGTCAATCATCCCGCAGCGTTCTCCTAACACCTTGAGGTCTCCAGCGGAACTATTGATTGGGAATTAGTTGTAACATCAGTCACACTGGTTATTATTATGTTCGCTAATTGTTCAGAGAGCCGAGGCGGACAGCACGGACTAACTTCTGATCTGCTTTCATTGGGACTGAAAGTCCATGGCTAATGTTATTAGGCCAAGCTACATCTGACATAATGAAGGGGGGGGGGGGCCCTCGTAACATGAAATGGCGGTCCAGGCTGGCTGGCCCTTTCCAGCAAAAACTCGCTTTCTGTCATTGAGGACAGGAAATACACTTCGAATCGCGATCCCTGCTCTCTTCGCTTTATTTTTAGAGATATATTTCCAGGACGTTGTTATTGTTTTTTCAAAGAAGGGGTATATCAGAGAACATCAGTAGTAAACAGGCAACAACAATGACACAAGAAAAGACCAACGGCCCAGTCATCTGTTTGAATCTAGTTTTTTTCTTCTTATTTCTTTCTTTCTTTCTTTCTTCTCTGCGGGGGTATCCAAGATATTGATTATTCACCACGTAATACTCGTTTGCCTTGTCTTCAAATCCATCTGACCGTTTCGCAACCCTCTCGTGCCAAGCTGGACCGTAGCCGTCCGCTTGTGCAAGTCAAACTCCACCGCCCTCACCATCACGCGCCGTTCCTCCGGGATGATGACCTTTGGCGGCGGCGGCGGCGGCGCAAACTGCCGCTGCCGCTGCTGCTGTTGTTGTGTTGGCCAAATGTAGTGAGTTCTGCTCCCGGACGCCGTAGTGTTGGTGCTGGTGCTGGAAGTGGAACTCCCCGTCCGCCTTCCCCATCTCGTTGGCGCAATCCCATTCGCACTCCCGTTACTATCAGACCGGACCACTCCGGATTTACTTCCACTTGCTGCACCGTCCATGGTGTCCACCACGGCAGACTCATCCATAGTCATAGACATGGGCATAGACATGGACATCTGCGAATAGCTTGCCACGGGACTGCTACCTGGCGTGACGATCATGCTGAAATCATCCGACTCCTCAATCTCCGTGATCCACATGCCGATCCTCGCCGTCAGCTCGCTATCCCACATGGCCTCTCTCCGAGCACTACTGCGGAGGAGCTGGATAGCCTGCCTTCGAATCACCGGGTCGCGGCACTTGGTCGCTACCACAAACAGCGGCGGCACTATCCCGAGGTCGGCACTGAAGCTCGGCTTGATATGCCGGGCCGCATACTCGTTATGCCCACCAAACATGTTTCGCGCTCGCTCGTAGCTGGTGTTGTGGCCATGGCCGTGCCGGCAGAAATCCGGATCCGGGCAGCGCTTGGCGGCTGCCCGCCGCTCTTCGTCGCCGACTACCTCCAGGGCTAGGTCGACAATGGTCTTGAAGTAGCTGTTGAAGTTGTCAAACTGCATCTCACTGGCGTTGAAGGTCATGAGAAAAAGGATCAAAGCCATGATCTGGAACATTTTCAGGACGGCGATGGCGGCCTTTTCCTGGGTGGTCACGCTGGGGGCTGTCCGCGACTGGAGGATGGGCTCGAAGGCTTCCGACCAGGCGTCGAGATCCTGTTTGAAGCCGAGGCCGTACCGCTTGAGGTTCGGTGGTAAAAGCCCCATGGGCCCGTTCGGGACGTGCTTGAACATGGTCTCGGTGAACTTGAATATGCGCTCGCATAGCTTGTCCCACGCGACACGAGCTTCTATGACGGAAGCGAAGCGGTCTGGGATGGGATCTGGGAACTGAGAGCCGGGAGAGCTGACATCGGAAGCTGGGGATGAAGGGTCCTGCTCGATCGGTGTCAAGCGCACAACGTACGGCTGGGGGAAGTGGAAAGCCATGTCGTAGGACTTGGCTTGGATTGCCAACCTGGTGAACATCTGGATCAGCTCGTCTTCCACGGGCTCGCCCGGCTGGGTGATGAAGGCTCGCCTCCTTTCGGCACGCAGCTTCTCGAGCAACTGAAGTCCTGTCTGGATCTGGAAAATGGCCTGTTTGTGGTCGCCAACGAACGAGTCGAAGCATGCTAGCAGCACGCTTGCCATCAGTCTCGTCCGGTTAGACATGGGATCTGCCGTATTAATGAGCGAGCGGATGGCCTCATGGTATTGCTCCAGAGCCATTCGGAAATGCGTCATGGCAAGGTCGGTGGGATCTCGATCGCTGGCTGGTGAGCCCGGCGGCGACTCACTCGTCTTCTCTAAAGTCTTGTACAGGGCACCTAATGCCACGACGGCGTGGCGGATCGTCGGCTCGAAGTGGCATTCTTGTAAGACAGTTCGCGACCAGAAACCAGAATCGAAGAATCCCGAAAGCTCATTGGCAGTATGTTCGCGGAACAACTGGAAATACAAGCCCTCCCTGTCGGTAAATGGCACATTCGCGGCCGGCGATCGGTGGAGTGTTACGGCGGTGCCGGCAGACTCTCGTGGTGTTTGCGGAGGTGTGTTTCGTCTTTGGTACTTGACCACTCGGCGTGGGGCAAGTTGGATGGGCGCATCACGGCCGGGAAGAGGTGTAGCTGGTGCCGGTCCTGGTTTCGGCGCAATCTTGATTACTTCGGATGGCCTCGCGCTCCGGGGCGGAGGTGGGTAACCTGTGCACTCCTTCCTGGAACGAACACAGTTGGAACACGCCGGCCGCTTTTCATCGCATTTAATTCTCCGCAACCTGGCCGTGAAAGGCTTGTTAGCATCTTGTTCATGCTTTCAAGCTACCAATCTGCATGCACTTATGCATCAATTTTCTGCGCCCGCAAGGCACTGTACGTACTTGCAGTTGCTGCAACCCGTCTTGACTTTTGGCTTGCTTGTCCTCGCCCGCTTTGGCCTTTGCAAAGCGTCAACTGCTGTGTCGTTCATGGCTGATATTGCGATCATGTCGGATGAAAGACTAGAGAATTGAGGAGAGTGGCCAAGTTCTGGTGATGATGACATGAAGCCGGCGTTTACTCGTCGATCTCTCGAAGTTGATTGGCGCTATTCGATTTCGGTCTGGGGGTTAACGCATGTGTCAAGTAACGGCATCGCAGTCGTTTAAGACTCGAAGAGATAGACCGGATTCGTCCCCGTGTATATGTATCGGACCGTCGCGCGCAAACAGTACGTAAGGATGTGTATGTAGTGTATGTCGTCGAATTCGGGATGAAGTGGAACTGCTGGCGATCAGACGCACGTACGAACTAACAACGACGGGATGGATCTGGCTTGTCAGTAGCTGGTAGCAAGCAGCCAGCAGCGAGGTGATACGCCGACGTCGGTGTCACTCTTGCAAGATTTGTGCGTGGAAGAAATGGAAACAAACAAGAGAGAGGCCAGGATGGGAGCAGCTGTGGCGAATCCAGGACTTCTTAAAGACACCCTCATCGGCCATGTCTGGGAGTGTCCGAGGACGGGACGAGAAGGGTCAGATCAAGGGGGGAAGAGCTTCTTACACGTAGTGTAGTGTAAGTAGTGTACTACACCTCTGCTGGGATACAACTTGTTAGCGTGGTTTGTCAAGGTGGCAATGAACCTTCGATTTAGGCACATGAAATAGCCAGTTCGTCATCAGCCCGTCCCCTGTTTCTTGTAGTGCTCCCGTACCTAGCTAGCAAGTTACGCCCTAGCAGATGTGTAGTCTACACTACACGTGTAGTTCGTCCTGTGCTACGCTACTGTAATGACCAGGGGTGACATGCGCTACCATATGCAGGCCGCCATTCCGCCACGCTGCCCTACCCATTTGACCCATGCTTTATTAAACGGGTCTATAAGAGGCATGTAACGGTAACAAACTATGCGCTGTAAGTATTCGCGTGCGAAACAATATAAAAACTCCAATCCGTATAGGGACGCCAAGATAGGAAACAAGTCCCTCACGACTCTCGCTTAAGAGAGAGATAAATGAGTCTCCGTGCCAATGTGTAGTGATATGAGATATTCTTGGGTTTGGGCGAGGAGCGTGTGTTGAGAGAAGCCATCCCAAAGGGGGAAGACCTGGAGATGGGAAATGGGGTAGGTAGGTACATGATGCCTCCCTCCATCAGATCCCAAGATACTACTGAATGGATGGTGTTCACCCCGCGTTTCTTTTTGATGGAGGTCTCTTAGTGGTATTAAAATATTAAAAAGGCAAGGCAAGCAAAGCAAGACAAAGCAAAAAGGCAGATAATCATCATTTGCTCACAGGGAGCACGGGAAGAAATTCATAGGGTCACCGCTTCTGTTTGGCTTGTGGAACATGGGGTGCCACACGGCTGCAAGGTTGCCTCTGTGAGGGACAAGGATCTCACCGGGCTGTGTGCCGGTAGGCGGAGGCTAGCTAGTCCGGCCGCGCGCATTGGCGGCCCCGGGTTTCGAAATCATGTGTCGGCGTCTTCACTGCCATTCTCAGCACAACAAACACATGACGGCATGTTCGTGTCTTGCCAACTTGTTATCTCAACATCTAGCGCCCTGGGAGCCGCGCATGAGGAGTGCCGGCTGCTAGGGAAAGCAAGCCTTTCACGGGGCCACAGGATGTTTAAATTCGGCCGGAGCTTATCCGACTGGACTATAACCGACTTCTGTCCGAGTTTTCCCTAGGAATCGCACCTTTGCGCAACAAAGGGCAGCATGATAGTAACCGCGATGTGGCGGCAAAGGCTTGGATAACAGTTACATGGTCAGCGTCAACGCAAGTCCGACAACGACCACGAGTTACCCCGGCATGTCTGTGTTACGAGAACCACCCATGGCTTGAGCTGATGAAGATCGACACATACAAGCATGGACAGACATTACGCAAAATTGTGATGCGGTTTTGACGGTGCCAGGCCGGAAGACTAGGAGCACCACGGAATGTCGGCGTAAGTAAGAGGGCCATGATGAATGACATCGATGGACGTTGTTGGGTGTGGGGGGGTTGAAGAGTCGGTGATCCACTGATGATATGAACTCCGGCCGGCGTCGGCTCTGCCCTCCATTCCAGCCCTACGACCCACAGGCGGCGGTGCGGCTTGGTTGGCTCGGATGAGCTCATTCACCGTGATGATTGGGCCATGGCCTGGCTTGCTGCGCATTCTCAAGACAACAACGCATGTACGAACGGCACCCAGTCAGTCCCATTGACCCAGGAGGACGGACAGAGAATGTAGGTACATCGACTGCATACCCTTTCCCATGGAACAGGCTCTCAATGGCTAGCATCAGACCCTTCCCCCGTTGACTTGCAGTTCCTCATCAGCCCCAAGTTTAGGGTGATCGGTCCCCGAAGGAATGGGTGGCCTCGCTAGGTGCGGCCGGGGGGCGTAGGCGAAGTGCACATTCCTGCGCAGTCTGACTTCTCACCAATGAAGAGCGAAGAGAGCAGGTGTCGATGGCTTCAGAAAGACAGACGTCAAAACCTCGATGATCTTGCGGCGAAGCTAGGACCCGTGCCATGTCTCCATCACGACCAATCAACGAGCTTCCTCATATATTCTGGCCTGGTCTCGACGCCCCAGTTTTCCAAGGCTTCGTCTGGGATTGTGCCTCCAATGATTTCCAGCTTCAGATGCCGAGCGATTGGCGGGGGTGTTAAATTGGCGGTATCTCGCAATCGGTATCTGTCGGCGAGTTTCTCTTGAATGTGGGAAACTGGCCAGAATTGGCCAGAGCGGAGCCGAGCTGCGGCCGGTCACGGTGCGGGCAGCGGCCGGGAGCCGAGGTTTGTTTGCCAACAACCCCGTACCTGATACAGGGGGAAAGACAGGCCATGAGGTCCACGAAGCTGGCTTGCATGTTTCGCCGTGCAGTCGAAATTGATTGTCACTGCGGTAGTATGCCCATTTCATCTTGATTGACATTTGATCCTCGGCAGTCATCAACCAGCTTGTCGTTGTCCCGGGCGTTTATATGGACCCGTACAGAGAGGCTCGTCGGGCCGGTGCATTGATCTCGAATAAACCAAAAATCATGAAGCGCTAGTAAGAACATGTCCCAGTACGCTGACAGCGAGGTCTGGGGCTACCGATGAGAAAGTCGGGCATCTTCCCGTCTAGGGATTTTTGACTAGCCGCGCGGGCGAGGGGAGAAAAAGATAGGTTCCGCCGCTGCGTCCTGTTTTGCTGGCTTACATCCCGCTGAGTAGGTAGTGCACTAAAATTCCAGTTCGGGAGCTTGGCCCGAGCAGAACGCTGTCGGGAACTCCGAATGCCAATCGATCGTACCATCATACGAAAAGAAACGGTCAACTATTTTGCTAGTGTAGTGAGGTGACGGCTTGAATTCACTGGGGCCAGATGAAAAGCCGATGTTTGTATGAACCAAGCTTCTTGTTGTCAGAATGGGGAACAGCTCAGGTCCTTCGTTTGGCTGCAAGGCAGTTTCAAGTTTTCCAGAGAGTTGTGATTCGTTCGACTAATGTACAACCGTTGATGGTGTTGCAAAGAAAGTGGCGGCCCAGACTCTTCCCCTCGTCGTCAAGAATGTGGGGTCGTTCGGTTATCAGTGCCCCTGATTGATTTCCAGATCTCATCCTGTCATTGAACAAGATCGCCCATGATTGTTGATGATATGTGCCTCCATGTTTTTGTTTGATTAGCTCCAGCGTGATATCGAAATGAGGATTTGGGAAAATTTGTCATGGCTGACCACCTCTACTCTTTACCCTTGGCTACCATCCGGCGTACCTTTGTAACAGTGCCAAGAGCAGCCCTGTGATAATATCCACCAAATCGCCGTTGTTCGTTCCGCTTGCAGCAAGTGGAATATTGACAGCAATAGTCTTGTTTACATACATATCAAGATCCTCAACTCCGATATCTAGACGACAATCCTCGAGACAATTCATCCCCAAAAAGGTCCGTTCAGCCTTGCGAGGCATACTCGGACGTGTTCATGTCCCCAGGCCATTTTCATCGGGATCCCCGAGCCCGGTCCCTACCTCCAGGCGCATGTGGTCCCCAGCTCCCGGCCACCCGCCGTGTGGAATCGATCAAGTGTGGAGTCGAAACAGGCTTAGCACAGTGGCTTGGGGTCGCTACTGTACTGCACTAGTGTAGTGTACGGGCAGGTGCGTACAGTAGCGTAAGAATCTACCCTTTGTTACAAGCCAAGACCGGGACATTTCACTGGCAATGAAGCGTTTCTGTAAAGTTTCCGTTACGCCAGGTAGGAAAATCGCGGATTTCAGTGCCGGCTAGGATCCATTCTGTTACGCAACTCTTCCTCAACACCAAGAAATCCAAGCCACAATATCGGGGTCAATATATTGGGGGAAAAAAACAGTCGGTCACAAAAACAACATTTCGGGCCATATCCTTGGGTGAAGGAAAAAACATTGAACGTTTATCGCGGGATCATTTCCGCATCGCATCGCGGAACTTGTTCCACTCGATACGGGGTATGGTCCGGCTTTCATCATCGCTCATACAACACCCAGAAGAGATATCGAAATTGCTCCGGCAAAAGCCCGTAATAAGCTACGCAGTAAAGACCCGGCCAACCTGCCGGCCGTAAACATCATGCCGGCTCCCACCTTAGCAGACATTGTCTTCTCGGAGCAAGCCAACCACAACTTCTCCAAGATCCTGGGAGATCTCAAGAAGTCGAACCTCTCCATCACGAATCGGCTCAAGTCCATACAGCACGATGCGGCCTTCGTGCACGAGGTAGCTGATGTTCTCGGCCTTCCGCTCGTGGCTAATGAGCGATGTGGCAGCTGGTATATTGATCCCCAACTGAAGAGGTCGTCGGCTTATTTCAAGAGCACCGATGGGCACACGGGCCAGTGGAAGTTTAGCACGAGGAGGCTGAACTTTCATCTTTTGGAGGTCATTGGGCGGAATGATGGGTTTGTACACCCCTGCGTATATCTTGTTTTGTTGCTGTCCAAGTTTCCGCTTCTCTTACACTAACAACTAATCATGTCATGACCACCACAGATGCATCATCGTAGACTCAACCCGGCGAGGCAAGCGTAAGTATTGAATAAACCAAAACCTCCACATACCAACAAGCGAACCCCCAGGACTGATCACTTATCCAGGCATGCCCGACGCCCTCAGCAAAACAATCCCAATCTGGTGCACCGTCCTTAACCAGGCCCTCTTCCCCTCCCACCCCCAATCCCACGCCCTCCACGTCCCCCCCACTGTAGTCTCCTCCTCCGAGCACTCTCAAATGTCCTCCCGCCTTCCCTTCTTCCTCAGCTCCCTCCTCGCTCTCCAACCCGATATTCCCTCCCTCCGCCAAAACATACAAAAACCCCTCCGCCCCCTCTGGGTAACCCCAGACGACGAACTAACTCCCGAGATGGTCGATGAGATCAAAGTCTCCTTCCACCCCGTCGTCTGCTGCACCAGCTCCCGCCGGGTGGTAGGTACGGAGATGAGTGAAGAAGGGTATATCCAGGGCGCGGGTGATGACACAGAGAACTGGGCGCACGGACTGACGGCGCCGCTGTTTTGGGCGAACCAGAGGCAGCTGTTGGGGACGCCGGAGGGGGATTTACCGGGCTTGATAGAGATGCTGGTTGCGAATTCGGAGGCGGGCGGACAAGCGGTAGGGGAGTTGAAAAAGGTTGCCCCGAGGCTGCTGGTGGGTGCGTTATCGGCTGAGGAGAAGGCGCTGACTTCTTCTTCCCAAGAAAACGTTTGCGTGGTTAGTCTGGTGCCGAAAACAACGGAAAAGGAGACGTGGGAGAAGTCGAAGAGGCATATGGAGGTTGGGCTGGGGAAGAGCAAGACTGCGAGCCGGTTCTTGAGAGAGGCACTGCCGAGTATTTGCGACTTTGTCTTGCGGTTCCTGCAAGAATGCGTTGATGCCGATGCCGAGATGGGCACGGGCACGGGCAAAGGCGCAAACAAAGAAATTGTCTTGTTGTGCGAGTCTGGTAGGGACTTGTCGGTTGGAGCAGCACTGGCTCTTTACTGCTGGTGCTTCGTCGACTCGGCTGGGACCGTCAGGTCTGCAGCGGACCAGGGGCAGAATCACAATAAGGCTTCCATTCGGGTGAAGCTGGGTCATATCATGACGGCATTTCCCGATGCCAACCCGAGCAGGGCAACTCTTCAGAGCGTAAACAGTTTCCTGATGGACTGGCGGAACTGAAAGGAATTTGTTCTAATTGAATGCAAAACCAAGAAAACACGATGGATATCATCTAAAAACGCCCTCTAAAAGTCACCCTTCTCGATCGCCGCCAGGTACCCCTCAAACTGGTTCCAGTCCCTCATGATGATAGAAGCACCCGCTTGCGCCAGGACCTTCTCCATCTTAAGTCGTTCCTCGGCCTTGTAGGGTCCAACATAACCAATGACCTTGATGCCCGCCCTCGCCGCGCTTAGCGTCCCGCTCTTGCTGTCCTCGATCGCCAGGCACTCCTCCGCCTTCTTTCCCAGCTCCTTGAGCGCGTGCAGGTAGATGGCCGGATCGGGCTTGCTCGTCGGCGGCTTCAGACTCGTGGCCGCGCTGAACACTCGGTCGCCAAAGTACTTGTCCTGGCCGACCTTTTCAATGCTGGCCTTGACGCGGCGCAGCGCCGAGCTGCTCACGACCGCGAGCTCGTACTTGCCCTCGGCAGCCAGGCGCTCGAGCACGCCGTCGACATTGGGGCAGGGCGAGAGCTTTTCCTGGATCTTGGCGATCACTACGTCCTCCTCCTTCTTCACGTACGTCTCCAACTCTTCATCGGTGAGCGGGAAGCCGTACCGCTCCTGCAGCGAGCGCAGCATGCCCCGGAAGTTCTGGCCAACAAACTCAACGATGAGCGATTCGCCCGTGAAAGGCTTTTCGAGCGGGATGTTTTTGGTGGCGGCGATCTGGTTAATCAGGTCGGCGCAGCCTTCGAAGGCAACCTCCTCCGAGAGGACGAGGGTGTTGTCGCAGTCAAAGAGGAGGGTGTTGATCTGCGTAACGGACTAACTGTTAGAGATCATTCGTACAAACCTATTTGGTCTGGGGGGATGTCTCTTACCTTGCCCATTTTGACTGATTGGTAGTTGATCGTCTGAGTTGGGTACTGAAAGTGTCTTTAGATGATGACGTCGCTAGCGTTCTTCGGCCGTGATCTCCAAGAGTTCTCGGTTAAGACAAGTAGCCGAAAGGATGATCGTGATGAGCAAATGGGTATCTCGTAAACACGAAGCAAGTTAAGCTATAAGCAAAAGTCGTGTACAGCAAGAGTGAAAGCACGTCTGCGAAGAGGCGAGGATAGAGAGCGAGGGTGAGTGCGTTAGGTTAGAGGTGGAAATAATAGCCGTTTTGTTGGGAGAAGAGAGGATAAGAGGATGAAGGAGTAAATGATGAGAGGAAGGAAAGAGCGGGAGAAAGAAGCTTGAAGTACCTACGTAAGGTAAGCGAGAAAGAACTACCTCTAGGTACTTACTGAATCCCTAACATGTGGATATTACCTACTTCCCGGTCTCCTTTCCTAACCCACTACATACCAAAGTCCAAGGCACAGAACAATAACAAAAAAGAAGGACCCCTGGGACCAATGGACAGGACAGGACAGGACGGACTCGTGCATCGCCGGTCTTGACCACGGTTACGAGGTCCGTTCCTGAAACTCCACCTCACCACATCACACATCACTGCCGCGCTCGGCGCTCGGGGACCACACTGACAAACCACCAAACTGCTGAACCTTCGAGACGGGATTCGATCGATCTTCTCGATCACTTTCTGAATGTTGCTCTGACCCCTCACATCACCCTGAGCACCTAGCACCCCCTCTCGTACACCTTTCTTTTCCTGAAGAAACGTGCAGACGGATGCCTTCTCCAGACAGGATGTTGATCGGCGTCAGAGTAGTGGTAGTGGGGCCCCCGGTGATGTCATTGGACAGAAGCCCCACCGTGACATAGAGCGGGGCCCAGGAAGTACGCTAAAGGAATTCTAACTTGTTAACAGTAGCACTAGAAGATTGCTAGAGCGATAGCTAGGTAGTTATCTAACTATCATCATCAATGAGACCAAGAACATCGTGCAGCCATGGACAGGCCTCGGTCGAACCATCTTCGCGAAGAACAACACAGCAACAAAACCGAAAACAGGTGAAAGCGCTCGATTCAAAATCCGAATCCAGAACCTCACAGAAACTTGGACCCGGACCCTGCAAATCTTTTGTCCAACAAAAATATCTAACCGTAGACATGCTTCCCTACTTAACCCCCCATTGAGATCGGCACCAGAATGGTGATCAAGTCAGCAGTAGAGCAGCCATCAGAGTCCCAAAAAGAAAAAGAAAAACAAATGAAACAGAAAGCAGTATACTGCGTAAGCGACAACGCGGGAAAGGTAAGACCGAGTGGTTACTTCCGCTTCCGCTCATTCTCCCATTATGCCGCGTTTCCCGATCGACCAGCCAGCCGGTTATATGTAATCCTTGGCTTGGCGGGGTGTTGGAATGGCTGTTGGGTAGACGGGCCGACCTAACAATGTCGTTGTTCCTCTTGTTTGGACTTTCGAAAATCCCGTGATGAGAGCCAAGATGAAGTGAAAAGTGGACAAGTTGAATCATCGGTCTAGTGTATGCAGTTGGATTCGACCCCGCCGTGGCTTCCCCCCTAAGATACGTAGTGTGTGTTTATTTGGTCAACATGTTGTAGCTGGAACTTGCTCATATTCCCACATGTCGCTCCGCGTCGTCTTTCAGCAAGTTACGGTTTCTCTCCAAGGTCAAGTCGAGAAGAGAGAAGTTTTCTGGCACATTGATTTGCATTCTGTAGTAACTATGTCCATCTATCGGTTTTAGCTACCCCGCTTGGTAGTCTATGGTCACGATCAACTTTCTATTCGTCTGTATCGTTTGGTGGTGATAACCGAGGATTGTCACCTTGAAACCATTCCGAGATGCAATATCCCGAGCCGTCTTCTATAAAAGATATAGCCATTTGATATCTAAGCCTGCTATGGTATTCCCATTGACGTTGGCCTCGCGTGTCTCTGGCTATTGTATAACCTTGAGAGAACGCAACATGCTAAGAGAGACCAGCGCCCTTTCCTCTCCCAACATTTACAACAGGGGGCCTATGAACTTTTGTCGGGGATACTCATTATCATCAAAATTGTCATCACCAGCTCCCACCACATATGCCGCCTAAACCAACAATACCAATCTCAATGCGAGCCTGACGCGATGAAAGCTGAGCACCAAAAAAAGAAACGAATCCAGTAACGCCCAAATATGGTGGACCATGGTCAAGAACCGCACATGGCGGACAGAGAGACCAAAGCAAATGCCCCCCGGGTAGAAAACAAATCCAACACGCCCACCATTCTACATACCCTCAAGGGGGTGGGTCCGAACAGGTTCCCGAATGTTGTCAAAGGCCGGCGTTGAAAGCTGTTCTTCAGGCCAATCCTGAAGATTGCTGGTCCCTTCCTGTTGAGGCGACAAGAAGGACAAAGGTATCCGAGAGTGAACTACTACAGAGAACCGATACTCATCGCTTGACCCCATTTAGAGAATTTCCTTCAGTTTTTCCTTTTGTTCAGGCGTCAAGCTGGTGGGGAACTTGACATTATACTTGACGATGAGGTTGCCCCGTTGGCCTGGTTGCTTCGAGATGGGCATGCCCAGGCCCGGATATACATCTTGGCTCCCAGGTTGTGTCGGGCCGGCCTTCTCAATGTTAATGCTCTTGCCGTCGATCGTCGTGATGGTTCTCTTCCACCCTGTCAATGCCTCCTTGAGGTCTAAGTCGATAGTATGAATGAGGTCGTTGCCGTCCCGAGTGAAAAGCGGATGTGGTTTCTAATACAGACACTGTCAGCTGGTCATTCCTTCAAAAAGGCAATGCGTGAGGAAAGGGGAGGGAGTTTATACGTACCTCTTCGACGACGAACACCAGATCCTGCTGGCCACCCTCTTCTTGATCACCAACACCCTTGAACCGGATTTTGCTACCCTTCTTGAGGCCGGGCTTGATTGGTACCTCCAAGACGGTATCGCTCGTCGTGCGCTTACCGGTCTCGTCAAAGGTCTTGCGCTTGATCTTCATTTTCTTGGTCGTGCCGTGGAACAGATCCTCAAGGGATACGGGCAAGGGGCGTTCAACTGTCGTGACTTCGGGTGTTGCTTGGCGGGCGCTGCGCATGTTGTCGCCGCCGCCGAAGGGGTTTCTCGCAGTTCGGCGCTGTCCTGCACCACCACGCGCAGCATTAAAGAGGATGTCTTCAAAACCCATTCCGCCCATGCCACCACCCATGCCACCACCCATGCCACCACCCATCTTTTCATCCCGGAAAGCATCCCGGAAGAGGTCCTCGGGGTTGGTAAAATTGAATCCATAGGAAAATGTTCTCGCACCTCCTCCGCCACCAGGCATGCCTCCTCCTCCAAAGAAAGAAGCAAAGCCCTCGGGCATGCCACCGGCTCCGGCAAATGGGTTTGCGCCGCCCTCAGTCGGGGGCGGGCCGCCTCTCAGGATAAATTCAAGGCCGAACTGATCGTACATCTTGCGTTTCTCGGGATCCGAAAGGATCTCATACGCCTGAGAGCACTCCTTGAATTTTTCGGCAGCCTCCGGGTTGTCCTTGTTCTTGTCGGGGTGCCATTTTAGGGCGGCTTTCCTAGTGAGGGGTCAGCAGGGGTCCACTGATGGCTGTAAGAGAGGATGATGTGAATGCCAAAGTGAAAGAAGGATGGCGTAGGAAAGAGGAGATCTCTCCCTCGATCTTATACTGCGAGAGCAATTATATGGGGTTTCGGGTTGGAGAGATGCTTACCTGTAGGCTTTCTTGATCTCGTCCTGGGTAGCCGTAGGGCTGATCCCTAGCAGGTCGTAGAGCTTCGTTTCCTTGACCATCGTTATGACGCGATATTAGAGACGAGTGTAGTGTATGTGAGTCTAGTAAGAATGTAGAGGCTGTTTCGCGAAGCTTGATTAGAGCCGCGAAGTACGATTAACCCGACGTGTTCTGTGTTATTGTAGTGGTGCGGGTAGGGTAATTAAGGTAGAGTAAGGTAGCGATGACAGATGCGTATTAGACGTTAGCGATTCTATAGCGCTCGTGGGTCTCTTGGATGGCTCGTAAAGCGCCTGTCAGAGTCGATCTTGATGAAATGCGCGAGAGCAAATTCGCAATGCAAGAGTAGGGATTTCAGATATTGAACAGAATTGAGATGCAACACAGAGTCGGAGAGGAAGCTATCACTTGGTGGAAGAGGGAGGACAAGGCCATAAAATGCCTTGGCGAAGGGCGTGTGTAGCAGGAACAGGAGGTTGTAGAACCTTCGACCGTGAGCCTATCGGCTTCCAAGACCTGGAGATAGTGACGCAGGGCTCGCGTAGTGGGTACATACTAAAAGTAGCGCCTGTTAGTAATCTTCATGTCCCCGAGCAGTTTGCTGCTGCAAGGAAAGAGTGATACTAACAGTGTAAGTCCAGGCCAAGTCCCCACTAACTGTGATGCGGGCCGCCAAGCCAGCTAGCAGGAAGGGAAGCTCCATCAGTTGACCTTCGCTTGACCTCAGCGCGAAACTGTCAGCAGTCTCCTGCTGAGCGGTTGGGACGGGAGCACCTATCAAAGATGAACATCATCACCCAGCACCTTCGATGGGCTGCACATCACCAGTTATTTGGAAGTTAGATCCAGCTCAGTTTATCACATCAGTATACCCATTCGCCCGCGATCCCATTCTTCTGGTACTCACTCGTATGAAACAGTATGGATTGCCGTAAATCATGATTGCGATTCTACATCAAACATCCTTACATTGTGCCTCATTACAAGGCAACGAAGGTTGCACAACCTCATGGAAGCCAACAGCAAGCAACGGCCGCACTCGATCTTTTATTGACAGCCCCATGATAAGGAACATCCGCGAAAACTCCACACAAACCAGACCTGGATAGCCCACCACAGAACTTGTAGTCAGGAGCAGATCTAAGTCAAAGCATGTCTTCAAGAACTTCTCCATATAGAGGATTAAATCAGTTTGTCAAATAAGTGTCATCAACCACCAAGGAGAAGCAAAGCGAACCTTTACTTCTCGAATCACAACAGTACAGAGCAGATCTAGAACAAGTCAAACCCGAGGCCTACTGTCATGACCCTCCGAATAAGCGCGGTTGACCTGCTCTGATGACCCCTGACGAAGGCAGGAAAAAAAAAAAAAAAAAAAAAAAAAAAAAAGTTGCAAAAACACTCCAAAACAAATATCAAAAAGAATAATCCACGTTGCTCGGTGTGTCCTAACTCAGACCGCTTCGTACACATAGAGAGTCGAATTCCTCTCATCGGGCAGGAAAAACAGCCTCATCTTACCGTCCACGACAGCCACATCCATTGGATTCTTGGTCATTGCAGCACCATGTTCCGACACCAAAGTCACAGGAACCTCGTGTAAAGGAACCATAGTTTCCATGTCCACTATCGCGATACCGCCGATTCTCGTGTTCGCCAAGTCTGCAACGCCAGAGCATAACATCACCGGCCGGGTCTCGTAAAGCTCGTAACGACCCAGGAATTTGCAATCCTGATAGTCAATGAAGCTGCTCGGATTCCTGACCACTGCCCGCGGCTGAGTGAACTTGGGCGGCGCCAGATGCTTGTCGTGCCCGTTCCAGATCGACGTTTTGCGCGACCCCCAGTTCAAGGTGACCACAGCTCCGGACTTTGTGTCGTGGACCGCTCCTCCCTGGTGGTCTGCAACGCTCAGGATGGGCTCTGGTACCAGCGTGTCGGGGCGCATCCTCACAAGCGTTCCTGTTGTGTTGGGACGGTACTGGGAGAGGGTGGCCCAGATGTAGGTTCCATCGTAATCAATACCGCCGTTGTGGTACTACTTGTGCTGTCAGCCGCGGTAACATTGTTAAGAACGGGCTGCGCAACGGACGGACAGACCTCGAGAGACTTGGCTTGTGAGATGGAGGCATCAGCAATACGCTTCCCTTTGCCATCGAAGATGATCATATGGGCGAACCCTTCGCCAGCTGTGCGATCCGTGCCGTTGATGGTCCCATTGTATTTGACCGTCGGCACAATGTATTCACCAGCCGACACGAAGTAGCGGTCATTGCCGATGCGAACTATTCCTTCGGGCTCGTAGGTGTCGCCTTCGAATTGAACCTTATCGACAAGTTTCCATTTCGTTGAACGATCAAGCTCTGCAAACTGACGAATAATCTGTTTTGAGTCGGATGCAGCACCGGGAAGAGGGTGAGGGTGAGGGACGAAGGGCACGTCAGGTTGAAGGATGGTGATGTTGAGACCTCCTGATGGTTGCGGAGATTTAGAAAAGAGCAAAGAGAGTACGGTAAGTGCTCTCAACATCGTGCCAACTGGGCAGACAGGAGTAGTTTCAGTTGTAGTTCTCTTTGGTCAATGTCACTGTGGAGGTTTACCAGGTGTACCAGGATCAGTGGCATTCCCTCCCGTCCCGGAAGATTGAAACAGCCAAGTGCGGAGTATAGTATGCGGGGGCACGGCCCGGCGCCGGGAAACAACAACATTCAAACAAGCATTGCCGATCGATCGGCCGGCCGTCTTCTTGTGCACAGGTCCCGATTTATTCTCCATATTTCAAACTATCTTAAATCCCCGACGACAAATTACACGCTCGAAAAGGTACAAGGGTTTGTCGTTGATGAAGCTGGTCTACCTCGAGATACGACAACGCCGATGCGGGGTTGGTCTGTAGACTGATTATAAGAAACTTTTCACGCACCCCCAGATTGTGATTTGCCCTGTTTGTGAAGCCCAAGTCCCAGCATTAAATGCTGTGACCTCGAAAAACCCCGAGTATTGATCCAGACTAGGTAGTGTATGGAACCTGCCTCTAGGTAACAACACCACACCTGGGAATGTTCTTTCCCAATGAAAACTATACAAGCAAGTGCTCTTCCCGCCTTCCCTTTCCGACTTGTGTCTTTTGTCGGACTGAACAAAGGCCGGACCTGACAGGTTTCGGGCTGATTCCTAGACCCTAAGTCACCCAGAAGCAGAATGTGACCTAGTCCCCTCTGTCCGTTCAGTCAGTTGCTTACTATCTCATTGATCTCTACTATATTTCGAGGTCGCAGCCGTTGCTCCTCGCTCGCCAGCATCGAGCACATCAGGTCCTCGCCTTCCGTTGCTTGCACGACGTCAGCTGTGGTCGGTAACAGAATTATCCAGTTGGCAAAGCACGCAGGCAGTATGTAGCACTCACAATGCGTGCTGTTACCGTGCCTGGAAGAATCGCTTGACTGGCCCCCCGACAGAGGTCGGATCTTCCGGCAGATATGGCACCTGGTAAGGCCCTGGGTTTCTTGATCTGAAGAGCCTTCTCATTGCTCTCTTCTCCGGAAGAAGCTTGACAAACGGTTATTGCTCCAGCTATGGCTCCTCTCTGAGAAAGCAGCGCAAGCGAGTTGAGGTCGGCCAGCATGCTCGCTATCCTTGATTTGTTACCCCATTCTGTTTCCATCTCGTTGATGAGGTTGTTCTCTCTCTGGTCCAGCGGATATTCTTCCTACTCAGCAGTAGATATGGATGGCCCTCAACCGTACACTACAGCACTCTCTGCGGCAGACACACCGTCAAGCGAGTTGCTTTTGGCATCTGGAAGTGCCACGGCCAAGGGTATGCCAAATTATTGAGCGGCGGCGCTTACCTGCCCGCGTGAGTCATCCATTCAACTGTTAGCCAGTTCTGATGCTCATAATAGTACACCTGCTACCGTCACTGCCAGATCGACTCTTCGACGTCTGCGAGACATGGCGCCCGCCCAGACATGCCGAGCTTGGGAGCATACTAGCTAGTATGTTGCAGAACCGCGTCCTTGTTGTCGTCCATACTCCCCTCAACAGAAGTTGCGCACCGGATGTTCTGGAGGATGTATCGGTTCTGTGTCATGTCGAGCGGACATCTGATTTTGAGCCTTGTTGTCAAAGAAAGCCGATGTGATTCAGCCCTTATTTCAACCCCAGGTTTTTTTTGTTTGAGTCTGCTTGTCCTCGCCACGCGGTGATCACCAGCATATGGAGTCGGGCAGAACGGACACCCCCAGTGCCAAGCAGCATGCCGCGATGACTGGGCAAGTCATTTTTTTTTGTTTTTTTTGCGTCAAACGGAAGTAATTCGACACTCCGAGAGCTCATTTGTGTCTACATCGCGAATTCTTTGAGGCGAAGAGACCGAGTGAGGGTCCGAACTTGAGGATTCAAATAAGCTTGATCGGACTGCATGGTACCTGGTTTCTTGGCAGGAGAACGTTCGACGCCATCCCGACAGTGCCGATGAAGCTAATCCGACAACGGTATGGACGGAAATTCAACGTTGACTGAGCCAGACTGACGGTGTGACAGTGCCCCTTGTGGTCACCGCAAATTGTCGGCAGATTCAGGTTGTACGGGCAGACGGGATATAAAAGCGTAACAAAGCCTACGTGTGTGTCACAACTCGTTCCGCCTTTTTGCTCCCGCACGTTGGAAGGTTTCGGATGCCATGTGATTGTTCATTTGATGGGTTAAAACCCTGAAAAATCACTGCTGCACCCAAGCAAGATGCCGCGTGGACGAGTGCGGCACAGCGACCCTGCCACAGTGGCGTCGCTCAAAGAAGCGGGCCAGTTGAAGAGATGTGACGTATGATTGGACAATGAAATGTGACGTACCCACACCTTGATGTCATGCAGAGCTCCACTCATTGGACTCTTGGAGAGCTTGATCTGCGGCCGGCAGTCGACGGCTCGTCATTTAGCGGCGCGTTCAGGGCGGAACCACGGTGTGATCGGCCGTCCACCGTCAAATTAGCGAGCTCATGATATTTTTTTTCAGGGGCAAAGAAGTGTTCTACAGCTTCGAAATGGTGGCTTTGACGACTGAATGGCAAAGTTGGCAAGGAAAGAACCCAATTGACTCGCGGGATAGCTGTTCTCGCAAAGCTAAAGCTGTCATGTGTCCACTATCGGGTTTGCTACTGCGAAGCATTGTTGCTCGCTCGGGCGACTAACATCGTACATAGAAGGGTCCACGGCTTCGTGTAACCACTTTACGTTACGAACCTTTACCTACCTCTAATCTATCATCGTATTTTAGGCAACTTCCTTAACCTCCCAATTGTAGAAAGATCAGCTCTCGTTGGTGCTGCTTCTGAAGCTTTGAATTACAGGCTCTATGTCTAGTCACTTCCAGAAATTTGCGTCTGGCTGAGACTGGCAGGTGGTGTGAAAAAAAGTCCGAACACGCTTATACCAACCCAGACCCAGCGAGTGTCCGGACCTTTTTTCCTACCACCTGACGGGGTACTTTTTGGAGCGTCCAGCCGATCGTCCTGTTAGAGAAAGTGTGAATAACCACTAGATTATGTGACAAATATGTGCATGCTCACACGCCGATGGACTACGGAAATTCGTTACATTTATTTCTCGTAATTGAAAAAGGTGTCTTGCTCTTTCTCCTCCTCTTCTGTTGTCTTCTTCTTCTTCTTTTTGTCAACCGTACTTCGAACCCCCCCCCCCCTCCCCCCCCTTTTTTTTTTTTTCTCTGCCTTTCCACCGGTCACGTAAGGTACGGTAATAACCGCTGCAGAAAAGAGTGCCACCTGCAACATCCACTCGTGAGATCCATCCGACCTCCAAGTCGGTGGCCTCCAGCCTCCTTGGCTTCACCACGAGACCCCTGATCCCTTCTGGCCAGCTGCCTTCTCTTCAACCGCCAAAGGAACCGACCCACCAGTACCAAGGACGGTCCCACACCGCAGATTGCGATACCCCAGAGAAATAAACAGGACGACCTAGGGAGCATTCCCAAACCTTACTTCAACAGCATCTTCGACTTCCACACAAACCAAATCATATAACCTACCTTCATCCCCGAATACGACCGGCTCCCGCCTACCCCCCCTCCTCGATCGAGTGAAACCTAGCGGAAGCGAGCAGTCAACCGAAAACACACTTCATATCTCAAATCATGGGCGCAAAGACGGGCCTCTTTCTCCGGGGCCTGCAGGGCATCCTCCGCGGCATCCAGTTCGGCTGTGCCGCCACGGTGTTGGCCCTGACCTCTTACTTCTTGGCCACCATGGCCAACCATGGCCTCGACATTGACGTCCACCTGCGCGCCGTCGAGGGTATCTCGGGCGGTATCACCGCATACACCCTGATCACCATCTTGCTACTATGCTGCATCCCCGGCCAGCCGTTCTTCTCCTTCATCATGATGGTGGTTGACGTTTGCTGCGCTGGCGCCCTCATCTACGTCGCTATCCGCAATAAGAACGGCGCTAGCACGTGCGACGGCATCGTCGATACCCCTTACGGCAAGGGCAACGCCGACACCAACGTTGTCGATAACGGCCATGGCGGCTTCACCGTCCTTCCTAGCTTGCACCATGCTTGCAAGATGGAGACGGCTTGCTTGGCGGTGTCGATTATCGGATGGTTAGTCATTCATTTCTCCTGTGCTTCGCATATTGCAAGATCAATTTCCTTTTGTCGGGGAAAAAAAAAAAAAAAAAAAAAAAAAAAAAAAAAAAAAAAAAATTGCTAACGACCGATTCTCTCTAGCGTTGTCTTTATCCTCTCCCCCTTCATGGAACTCGTCCTCGTCCGCCATCGCAAGAAGGAGAAGCGCTATGGCCCCTCGCCCGCCAACGACTACACCTCCGGCTCTGGTCGCAAACCGGGTTTCTTCGCCAGCCTGCGTGGCAAGGGTAGCGGCCACCCCGACGCCGATCTGATGAACAACAAGCTGCCTGAGCACACCAGCCCTTCGGACGTCCGTGATAGTTACACGACGGAGCAGACCCGTGTGGGCGGTGTCGCCCCTGGGAACACGGGTGCTTACGGTAGCTATAACCCGTACAACGAGACGTCGGTCGGCCAGCAACAGCACAGCACCACGGCGTATAGCCCACCTCATGCTGGTAACAACTATAACAAGTACGATATGAGCTTTGGTCAGCAGCAGCAGGATATTGCTATGGGGCAGTATCCCAACAAGGGCGATCATGTTTATGACCGGAGATAAAGGAAGGGTACTGCTTTTTGAGTAATGAGGGTTTCTGTTGGGAGATAGCAGCAGTTTGAAGAAGATGGGTTGGATACCCTGAGAAGATACCCTGATGGAGGAAAGGGAGATGGACTGCAGCAGTACCAAGTCTCACGACTTCGACTGAGAGGGGAGCCAGACCGAATATATTGGAAGCACCTCAACGGCTGGTACAACGACGGAACAGACGGGGGAAGAAACCAATAACCTACCTGACGGACAACAACAAACTTCACGACTGCTCTTCCGATGCACAAATTATCGAAACGTCTCTTGCCAGGGCTGAATCACCATCCTGTGCGGATCCGGCGTTGATGGAATATATACCAAGTCATGTATCAGAGTTTACGTCACACTGATTTGAAGAAGAAGAAGAAGAAGAAGGGTTGAGATAAAGAGGATTCGCATACACACGGAACCATAGGAATCAAGATACCCCGGACGGAAATACACACTTACATGGTATGATGGCATGGGTCAGGTTTTGTAATGTACAACACTGTACACATTGTAAACTCAGATACTCCTGCGTAATATTAATTGATGAAGACTCAAACTACCACCCTCGCTGGCCGTGTTTATGTATCTCATTTTCTCAATTTTTATCTTTTGTTTTTCGCATTGCATGACATCGTTCATCGTCTTCGTTCGGTACTCAATTCTCATATCTGTCCCGTAACCAGACTCATCAGTGTGAAGACCGGGAAAGACGTACACATTCTTGATCACCCGAGATATCTGTTGTATCTTCAACCTGTTACTTGACAAACGAGACAACCAACCAAATGCTCCGCACCTGTACAACCCATCAACCGACGCCTGAAAACATACATAACTGATTGTCCGCAACTCCACATTTGTTCCCCTGTTTGTTTTTGTCATCCACCCATCCTGAGTTTTGGCTTTCCATTTTCCTGTTCAATCATTTGCTCTTGTTCATCCCAGTTTCATTCCCACCTACCTCTGCTCCTCCTCCTCCTCCTCCACCTCCTCATCATCAAGCGTCTCGACAAACGTCATCGTGACACCCTCATTGCTAGTATCAACGTTCATGTTCACGGAGTCAATAGCATTCCGCTTCGCTTCAGTGGCGGTGGTGGCAGTCTCGCGCTTAGCGAACTTGATGGGTACGTTGGCGATGTGAGAGTGGGCGACCTCACGGGTTGCGAGTTCCGGGTTATTTTGGAGGGCTGGAGAAGAGATGTTAAAGCTTTGAAAACTAGAAAGACACAAAGGAAGCGGATGCAGTGGATAACTTACAAGCAGGAATACCCCTCCGGACATACATAGTCGTGACCTTTGTCCTGCGTCTAGGGGCGGTAGTTTCATCGGCGTCGCGCTTCTTCTTCTTCTTTTCGGCGGCAGCAGCAGGTCCTGCACAAAGAACTTTTGGTAAATATCCCAAACTGCGTAACCTCAACAACAACCGAAACAGAGCAAGGTCAGGACTTACGAGTACTGGCATTGTTATCCACAATAATGCCCACCCCCGAGCCCTCAGCACCAGTGCCCAACTGGACCTTGGGGCCCTTGGTCAAAGCAGCCTCCGAGAACTTGAGCGCCCTGTCGAAACCGGCAAGATCTCTCTTCTTCTTGTCCAAAAGGGCCATGGCATCCGTGATATCATCCGTGATGTCATCCTCATCCTCATCCATGTCCATCTCGTCAAACGGCTCCTCGGCGCGAGGGGCGATCGACTTCTTGCCCATGCCTTGAAGGCCCTGGATGGACTGGGCCTTTACCACAGAGGACGAAGACGGCTTATCATTAGCTTATGGGAACTCTTTGTAATGATACAGGGTAGTAGCAGAGTAAGGTACTCACTTGTTGAGCAAGAGTTGGGTCAATCTTGGGAGCGTTGCTGGTGTCGACTGCCGCCGGGCTGGCGCCTTCGGGGGTCGTGGGTACGACAGCCGGTGACGTAGGCACGATGGTAGGAGCAGCAGCAGCAGCGGGAACAGCGGCAGCTTGAACTGTTTTCTTTTCACCGGCCGCGGGGGCGGAAGCCACAGGGGCGTTGGAAGCAGCACCTGCGGCAGCGTTAACCGCAGCGCCTTCAAGTGCATTCATCAGTGTTGAGACGTCCTGTTTACCTCCGAAGCTTATTTCACCATCACCTGTTTTCGGGGGTTAGCGACTGTGTATTTCATGGAAGCAAGTGTCTGGTGCTCCAGGATGGGTGCTAAAGAAGTAACTTACCAACTACCAAGGCAGGGGAGTACGCCCCCAAGTTGATATTAAGCGGAAGAGCGGCAGCCAGGCCGGCGAACATGAGAAAGTTGTAGTTGACCATGTTGAAAAGTTGTAGCAGCGACCACCAGGGACTTGCTCTTAGGACTCGGTAGTAAGATGAAATAAAAAATATTAAGAGTATAAAAATATTATGCGACCAGCGACTACGACCAGCGTATGAGAATGGGAATACCGAGTGAAGATGCCTGGTGAAAGAAGAAACTGGAAGGCCGATTGTCGCTGACGGATATGAGATGGAGACGAAAAGGCAACTGGGAAGGTGTCTACAAGTGATCTTTATAGATAAACTTACGACAATGACGAAGGAGTAGAACGAGCTACTGTCTATGTTGACCTCATTACTGCCGTAACCTAACCCACAAGCGCTAGCATCGTGAGTTACAGGAGAGTACGATGCAGCTCTGTGAAACGCCAAGTCAGACTCATCACCTACAACTAAAGGGTAACTAACTGCCTGCGAGTAGGATCCTGAAGGCTGAAAAGCTCCTGCGAGGGGGTAACAATCACCGGCATGGGGAGGGTATAAGGGCGGCTGACTCTGTGCGTTCGTGGAGGCGAATGGCCGACAAGAAAGGCAAGGCGAGGAAAGTCTCAGGGGAATGAAGATACCAAGACGATGCAGTGGCGGAGGATAGTATAATGGTTTAGCTCGATATAGCGACAGGGTCTGCCATATGTGAGACCTGCCAAGAAGTTCCGAGCGGGATTGAGATGCTCGAAGATAAGGTTCTAGGCGTTTTGCAGCATCTAGACCACGGAGTGCAGGCTCCTAGCGATGCTACTGACCCCGGAGTCTGTGATAACCCTCGCTTCGTCACGATCAAACCTCGTGCCAAGCACGGAGACTGTTGAAGAAGCTTTACCGAGCCACCGGGGTCAAAGACTTGTTTAAGAGATCCGAGCATTCGCAGCGTAAAGAAACCTGGGGGCAGGGGTCGCGATGCTACCTGAGATCTGTATCAGAATTAAGCTCGTGCCCCTGACGATCAATACCGACCGAGAGTCTGTCACAAAATAGGCGGCAAGATAAAACACCAACCACAATGAAATGGTGTACCAAAGGGGGCATCGTGGCTTCTGCAAGGGAAGCGCATGTTGGACACGACATTGCGGGCTCGATGCTGATTGACTGACGCGGGCAAGGAGCAGATCAAATTGGTCGTCGATAGGGGAGTCACTGTATCGCCATGAAGACTGGCGCCTGAGTCGCCAGCTTGAGCGGATTTGAACACTGAGTTAGATGAGGTACTCTCATACGGGACAAAGAGACACCATCTCGACACCGATCAAGAGGTGACTGTTCCATATGATCGTTCCTATCAAAAAAAGTACACGGTCGCAACTTTCTCTGATGTCTGCTGGGTTCGAGTGGGAGGTCATAGGAGCTGAGCCGTGCAAAGCTATTCCATTCCCTTCGTCTAGAGCTCAGACAAGATGGTCCCAGGTCGCGTTGCAAGATCGAATAGAGAAGCCGTGACCCTCGAGATCTCGCAACTACCAGACCCAAACAATGACAACGATGTTTTGAAGTATTTGCTCGTTTTTCTTGAACCTTGGCCCCTTGTCCAAGTAAGTATCTCGACCGCACAGGTCCTGATAAATATATAAGGACGGCTTTCATGAGCTTCGCCAAACGAATGGAAGAAGTGCTCGAACGTAGCTGACTGGTGCCCATAAAGCGGCGATTGCCCAAGTATATCATGGTAAGTTATTTATGTTTCCAAGACACTTGTCAGATATTCCCCAACACGCTCGGCTCTTTGCGCACTCGACAAAAAAAGTTTGAGGGATAGCCGTGATGTGATATCCTACTTAGGCATCTTTTGTGAACAGGCTCTGGAGGAATATTAGCAAACCAAGACGAAATGCATGAAGTTCGCTGAAAGGGACCATGGGGTCGGTTGAGGCCGGGGAAGCTGTACAGTACCCGCCGTGTCAGTACAAAGTGTCTCCACTCTCCACTTTGATGCTATCGCCAAACCGTAAAGGTGCGCAGCCACCTGAGATCCTGGAGATGAGTGAAAAAAAAAAAGAAGAAAAAAAGACGTGAGGGTGCTCGATGCAGTGAATTAAAGATAGGAACATATAACGTCGCAAAGCCTATGATAGTTGCAGCAGGTGAGAGTGCCGTAGCATGAGAGAACGTCGGTAAACATTTGAAGTTGTGAATGGAGACAAACATGAGCCGCTCTGCTGGACGAACTGGTGGTCTGGTTCTCGAGCTTGAATTTCGGACTGGAACGGGAAACCGTTCACCCCACCTCGATCTTCGGCAGAGAGGCAGCGTGCACGGTTCGCAGTGCACTTTGTGCGCGCCAGAAATGCCCCGCACGATAGGGAAAAGTAGGTCTTGGCATGGCAATGGGCCCATGCGCGACATGTCCAAAATTTTGGATCGAGCCAAATATTTTCCCCAGGTCGAAGGTTTCCTGTCCAGCACTCCTCGTATCGTCTGAGGTCTTGTTGGCTCGCTCTCCTTTCAACTCCTCCGCTCATTCCTTGTGTGTGTTTTTGCGGATACCCTCAGTCAACATGTCGATTCTCAGGACGATCGCCCCCTTCATGAGGGCGGCCCGGGCCGGTGCCAGCACCAACCCTCTCATGACCATGAAGTCTCCCATGCTCAACTTCAACCGCTCCTACGCCTCCGTCTTCCAGCGTACCAAGCCTCACGTCAACATTGGTACCATTGGTCACGTCGATCACGGCAAGGTACATATAGATATATATTCCCTAGAAAGAGACCTTGAGGACTGACGTACATATCTCCCCCACCGCGTAGACCACCCTCTCTGCCGCCATCACCAAGCGCCAGTCCGACAAGGGCCTCGCCAGCTTCCTCGACTATGGCTCCATTGACAAGGCCCCCGAGGAGCGCAAGCGTGGTATCACCATCTCCACTGCCCACATCGAGTACTCGACCGACAACCGCCACTACTCCCACGTCGACTGCCCGGGTCACGCCGATTACATCAAGAACATGATCACTGGTGCCGCCTCCATGGATGGCGCCATCATTGTCGTCGCTGCTTCCGATGGTCAGATGCCCCAGACCCGTGAGCACTTGCTCCTCGCCCGTCAGGTCGGTATCCAGCGCATCGTCGTCTTCGTCAACAAGGTCGATGCCATTGACGACCCCGAGATGTTGGAGCTCGTTGAGATGGAGATGCGTGAGCTCCTCTCCAGCTACGGTTTCGACGGTGATGAGACCCCCGTCATCATGGGTTCCGCCCTCTGCGCCCTCGAGGGCAAGCGCCCCGAAATCGGTGTTGAGAAGATCGATGCCCTCATGCAGGCCGTCGACGACTGGATCCCCACCCCCGAGCGTGACCTCGACAAGCCCTTCCTCATGTCCGTTGAGGATGTCTTCTCCATCGCCGGCCGTGGTACCGTCGCCTCTGGCCGTGTCGAGCGTGGTACTCTCAAGCGCGACCAGGATGTCGAGATTGTCGGCAAGGGTACCGAGATCATCAAGACCAAGGTCACTGATATCGAGACCTTCAAGAAGTCCTGCGAGGAGTCCCGCGCCGGCGACAACTCCGGTCTCCTCCTCCGTGGTATCCGCCGTGAGGACATCAAGCGCGGCATGGTCGTTGTCGCCCCTGGCTCCGTCAAGGCCCACACCAAGTTCCTCGTCTCCCTCTACGTCCTCTCCAAGGAGGAAGGTGGTCGTCACACCGGCTTCCAGGCCAACTACCGCCCCCAGATGTTCATCCGCTCCGCCGACGAGTCCGTCTCGCTCACCTTCCCCGAGGGTACCGAGGATGCCGACTCCAAGATCGTCCAGCCCGGTGACAACTGCGAGTTGGTTGCCACTCTCTGCCACCCTATTGCCGTCGAGGCCGGTCAGCGTATCACCGTCCGTGAGGGTGGCCGCACCGTCGCCACTGGTATCATTACCCGCATCATGGAATAAGCTATCAACTACTCACTGTGAGATGTTGAGGTTGTAAAAAGCTATGTAATGATATATCACGCCGAACCGAATCTAGACGAGCCCCGGTAAGGTAGTAAAACACACACACGCACATATGCAAGGAAAAAGGGACCGCGAGCCGCCAAAAGAAGCGGGTTTGCTGTCAGGAGTTCAAAGAGAAATATACCTACAGTGTACGATGTAAAGCAATGAATGTTTATGGATCTGAAATGCCTTTTTTTTTATGTATTTTGTACAAAGAGTGTTTTGGGCCCAAGTGATGATCTCTCCCCTCATATTCTTCTCTTATTGTCTTGTTAATCTTGTGATATAGATGGTTCAAAAAAGCAGTGATAGAAGCTAGAACGTAGTACTAAGTGAATGTCCATTCCCTCTTGTGGTTGACCAAGTTTAGATAGGATATGTGCAATGATAGAAGCTAGAACGTAGTACTAAGTGAATGTCCATTCCCTCTTGTGGTTGACCAAGTTTAAATAGGATATGTGCTTGTTGAGACTTGTGAGCCGAGCAACACATAGATTCAATGGAGAAGCGCTTGCTATGCTCAAGTCCACCACCATTGGTCATCAAGGTTCGCACAAGTTGTTCACCGACACTAGACGCAAATCATACGAAAGTCACAGATCACGGCTGAAGAGGGATATGAGAACGAGACAGAATGCTGGTTGACCACAGAATCACGCCGGTCTATTGATCGCTCGATGGGAGGGAAACAGACAGAGTCTAACCTCTGCTGTTCCTCAGTCCGCCGCCCTGTTCCTCTTTTGCTTGTGTTGACTCCGCAGGCCCCAAAAACCCGAATCCCGAAAGAAAACCAAGCAAAGCAAGCAAAAACTCCAAGGGATGTGATGATAAACAAAAGCATTGCTACTTTGTTTGTTTTCGTCAAGTGTCGTCGTGTCGTCTCGGGTTGTAGTTTGTCATGGATCAAGGCTGAACCCCCGTTTTTTTCGTTGTCGTTGTTCCCTAATCCATCTTTGTCGAGATTTCCGTCATCGGCATGTCGTCTAACGATATAGGGACACACGTCGCGCGCAAACGAGACAAGTTGCTTTGGCTGGACATTTTTTGCATTTCCCGTAGATGACGAAACGATTTGGAACTCGACTGTGATGATGCTGTGACCCTTTGTGTCCTCCCCTCATCATCGTCCCCTACCAAAACCTCCCATCATGTCAAGAAAGGGGGGATTTAGCGGTGCTACAAGAAAAGACAAGCGAGTTAGCCATGCGTCTTGTTTCTTTTCCCATAACCCTTGCTTCACGCGACTGGGAACAGTGTTTGTGACTCCTTGGCCGTAGAGGTTCTCTTTTTTCCGCAAGATGTGCCCTTCTCTCGTTCGTGACACCGCGGATTTTCCACTGTTTCCAGTCGCGTGCGCAGTTCCGCCCGTCTCCACCGTGGTGTTTTCTCTTCTTACCTTGGTGAAGCCAATGTCGTTGGCCTTCTCACGGAAGCATTGACGGCAGATGTTGAGGCCGTACTTGCGGATGAGACCGGCAGAGTGGGTGCAGACACGGCTAAACAACGTTGAAGAAACGCCCGGTTAGCAACTTGAACTTCAGTTTTCGTCAAACTTGAGTGGTGAAGCCGCATTTTCCTCCTCCGTGATTTTCGCATTCTTGACTTGATTTTCTCAACTCTCCCCCTCTTTCACGTTTTCCTCAAAACAGCCACTTCGCCCCAGCATTGATCTTGCCCCAAGCAGCAAAATACCATGCCATATTCCCATCTCTTGCTCAACTGTGATGTATGTGTAGATTGTGGATTATGGATAATTGGTGTTGCTGGACAATAATCCTTACCAAGAGCGGGAGCCCTTGCCGTAGGTGCGGGGGCGGGAGTTCCAGACGGATTCGTGAGACATCTTGATTTTCGGGGTTTTGCTGTCGCAGCGAGAAAATCGTTGTCGTGCGGGCGGCGGGTTGACGATGACTTGGTCTGTCGGGCTGGGGGGGGAGGGGAGGTGGTTTTTTTCGCAAGAGGGCTGCCAAATATGGGGCGAGATTTTTCTGTGGGCGGTTTCGCAGGTCCGGTCCGGCAGCAACTGGCCCTCGTCCACTGCCGCCAGGGCTTGTGCACTTCGGGCTTGGCACGCACGCAGTGCACAGTTCAAGTTGCGTGGCAGCTGAGTGTGGCTGGTGCAGTGTGCAGTCTCAGGCAGGGAAAGAACAATTCAATGGCGCAGCAGGGCCACCTCTACCTATGTGTGGCTGGTACTGGTACCCAGCCCAGAAGTGTTATCGATAACAATAGTTCTTTTCTATCTTATCGCGTTCGCCCACCGCTTTGGGGGACACAGTGCGGCTACGGCAAACCCGACTTGAGCTCCAATGAAGGCCCCACCAATGACCGCACGCAGCATGCGGGGCTCCATCGACTCGGATGACGGATTTCAGGGGATTTTGGGGAAGCTCAAGAGCGCTGACACGACCAACTGGCAAGGATCCCAATGGTTTGACCAGTGGTCCGTTGCTGACCGGCGGACAACCTGGAATTATTGAATTGCCAGCAAAGCGCAAAGTGGCATCTTCCCCGAGAAGGTCACATCTGATTTCAAACAATCCATCTGGAGCTTTGCCAATTTAGGATACCTTGCCCATTATCTTGAGGTCCCTTTGCCACCAACACCTCACGCCTGTTGGTCCTTTCTTCCCTTCTTCTCCAAGACAATCTTTAGAGCGTTTGCGATCAACAACTTCATCCACACGCTTCTTCACACACCATGGTCCTTCTTAAGAGCTTGGTGGTAGCCAGCTTGGCTGCTGCCGTGGCGGCCAAGTCTGCCGTCCTCGACCTTATCCCCTCCAACTTCGACGATGTCGTCCTCAAGTCCGGCAAGCCAACCCTCGTCGAGTTCTTTGCGCCCTGGTGCGGTCACTGCAAGAACCTCGCCCCCGTCTACGAGGAGCTTGCTACCGCTCTCGAGTACGCGAAGGACAAGGTCCAGATCGCCAAGGTCGACGCCGATGCTGAGAGAGCGCTGGGCAAGCGTTTTGGTGTCCAGGGGTTCCCCACCCTCAAGTTCTTTGATGGCAAGAGCGAGCAGCCGGTAGACTACAAGGGCGGACGTGATTTGGACAGCCTGTCTAACTTCATTGCCGAGAAGACCGGCGTCAAGGCCAGGAAGAAGGGTTCTGCTCCTAGCCTTGTTAACATCCTTAACGATGCCACCATCAAGGGCGCCATTGGCGGCGACAAAAACGTCCTGGTTGCTTTCACTGCTCCCTGGTGCGGCCGTACGTAACCTTCAAACCCTTTTTTTTTGTTTTGTTACTTCTATCTTTGACCGAAAATGATTAGAACTAATAAACTCCCAGACTGCAAGAACCTCGCTCCTACCTGGGAGAAGCTTGCCGCTACCTTTGCCAGCGACCCGGAGATCACCATTGCCAAGGTTGATGCCGATGCGCCTACCGGCAAAAAGTCCGCCGCCGAGTATGGCGTTTCCGGTTTCCCCACGATCAAGTTCTTCCCCAAGGGAAGCACTACCCCCGAAGACTACAACGGCGGCCGCTCCGAGGCTGATCTCGTCAAGTTCCTGAACGAGAAGGCCGGTACCCACCGTACCCCCGGTGGTGGCCTTGATACCGTTGCTGGTACCATTGCTGCCCTCGATGAGATTGTTGCCAAGTACACCGGCGGCGCCTCCCTGGCTGAGGTTGCTGAGGAGGCTAAGGAGGCCGTCAAGAGCCTGAAGAACTCTGCCGAGCTCAAGTACGCCGACTACTACCTCCGCGTCCTCGACAAGCTTAGCAAGAGCGAGGGTTATGCCACTAAGGAGTTTGCCCGTCTGGAGGGCATCCTCAAGAAGGGTGGTCTTGCCCCGGCCAAGGTTGATGAGCTTACCGTCAAGGTCAATGTTCTCCGCAAGTTTGTTGAGAAGGCGGCTGAGGAGGCTAAGGAGGAGCTCTGAATGTACAGCTAATCGCTCAACACCCCTTGAAGTTGTAGCTGGCTGCTTGTAATAATAGATCCAATTCTGAATAAATGAACGTTTGGTCCTAATGCATGTTTCGCCAACTTGTTGCGGAAGTGACAGTGAAGGAGAGACATGTCTTAGCAGCTCAACATGATCATGGTATACTGTACGTGAACTGCTCTACCCGCGTAGATATTAGTTTAGACGCCTGCTATGTATAAGACCCAAACTCCATCGCCCTAAAATGTCTTGACCCACACATGACGCTCGCTCAACCCGACTCCTTTTCGCACGTGGGTTGTTTACTTGCACGACGAAACAAAATCAGGCTGGCCCGTTTGGCTTCTCTTTTCCGGCCATTATTTGAGATTCCAAATTATCTAGACGCCTCGACATCTCGTCCACTGACCCAACCTGTTAGCATTCACGGACTTCACAGACTTCAACTAGCAATCAGCATCTAAACTCTTACTCTTGGCGAAGATCTCGCTGGAGACACCAGCGAACTTGTTCGAGAGTGTATTTAGAAGGTCTTCAAGCTGAACAGAGAGCTCTTGACGGGCGTCATCCGCCGACTAGAAGATGTGGTCAGCAAGAGTGAACTATCGTGATAAAGATCTGGAGACAGTGTCCGACTTGCGTTGGTCGCTGTTGGGCTCGTGGTGGTGTTGGCCTCGCCGTTTTCAGACATTGTGACTTGTTCTGGAATAATTTCGTAGTTTCTTGTACAAACACTGATCGAATGAATCAAAGCTTCTCCACGGTGTTTGACAGATGGGTTTGTGAAAGCGATTCAACAGTTGACGTAGACTTTGGGTGTTGATGTTGGAAAAGGGATGAGCACCTTGAGGGCAGCGGATGATTTCCACTTCCATCATTCCCGTCCGCCTGGATGCCCGGGTCGCGGAAGGTTCAGGGCGCCGGTAGAAGCATGCAACTGGACGCACTGTCCCTTTACTGTAAATCAGCGGGGTTCAGCAAGTACACTATGCACTAACAATACCCTGCCTGGAGCTGTCATCGGTCGCCTCCATGCTCCATCACCACCGCGGCCGAGCTTCCCCATTCCTCCGTAACCAAACAACAACAATTTTTTGTCGTGACGTGGCGTGCAATGATAATTACATTATACCAGATATTACAATCCAACTAAGGTCATTGCATACGAAACATTCTCGCCGCCCAACGATGCTCCCCTGAGCTTCCTCTACTAACATTTGAGGCCTAATAATCAGACGACAAAGCCACCAACTTCAAGGGGATATGAAAAGATGACAAGGCGCGACAACGTTCCGCAATGCCTTCTCAAAACTCAGATGTCAGAGCTCTACTGATAGTCCTCATCCTTCTCTGGATATTCTTCTCCCCGGAAAGTAGCGATCCCGCCAGTTTGACGCCGCCTGAAATCGCCCACGCACGAGAAGCTCGTTTCCAGGGTGCCCTCGATGTCCTAAACACCACACGATGGGGTGATTTCGCTCCTGATGCACCGTCGTCGACCTCGCCGCGGCCTCCTACCGAAACCGATGAACCAGCTGGCGAAATTGGAAAGGGGAATGGCGATAATCATGAACAGGGCCTTCGGTTTCTGAACATTACGGGGTTCAGCCAACTTGATGGGAAGGGGTATGCGTGGGAAGACCTCGGTCGGTTCAGAAATCGCTGTCGCGAATGGAGTCGGAACGCTTTCCCCTCAGCCGCCACCGTTGGCCCGCTGGACGATGATAGCTGGGAGCCCAGTATGGTGGGTGGGACATGGAAGAATGCTACGGGCACTCTGCATGGCACTTGGGTACGACGACCGGGAACCGTTGTCAGACAAGCCGCGGAATATAACCTCAGTGCCATTGCGCCAGGGGCGACTTGGCCTAGTAGCCTTGGTGAATGGGGTAGAAACATCACCGGTGACCATGGCAAGATTGAGTTGCGCATAGACGAGGATGAAGGGGATGGGGTTTACGAAGAGAAGGTCGAGGGCAAAACTTCAAGGGGTGCAAGTCTGGCGAGGGAGATTCAAGCCGTGGCTACGATCCAGGATGATGCAAGCGAGGCTAGCAGCTGGAGCTTGTTACTCCACGGTGTTCACTGGCCACGGCAAGGCGCTATTCTTTTGACCACCAGCAGCGAGAAGTTTGACGGCATTTTCGGCCTTCCCCATCTGGCGCCAGGCCCCAGCTTCTTCCATACCGGCCAGCATTTGCTGAATGAGACGCTGGGTAAAATCATTCAAGCCAGGAAGAAGAGCAAATATGGCTTCCCAGGCAACCCATGGGGCTCGAGGATGGAGGACGACGACAGCTTCCCTGCACAATGCGAATATGTCATGTACCTCCAATTGCAACCGCTAGAGTTCTCTCGTCGGTACGAATCTCCCCAGCTGCTCGAATCCTACATCGAGGAGCTTGAGCGCGAGTTGCGCCATCCCACAGGAGCGCCCATTGGTAGGATTCCCGATCTGCGTGCGTCTATGGTGGCATGGTCTCCCGACTGCTCGTTTTTCCTGGAGTCCAAGGGCCCGCCCGAGTTTCCTTCGGTCGACGGAGAGCATCTTGTCGGCATGAAGGAGGCCATGTTCACCTACACGGCCAAGGAATGGTTGATTGCGTTTGCTGCTGTCATGTTGGGTCAGATTTGGCTCTTCAAGGAACAGATGAAGCAGTCAAATACGCCGTCTACTACCGGGCGGGTCAGCTTCTGGACAATAGGCACCATGCTATTTGCCGATGGCATGATCTTTGTTACTGCTTGTGCTTGGAGTCTCAACGCGACAATAACACTGCTACCCTGCTTGCTCGTCACATTTGCGGCCTTCATATCCATGTTCATTGAAGGCGCCTTTTTGTCTGAAGTCTGGAAGATTCAAGAACCGGAGAGGAGGATTCGTGAGCGTGAAAGAGAACAAGCTGCTGCTGCTGCTGCGAATCGTAATGCCTCATCATCATCAACAGCATCCACAGCACCGCCGCCAATCACTCAACCTCAGCCACCCACAACACAGCCAGCTCCTCCTCCTCCTCCCTCTCAACCTCGCCAACCCATCATCGTCCCCTCAGACGGCGACATCGACGAAGCCGAACAACTAAACAACCTCCTCTCCGGCGCCTCCGCCCTCCCCCTTCCCGCCACCGCTCGACAACCCGGTCAGCCAGCACCCACAAACGAACCGCGCCCACCAACCCCCTTCAGCACTATCACCGGCCGCTTCGTCCTCGCCGGCCTGTTCCTCCTCTTCATTTCAGCCGTCGCCACCTCCTGGCCCTCGCACATCCGCTCCTTCTACGTCAACACCCTCTCCTTCCTCTACCTCAGTCTTTGGACGCCCCAAATCATTCGCAACGCGCAACGAAATTCCCGGCAGGCGTTTTCCTGGCGGTTCATGATCGGCCAATCCCTTTTACGTCTCTTGCCGTTTGCGTACTTTTTCTTAAGGGAAGATAACGTCCTGCTAGCTGACCCGGACCCGTTTGCGTTTTTGGTCTTGGTGGCGTGGGTGTGGATCCAGCTTTGGGTGATATGTGCTCAAAGTATACTTGGGCCGAGGTTTGGAGTGCCCAAGGGATGGGTGAGGGAGGCGTGGGATTATCATCCTGTTTTGAGAGATGATGATCTAGAAGGTGTTTCGTTACCTATCGGTCTGGCGAGGACAGGGACTGGGTTGTCGTCGTCGTCATCGTCGTCATCGCCGACTGAGGAAAGGGTGAGGGAAAGGGCATGGAGTGTGGTTTCTTTGGGTGGTCCTGCTGCTGCTGCCGCTGCTGCTGCTGAGACAGGCGAAGGCAGTGCCGCTGTTGCTACCGGTAGTGCAGGAGGCACAAGAAATCGTGAACGAGAAAAAGAAAAAGAAAGAGAAAAACAAAAAGGCGTCACCATGCGATCTGTCGACTGCGCCATTTGTCGCGAGTTGTTGGAGGTGCCTGTGTTTAACAATAACAAGGGCAGCGGTGGCTCCTCGGATTCAGCGGCGTCGGGCATCACGGGTGTGTTTGCGAGAAAGGCCTACATGGTTACGCCGTGTAGACATATTTTCCATACGAATTGCTTGGAAGGGTGGATGAAGTATCGGTTACAGTGTCCGATTTGTAGAGAGGAGTTGCCGCCCTTGTAAGTTGTGTAGTTAGCTCGGGTGTTTGTTGGGAAAACATCGGGGGAAGTATTAGTTAACGGGTATAGTCTATGGGTAGACTGCAGTGTGCTGGTATATGTACAGTACCATTGTGGAAAGGTTCAAAGTTGGAAAGCGTTATAGATTATCTGACAACAATACATATAGAACATGAATAAGGTCAGAGCAGAGGCATGGCCCATCAGCAGCGTTTGATTTCAGAACCTCATTACAGAGCATTGCTCTCAGCAGATTCGTGAATGGTAGGAGGCCATCCTAAAACACTGTGTGTAGCTTCTGGAACAGCTGTAAGCACGGTTTTCAAGCTCCAGCAATTTTCTTTATTTCATCTTTTTATGTTCTTGACAACGCCGAAGAAGGAAGCCACTCGCTAGGTACAGTTCGCTGAGTTACAATTTGCTTTTTCCCCGACAGAATGCTAGCTTGTAATATCCCACAAAAGGAATGAGGTATACATAGCATAGACAAACGTGATTCCGTCCCTACCGTCAAAAAGACAGGTCAAGAGTATTCTACGTAAAGCTCTTCTGCTTCTGCCTAGTATTCCAACCAAGCTTCGCATTGATACTCTTGATCCATTCTTCACTCCTCCTCCCCTGTGGCTGAACGCTGGCAAACGGGTACCTGCTCGCGCTGATAGTCACGTAATCGCCCGGTCTAAGCTCGATACGCTCGCGGCCATCGAAACTCGCCCAAGAGCCGGTCCGAGCATCGTAGGGCACGCCAATGCGAAGTACGATGGTGTCGGGTAGGATGATGGGCCGAAAGGAGAGCGTGTGCGCACACATAGCGGTCACGAGCATGACGGGGTTTTCGGGATGACAGAGAGAGCCACCGGCGGCGAGGTTGTAGGCGGTTGAGCCGGTAGGAGTGGAAACGCAGATACCATCGGCGTTGACGGAGGTGAAGTGCTCGTCATCGCCGAAGATTTCGATGTATGACATTGCTTGAAGACACAGATTAGTTATATGATCCCTGATGTGGGTGAGGTGGAAAAATGACAACTTACTTGGATTGGGTCCTCTATCCACCACCACCTCGTTGAGCACGCACCATGTGCCGTCTGGTCGATGGGTTCGTTCATCATCCTTTTCCTCACCGATGAGGTCTTCTACGAGATCTCGTTTTTCTTCTTCCTCTTTCTCTTCGCTTGGATCATTCTCGTCCTGGCAATCATGACCATCTGTGCCGCCCTGTTCTTTGTCTGTTTTATTTGAGACCATTTTTTTGTCAGAGTCCCCCTCAACGAGTTTCCTTTTGTTCGTCTGACTTCGCATGACGGTTCCTTCGAACCTTAGCCTCAAAGCCACGTTGACACCTTCTGTGAAGGCGGCTGTCAAGGTCTCGTGATAGTGATCAAAGTCAAACTTGGTCAAAAACCCTAGGCTCCCCAGAGAAAAGCTCAGAACAGGTGGAACGATGCGCTGGAATAACCAACTCGCAAATAGTACGGTTCCATCACCGCCGAGTGTGATGACAAAGTCGGCCGTCTGCGGCCTGGCACGACACAATTCCTCGTCCCAATAGCGTAGACGCTCAGATATGTCATTGCCGGCTTCCTCTGAGATCTCGCCAGACCCAACGTAATCCCTGCGGATCTCTTCGATCAGACCGGGTGCATCAAGCTTTTTGTTGCAACGCAAAGCCTTGTCAATGTAGACAGTGTAGCGCACGTCGCGTTCCTTATCCAGTAACCACCGGATCAAGGCGCGTGTCTTGGGGATTAGTTCCTGGTCATACGGCTTGGTGAGCACGAAGATGGTCTTGATCTTGAACTTCAAGCGCACGCTGCTCAATCGCCGACTCAGCTCCCGGACTCCCCATGCCATTTCACTCAATTGCTTCTTGGTGAGGAGCCTGCTGTACTTTTCCTCTGGGTCTGTGTTTGGTGCTTTTACGATCTCACTTTTCCATTCCTTCTCATCAACCTGACCAGCATCGCTAGTGTCGCTCGAGTTGGCGTTGGCCATCGAGCACTCCCGGGCACGCACATTGGTGGCAATGTTACCGAGAGTGCTCGAGAAGCCTTTTGGGTCGACCACCTGGTCCTGGCTATTTTCACGACTAACTTGGACGGCATCATGGGCAATGTCGGTCAAGCCCCTTGTGATGGGGTTTCGGGTCTCGATAGGGGTTGTGCTCGTACTGGCAGTGCCATCAACCTGTCCATCTAGGGTATTTTGCCGTCTAGGGGGTCGTCGCTGGGCGTCGAGAAACTGGTGGACAAGGCATTCCGTTCTGGCCGGCTGTGATCGCCGGAGGTGAAGAGGAACGCGGGCATCGCTGTTTACTAGAGAGCTCTTGCGCCGATAGGGACTAGATGGATCGAACGAGACCTATGGAGGGCAAATGGGCCATAATTCAGCTGGTGCGCTACTAGGCAACTGGGCAGCAGGCAGAAGAGGAGTACGAGAATCCAAGGGGACGAAGGGAGAACATAAGGCTGTGCTTCTCGGTCATGCTCGGCATGGATGGACGCGGGGTCTGGAGTGCATTGGGTTCCCTACCTCAAGCGCATCCTGGTCCTCTTCACTTGAACTGGAATGGTCATCCTTCTCAGGCTTCCTTTCGCGATCCGGAGCCATTATCCTCAATCATGAAAGCTCCGTTGCTCTGATTATCCTGCCTCCTTCCGCTCGCTATGCTCGCTCTCGGGGGCTCGGGGTCAGGTCGGTCCTTTCCACTCGATAGAGGTATCGTTCGACGTCAATCAAGACTACTGTGTAGGTGCGTACGGGTGGGTGCCTCGAGGTACTTTGGCGCAGCAGGTAGTAAGAGTACTTTCGGAAGAGCTGGGTTGAGTGGCTCCGTCCGTGGCTCCAGCATGCAGACTGTAACTGGTCGATCATCCACCGCTGGCTGGCCAACGGACAATGTTGTGGGTGACGATACTTGCACTTGTAAGACTGGGTCGCAATCAATGGATGCTATGGACGGGAATGGAAAATGCTACCGGTTCGACCTGTCGTTGTGCCGCGCAAAGAGGTAGTTGTGGTGGTGGGCTGTGTGGGCATCATCGATGCACTGGAAAGACGGGAACTCGAGTCACGATGTTGCTACAAGTTACTTTCTCCCACTGATCGTGGTGCTCCCTCCTTCTTGCCATCCAATCTGTGGAAAATAAGAAAAAAAAAAATAGACGAGCGTCCGTCCTGAGTCAGCCAAGTCAAGAGCCGTCATCGCAGTGGTAAGGCGGGGGTAAGTGGTGATGTCTACTTGTAAGAACCGGCAATACGTCATCGGCTGTGGCAGCTGTAACGGGAGATAAGATCTCACCACAGCGTGCGCAGGACAGCTGTCTGGACTTGATCGTCAAACTAATCCAAATGGAATGTGCGAAGCATTGGGATTGATCTACAGTATAGTACATCAATATGTACTCGGCATCAATTCGGCGAACCGAGTGAATTGTGAGACAGGTTGTATTTTTGGCCGACAGTCAAAACAATCACACGGCTGTGGAGGGGTTATGGTAGAGATTCGCTAGGAGGGGAAACTGGATCTGCCCCGATAATTAGTTATGCCTTTCTGTTGCAGTAATCCCATGGGCCCAGGTCGCCTCGCACGAGCATTACCAAACAGCAACAACACCAGGCAAAACATCGGCCAGGGTCACGACGGGCAGACAGACCTCACGCAGTTAGAATACCTATGTACCTACCTCTACACAATGCCCTGTGTCGATAACCACCATGCTTGAAGCCACCGTGGAAAGCAACCAACCACTAGAGGTACCTACCTGTTCCTCACCAAGGCCCCCCGCCCCTCCTTTATACCAACTCTGATAATGGCCTCAATTTTCATGCGAACCAACCATGGAAGCCCGTGGTGGGACCGACATGTGTTGCTTACATCCCGGAACACGGACGATTCTCTCCAACCGATGTTTCCATCGACACGACGGAACACGAAGAGGCCTTACCAACCTGCCTATGAGCTGCATCAGCTTGTTGAGGTTGAGAAAGGATCTGCCACCCTTCCAGTCGTCAATCAATCAACAGGTGGAAATAATGGAAGGAAGGAGGAAATCCACCCACGCTGCATAGGTCATCACACCCCTCAAGCCACTCGGAGGTAGAAGCTGCGATTGTCCAGTCCATGCCTACGGTACCTCTACCAAACACTACGGTGCCCCACCACTGGATGGAAAGTGGAAGTCACTCCAGGGGTAAGTGGTGTACCTACCTCTAGAGTAGTGTAGTGTAGCTCTTTCTGCGCATCAAGTGTTCCTTCTTGCCCGCTAGGTTGTTCCTCAGCCTGTCCTCATCTTCCTGAGCCAACTTCGTTCACACAACTGAACCCGTCTATGGCTTGTCATTTCCGACTGTCTTGGTGGCTGTCAAACTATCCACGCCGGGCGGGTTACGGACGAAAGACACGAAACCCAACCAAGCCATCCCCCCCCCCCCAATACCTACTGTCCCCCAAGTTCCTTCTTGACCTCATCAAAACATACAACTTGGTAAGGAAGGCCAGCGGCTCCAAAGTTGGCGCCCATCCATAGTACCGTTACCTCAGTCAAACAATAGGTACCTCTGGTCGATACGCCTCAGACATATCGAATCCCTTACTTTGACACAGTTGCTCATCTCAAGCCAACAACAAGTCCAGAGACGGAGAAACATAGGACAATGAAGCACCTCATCCTAGTGGGGGCGTGCTATTTGGACACAATTCTGACGTGAGTCTCTCCATTTTGTCCAACATCCTACATAGCTCCCATACCTGTACTTTGGCCCTATAGCTGCCGGTTTGTTGCTGCTGGTCAGAGCTGTGGCTGTAATTGGCATGACCAGGATCGGAATCTGGATGTTATACTCATTTAGTTCTGTGCTCACACTTGAGATACCACGGCTTGCCTGTAGTGTTCCCCAGTTTCCCGAAGAAGACTCCAAGCTACGCGCAACGGCCTTGCAGGTGAGACGCGGGGGCAACTGTCCCAACACAGCCGAGGTTCTCCAGCAGCTACTCCTCTCAGGAGGTGGCCTGGATTCTTCATCAACTCAAAACCAACCAGACAGCGCCCCTGGTGTTGTTGCCGTTACACCGCCACCGTCACAACAACAACAGCAGCAGCAGCAGCAGCAGCAGCAGCTGAAATTACACTTGGTTTCTATCCTGCCCGATGTTGGGTCTCCCGCCATTCGCAAAATCCTGTCATCCTTTGCAACTCCTCCTGCTCCTCAGCCATCTCCATCTTACGACTCTGAGTCTCTGTCCGAGTCTGTGACCAGCGCCGCTTCTGCTACCGCTACCAGTGTTGACTTTAATCACTGTCTGTACCGCAAGGGGCACGATGAAGCAGCCAGTAGTTACATTATTCGCAGTGGTGCGACAGGCAGCCGGACCATTGTGAACTACAATGATCTTCCAGAGATGACAACGGACGAGTTTATGAATATCGCGGATGATTTCGTTTCCCTCCAGCATTACCACAGTGTTGATGGAAGCTCTAGGGGTTTCATTGGTGAGGATTGCTGGTGGCACTTTGAGGTAGGCTCAGCCATCCCCGTTATACACATGCTCGCAGGGCAGAGCCTACATGCTTTTCGTCCTGCTCCTTACTCTCTCGTATGACAAGTGCTATATGTCTCTTGATGAAGCTGTCGCTTTCGTTTGTCTCGCCGCATGTCTGCTCAGGGTCTTCCTTATATTAACACACAGACGGACTGCGTCTAAAGGGTCGAATCCCAGACACAACACTGCAATGTATCCGCTACCTACGCCAGGTCCTACCAGGAAGCACTATCAGCGTCGAGATAGAAAAGCCAGGCCGGGAGGGCCTTGCTGAGCTGGCCGCGGAATCTGACGTGGTGTTTTACTCCAAGAGTTGGGCAGAGGTAAGTCATATTATTTCCGTGTCACTCCATCCACTCATGGAGACTAGCGTGAGCATGCGTGGCGTGTGACATGCTACAGCACTTGAGCCTAGATTGCGCCCAGGGTGATATTCTGGTCTGAGTCCATGATACTAAAGCCTGGTCTTGTACCTCCGGTTGTGTAGAGCCGAGGATACACCAACCCAGAAGCTTGTCTGAGAGGCGAGCTGCCGAATTGCAAGAAAGCGTAAGTTTCGCTGCCCAAGAGCACAAATCCAAAGTCCGATAAGTATCGGGCAGAGGCAAAAGGCTGGCGCTGTTCTAACAAACACTCTCAATACCGCGCTATAGTTCTCTGATGCTGTGCACATGGGGATGTCAAGGGGCTGGTGCTCTCTTCCCTTCACCCGCCGGCACCGGCGGTGGCAACAATGAGCAAACAGCAGAAGTAGCAGAACCAGAATATCTGCACTGTTCTACAGCAGAGGTATTCGAGACCCAGATAATCACTGTAGTCGAGTAAGTCCCGTCTCTCATTCCTTTGTTTGATCGAGATGGGATGTTTTATTCATTTCTTCTCTCTGCTCCTTTCTACCTTGAACCTGGATTGGGCCCTGAAAGGAACAGAGTGAGTACCTGCCACAAGCGGCACACATCTGTACCCGTCACTGCAATTTATAAAGGTTCACGAAAGGGAGACAAGACAAGACATCATAGAAAAAGAAACATGTCGGTGTCGAATGAAGACCGAACGGTCCGAAACCGCCAACAACTCTGCATATAGTATTTTCCTTGTACATTTGTTTCCTTCCGTCTCTGCCAGGTATCAAGTCACAAAGGTGCTACACAATCCAAAAACGAACAAGTAGAAGAAGCCAAGTGGAAAGGAACACGACCAGTATACGCGGTAGCCAAAGCGGAAGGATATAAGCACGGCTAACAAAGTCAACCCATCACCCGATTACAGTACAATCGGCGCAGGAGATACTTTCATAGCCGGCATATTGTACGGTTTGTTGATGGCCTCGCCGAATGCAACCGCAACCGCAACTGCAACCAAAAACCGATCCTGGATCCAGTCCACGAGTCAAAAGGAGAAGAAGAAGCTTTTGGCCTTTGCCGTGAGACTGGCTACCCAGAAGGTTCAGATGGAGGGATTCAACGGGATTGTTAAGGGATGGTAACTGTCACAGGATGCGGTGACGTTGGTTGTGTACCTAATTTGCACACTTGGAACTCCGTTGGCAAGCAAAACATTGACGATCTTTTGATAGTTTTCAGAGCTGGGCTGATAAGTTCACCCTAGGCAGCGATAGTGACCTACCTCATGTTCGACAAAGCCGATGGACAGCTACAGAGTGCATATCAATCACTATGGGCGGGTTCCTTCTTGCTTGTGATGATGATGGGCAGTTCCCGAACCCTCATGTGTAGAGATAGTCCTGACCAGCTTGTGCTTGGTTTGAGAATGATGGGAAATGAACGTGGAACTGTATAGTTGAAACCTGACTACTAACGCTTCATACACTGACTGACTAGGCCCTAAAGAGACGCCAGGCCGTGAAGAGAGAGAGAGCGTCGTCAAGAGAGAGAATCCTGTGACCAGGTGAAAGGAGAGGTGACTTGTACGTCGTCGTAACCGTGGTCGGCTTGTTGCATATTAAAAAGGAGGGAGGCACAGAGAAGACTTGTTGTAGTTGTTGTTGTTGTTGTTGTTGTTGTCTCATTAATCTTGTAACGAATTCCACGTGATAATGAATCGATGTGGTACATACCCTAGAATACCGTAGTTAGGTAGATTTGTAGGTAAGTAAGTACCTGCATGCGGCGGTCCCCATTCTTGGTGATTCAAAACGGTGACTCTGTGTCAGGTTGATTCTGGCTCAGAAAGAGGAGATTACGTTTGGATCAAAGGTACAATGAGAGAGGGACGACTCCCTGGCGAGACTTGGTAGGAGCTTAGCTTGGACCTGGGGGTAGGTACGTGAGTACGAAGGTACTTTCCGGCGATGGGGATACACCGTCGTAAAGGGAAGGCTTGTTGTTTGTCTCCTCTTGTTGTCTGAACAGATGTAGGACGATGGGAGATTAGGGTCAGATTCCGGCCCACGTAGTGTACGTAGGTAGGCGTGAGGGTGGGCATTCCGAATGGAAACATGGCAACATTCATGTGTCAGGATGTAAGGTAAGCAAACTATATAAGACACTATGCTTTGGATGTACTTGAGGCGCGAGTTCAGCTTCGGTTTCTTTGTGATGAATGTACTGTAATGTGTAAGGTGGTTAATGGACATGGACTGTGTGACTCCATAACATGAAATTATACTACATATGTAGCCCGTGAACTGACGAGGTAAGTGGGTGGAGGAATTCTATCCTATGCATAGCGAGGAGGCTGATAATACCGGCGAAGAGACCATGAGACATCGTAGGTAAGGGTAGCTAATGCCTTTTCTTTTTTTCATCTTGAGAGGTCCCAACCATCCAGGTTCACGATGTTGGATTCAATATTTGGGATCGTCTTCATGCATAGTACTCTTCTTTTCTTTTTTTCACGCCATCTTACCATGTTGCGGTGCTCATTACTGCGTAGATAGGTACTTGCTTTGCTTTCTAGATTAGGACAAAGTTGTTCGAAGGATGCTGCTGCTGTTGGCTGACTAGGAGGCGACGTCAACGAGAACGGCAACGGCCGTCCGATATCTGATGCAATAGGAGTATGCGGTACCGTACAGTACACATATAGGTCTCGGGCCATTGTGATTGGACGCGCTTCAGAATGGCTCGGTGGCTCGGTGGCTTGGAGTTTGGGTTTCCCACCCTTCCCCCCATTAATCCATCCTACCCAATCCCACGATGAAATGTATGCTGTTTGACTCTTGTCTGACCCTTTGACGGAATGTCTCCCCGTGGGCTTCTGTTTGGCCTCACCCGCACCCCCCCATGGGCATGGCCTCCCTGTGTGTGGGCTTTGGCCTCCCCCGTGGGTTGGACAGGCGGTAGGGCTGACTACCGAATCGGAGAAAAAAGGAATGAACCCACTGGGAAACGAATGAGGTTGCGCCTACGTGTTGTACACAGTAGTAGTGTATGCAGTTGTGCCTACAAAGAAACCTATTGGTCGTACAAATTGTATCTTTTATTTCCTGGTACGTCCAGTGGTCTCAACACAAGAATCTTTCCATTTAGGGAATCGCTCACAGGGAGTCGTTGAGCCGAACCATGAGGCGCCGCATACAGTATGGAATGGTAGCCTAGAGAGCTTGGCCTCACCTTGGCACTGTATGGGGTGGTATCTTATGCATGCCATATCCTAATTCGGATGGGCCGAAAAGAGGAACCTACCGGTTGTGTGTGGTGGGTGTGAAAGCTGGCGGGAAGGGGAGAAAGCTGCCGAATGAAGAGAAATATGCCAAGTTCATACAAAAGTGGCTTGAATCGTGGTAACGTACCTATAAACCAAGACCTAAAGAAGCGGTGAGTGAACCGAGGGATCGTGGATGATTTCTGCCACGACCACCCCCAACAAAAAGGTAGCGTAGCGTGCTGTACATTTATAGCACCCCAGCATCTCGTCTACCCGTTCTGCCATTTTAGAGTAGTCTGGGAATCTGGGGGTTTTAGCGAAGCGCCAGTGGTACCCCAAAACAAGCAGCAAGTTGTGGATCGTCTACAACGGCTGGAAGGGATTTCGTTAGCCCGCTGCTCCGTGCCTCTCTGGTCATGGCCAGCAACTTGCATGAAGACCACGGATCGGAACCCAGTGCGCCTAGTAAGTGCCTAACAGTCAATCTCTACTGTCCTGTGACAACCAGATATGCCCTTATCAACTGTGAAGCTGTTAAAGAAAGTACCTCGAAGGGGAAGATATGAGCCTGCGACAATCAACTCGGCTATTGCCTGCCTTGACATCGTCAGACACTCCACAAAGGTGAGCCCCGAACAACGCTGGCTTGCCCTAGGCGGATCTGTTACATCACGTTTTAATTTGGGCTGTACGTATCTGGTCTAAGGCAACAAGGTTGAACAGGTCGAAATATGAGCCATAAGACAGCTTGCCTGTTGATCGTCCAATGTCTTGCTGAGGCATCATCATGACTGTGGGGATGTATCGATACATGGACATTTCCGGTATCGAATGGGGAGGTGTGGTGTGGGAAGCCGATCCGCTGTTGCTGGTCTTTCAGGGGCTCATTGATGTCTCCGTAGTGTACTGTATGGCTGTAGTGTAAAGACGAAACAACCCCGGTAGCCCTCGGACAAGAGGGCGAGAGCTACTGACGAGTAAGGGGCCCCAATCGAGGTCTGAGAGTTATGTTTGCTCCATAATAAGCGTTCTCTGGAGACTCGAGATTGACGGCGCAACGGAGGACCAGCCCAGTTCTCTACTGGCTATGTGTGACGAAGTGATAGACGTGTTGTTGAGGGTCCACAGACAATGAAGCTATCTCGTCAAACTCGTCTCAGCAACAGCCAACTTTGGAAGATCCCATCTACAATCCCACTACATGTGTTGGGTGGGGGAGGTGTGGTCCGGGGCTCAAGGCGGGGAGAAAAGTGGCCGTCATGACTGTTCCAAAGTAGCCTTTGACCTGCTGGGAACTCGGAATGCCAGGCATTGCAGCCGATGGGCGGTCCACGTCAGGCAAAACCAGCTGGCTAGGATTTCCGTGTAGATTATGGCGTAACCTCTAGCAGGATATACTGGATAGACACTACGCTCAAGTGGATCGAATAGGTGCAAGGGAAAACTGACATCTCCGTAGTCGAGCATGATACCTATGGAGCACGACGGGCGGCGTCAGTGGTGGTCGTTGCTCCGCCCAGAGAAAGAGACTCTGATTCGTAACGGAGTCTCATCTGCAGG